TATGTTTTTCTTGACGTCTTTGAATGTTAACATGTGTTTACATACAACAAACTGATAAAAAAAATTCAACATACTAATCTAACAAAGACGGCAAAAAAAAAGACGATATATTTTTTAAAGGACCTCTGCGACTCTTCATCCCTTGATTAGAGATATAACTTATATTCCATTCGAAAGCTTATTGATAGAGGATCAAAAGGTAGAGTCTATAGGTACCACAATGCCGATTAGAGGGGTTGTTACAGTGTATTCCTTCCACCAGTGTATTTTTTCCAGAGGATAAGTTACACTAGTGTATAATTTCCAGAGGAATCATTGCACTAGGTTACTTCTTCCATACTAAGTGTAAATTATCCTTTGTTAAGTTAGGATTTTTAAGGAAGGACTATTAAAGTGTTTTGTTTTGTTTTGTTTAGTTTTTTTTGTTTTTTTTTTGGGGGGGGGGGGGGGAGAGTTACAATATCAAAATCAGTATGTAAAATAAATTTTCTTATGGAAAACAAGTATGATAAAATTACCGAACTCCAATGTCCTATATACTGTAATTTATCCTGGAAAAATTATACACAAATAAACAAAGGATAATTCGTGTTATCTGCATATGTCTGAAGTTATTCTTCAAGGAAATAAGACAATGACAGACACCAAGTGATGGCAAGAAATTACCTAGTGCATGGCAAAAGGATCCTGATGAATTTATTCTTCGAGGAAATAAGACAATGACAGACACCAAGTGATGGCAAGAAAAAACATAGTGCATATCAAAAGTAACCTGATGCATGTATTCGTCAAGGAAATAAGACAATGACAGACACCAAGTGATGGCAAGAAATTACCTAGTGCATGGCAAAAGGATCCTGATGAATTTATTCTTCGGAGAAATAAGACATTGACAGACACCAAGTGATGGTAAGAAATTACCTAGTGCATGGATAAAGTAATCCAATACAGTTATTCTTCAAGGAAATAAGACAATGACATACACCAATTGATGGTATTATCTCATATGGAAGGGTCATACTTTTTCCAAATGATATCATAGTAAAATGTATATCAATTTTTGCAAAATTATTTAAATGTTTTTCACCTGTTTAAATCAAACAATACATTCATAACATTTCACAGAAATAAACAAAATTTACCTGTGTGTTAGTTCTGTTTCGCACTATTCATGGAAAGATTGATTGATTTATTGATTGGTGTTAAACGCCACTTTGAGCACTATTGTGTTATTTGGTGAAGCCGTAAGTTTTTATTGGTGGAGGAAGCCGGAGTGCCCGGAGAGCCGTAAATTTCGGTACGGGTTACATTAAAGTCTGTTGGTCTATAATCGACAATGTGGCTGCATTAAACGCAAGACCGTATACAGTATATACAAATTTATTAATAAGTGTACAGTTTGATAGCTAGGGGAAGACTGACCAAGCAACAGTTTACAAAACAAATATACATTAATCCAAAGTTAAGGATATTAAAACATTATAAAAGGTTCTCGTAAGATAAAAGCATTATTGTCCAATCTTATGTAATAATAATCGGATTATTGTCCTCCGGCTAAACTTAGTAAAATAGCGATAATTGCTTCTTTTGTAGTTGAGTGCAAGATACGTGTATTATCTTTCGCACTTTTAACTGCCATCGGATTAAGTTGTAAATTACTGAAATCTATAATCTATTTGGGTATTTGAAACGAAGAAACATTATATTTAAGAATAAAGAAACATGTAAAACAAGAAATATTTAATTTAAATCTAAAACGAGAGTCCATAGAAATATTCAATCAAAAACGAGAGTTCATAGAAATATTCAATCTAAAAACGAGAGTTCATATAAAGCACTTTGCGAATTATAGTAAAAGTTCCAAACGTCACTTTTCTTCCGGTTATAGAACCACCGATCTTCGGTAGGAAAACTAACAATCCTAGTCAATTAAGATTGGAGTCGAGCTACTAATGTAAATTTACCCATCGGAAAATCTACACGCTTGTATTACAGGGTAACGGGGGAACTGAATGCCAAAATATGCTTAATTACAGAGATAACCTATACGTCATTTGAAAGCTTTGTGATAAAGGAACAAAAGGTGTCAATATGTGCCACAAGGCCAATAAGAGGGGTTACGGAGGACCTAAATGCCAAAATATGCGTGAAAAATAAAGAAATAGCATATTATTGAATAATGGAATGGACTGCTGCTACCATTCATCCCCTAATTACAGAGATACCTTATACGTCATACGCATGTATGGTATAGACTGCTGCGACCCTTTTGTTCCCTTATCAATAAGCTTTTGAATAAAATGTTATGTTACATTATAAAAATTGATGCAGCAAACATACATTAATCCTTCCATTTTATGGAGTAAATATTTCTTTAAAGGTTAGTTCGATATATATATATGCGCGTCTGCAGTTAAGACTCACTTTCAAGTAACGTAATACCCGCCGTACTTAAAACTTTTACACAAAGGATATTTATCTTAAAATGGTCAAAATTTATATTACACATCAATTGTGTAATTTCTTGCAGGAATTTAATATGAGTAGGTATGACTATTTCCCACTTGACTGTTATAAAGCGTGTACATTTCGGAATTGTCCTTTAAAGGGGCGATAGCTGTCAAATGCATGTCCATCGATTTGTTAATGTCATTGAAACCTATGTCTCGTCTGCAATTTCTGATGTAAGTGTTAGAGTGTAATGTTGACTTAAAAAAACTCAGCCTGTTTCAACTATGTTGTAGTGTTACACCACTGTCCCAGGTAAGGGGGGGGGGGGGGGGGTTGAGCGCTCACAAACATGTTTCACCCGCCACATTCTTTATGTGTCTGTCCCAAGTTGAGAGCCTGTAGTTCAGTGGTTGTCGTTTTGTCTGTCATATTTGTTTTTCGTAAATTGTTTTGTTATAAATTAGACCGTTAGTTTTCTCAATTGAATTGTTTCATATTTTTCTTGTCGGAGCCTTTTATAGCCGACTGTACGGTATGGGTTTTTCTCATTGTTGGAGGCCGTACGGTTGCCTATAATTGCTTACATCCACTTCATTTGAACTTTGGTGGATAGTTGTCTCATTGGCAATCATACCACATCTCCTTATTTTTATATCAGTTCATTTATCAGTTCATTATCAAACTAACAATAACTTTACTCAGATTGCTATCTCTTTATTTTGAAGTAGCGTCTGTCCAAGATTTGTATTCCGTGGAGGTTTGAAAAAGATATCTTAAGTTTTAAAATATTTTACAGCAGACAGTACATAAAAGAATGATGACAACAAATATATAACCATTCCTAAGTAAATAGAAAAATACGGTAAATTTGCTCCCCAAAAAGAACCTAAAAAATAGCAAAATCAATCTAAGGTCAACTTGGCCTGATAAGTCGTAAAATAATTTACAACGCCATGGCAAAAATAGAAAAAAAAAGACGAACAAGCTCACAAAACACCACATAGAAAAAGATTGAGCAATACAAACCCAACCAAAAACATATCCTTGGTCATCTGTGCCACCGATATTCCATTACCTACTCATGATGGTGTCCGTGAAATCATCCGTTTTATCGTAGACCCTCATTGTCAATTTCTAGATGCAAGTTAAGATATGAAAAAGAAAACTCATCAAAGATACCAAGGTCATAATTTAGTACGCTAGACTTGTTTTTTGTATACAAAACTCATATGTGATACCTTTATGTCAAGTTCGTTGGAATAGATGCGTTTAGCATAGTTGCCAAACTTTGGACTATTTAGTGAGTGAAAATCATCTAGAATAGGGGAACGTAAAGTTAAAGGATAATGCAATTATTGATTTTGAAAAAAGATTCTTCCTAGTTTTATAAATTCTTTGAATGTTGGGAGAAAGTTATTGATGTGCTAAAAAACCTTTAATCCCAGACTGTATGTATCTAAATGTTAAATGTTATATTTTCAAAATTTTGCGCTGGATGCTCTCTCTTGATCATGGAAAAGTTATTGACAAAAGTTTCGTAAAATTTCATGAAATTTTTTTGACCCAGTTATTGATGTCTAAAATATCCACAGGGTGACTGGGATATATGGTCACCTTGGTCTTCTTCCGACAAGCAATAGAACCCTTACCGAAGTGGGGTATCCTTTTAGCTGTAAAGGTTGCATAAATACGCAGCAATGTATGGTTGGAATTGGGATGTTTTAAAATATGATCCCTCCTATACAATGCCACTCTCTCTGTACATTGAAGAACACTTGCAACGACTCTTTGATGTCTGTAGGTGGTCTGATGTAATGCTAAATTTCTGTCCTTATCCAGTATACCATCATTTGTAGTGGCAGTCCAAGTTTCCCATCCTTCACCCCAGTTGACCTAACTGCAGAACCTACCTATTGCATTAATTTTTAATGGTTCCTGGTCCTTAATTATCTTGAAATAATTGCTGCTGGACGTTAAGAAAGCAACAATCAATCAATAAATCAATAACCTAAGATAACTTTAACCACAAAATGATCTAAAATGTTGACACCAAGGATGATGGAAAGTTGGAATTACTTGCATCACCTCAGCTATTTTCTTTGTAGGCAAGACAAAAACTATTTGAAAAGTTCTATCATTCTTTTCACAATATAGAAGATTATCTGAATTTAACCAGCTGACCAACATTTGGTCTTACCATTGTATCTTAATCACTCAGAAAGGAAATTACCATAGAAACTGTTGATCATGAGGCTCAGGAGTTTAATGCAATATTGATGATTTTTCAGTTTTTTATCAACTTGTGGGTTTGAATATACCTTTTGTATCTTCCACCTCTCTTTAACAGTTATGTTCTATTTTCAGTAGCAGTGGCCATGATGATTGACTAATGGGGTTAGAATTTAAAGGTAAAGGCTAAGATATTCCTAACTGGAAAATATTTTCAGCAGAGGTTATAATTTTAGAGGTTGACTTTGGACAGATGGCTCATGATAACAAAGGATCATAATAAGTGGGTGAGGATGTATAAACTCAACAATATAACATAATAGGCAATAACTTTTATTCCACAAATAATTTATTTTGGTCAGTAACAACACAAAGTTAAATTACATAAATAAATGCTTAAAAATCTATAATTTATCACAATTGTGTTATATTTGGAATGTAATACAAAACTGCATGTAAATTATTAAAAAAGATTACTATGACAACCAATAAAAACGGGGAGTAAAAAACAAACTTGAGCAAGTACTAAAATTACACAGCCATGACCTTCTAAATATTGAATAATAAGCATTAATAAATCAAAACTATGTCATCAATAATAAACAATTCTTGAATAACAACAAAATGGTAGTGTCAATTACAATTATAATTCTGTAGATGAGCCTACTGACATCTTTATTTATGGTTTTAGTATTTCTATCAAATATTTAATACATTGATAAATAAGTATTGCATTGATTTGATGGTTAAAAATCAGTTCTGCTTACACAAAGAGACAAATGTTGTAAATTTTGGATCCATTTTTGAAAAAAGGAAAGAAATGTATAATAAGCAGTGCAATCTGCATGGTGGGATTTTCATTTGATTTCTATTGATTACAGATAGTTTAGATGTATTGAATATAACCATCAGAATCCACTATTTCATTTAAACCTATAATTCATTCTCAAAACTGATATATTTTTAGCTCTGAGATATTTTAATTAATCAGATCTATATGCTTGTTATTGTTATAACCCTCTCACCCACTCCCAACTCTTAAGTTTTCTGGTTTAGAAACAAAGGTGAAATCACAAATGAAGTCATTGTGTTACACTACATCCTGGCATGTAAGCTTAAAATATTCATAAGTTAAAAACACACAAAGTTTTTTATATTCACTACTTCCTTTAAGCCCGACTAAAAATAATTACAAACTCTACTTAAAATGGTTTCTAACTACGTAAACAGGTTTTGATGAATCAGCATATAAGTACAACATTAATTGGACGGATCATTTAATCATCTCAAAATTATATTTGGCTTCATCAAAAGTCTAAAGCCTTACAAAAATATTTAATTTCCAGATCTGGTGTCAATTATGTATTGTTGACCTTTTGTATATTTATGACATAAAACTAACTAAATACACTTATCAACCATGGAAATACTGTTAGAGTATCACATATTTAAATATTAGTGTATGTTAGATGAAAATATATTGCTAAAAGTACATAAATTAATACATGTATATAAGAACACCTATATCAACTCATTTAGTAAATTATTAGTTTTATACTATTTTAATGTCCTACAATTGCACATTATTCCACATTTACATGTTTTTTGTATTTCTGAAATAGATTTACTCTTTAGTTCATTTATGCTTTTATCATAAAAACTGAATCATGTTTTTTTTGGGGTGATCACATTATTTCCATTTAAACTAAAAGAGCCAATGGGTCAAAATAAATACAAATTATGTCTCAAACAGACTTTTAATTTAATGTTTTGAATACTGAAATTTTTACACTAAAAGAATTATGTTCCTGTTAGAAGGCACGAAATTTATCCAATTCAGACCTTTCTCCAATATAAAACAAATATCAAGACAAAACAATTTATTTTAAATGTGTAAAAAAAGTAAATATAAAGTGTATTTTAAAATAAACCTTTGTGATAACTTTAACACTTCTTCTCCTTGTCTTATTGCTGTCAAGTTCATCAAAAAATTACCAACTTTAAAATTTCACATTGAAATTATTAAGTAAGCAAGAACTTCTTTAATACACAAATATCTAACTATAAGTTGTCTCCCTTTGCATAACATACAAAGGATAAACTATGAGGAAGGACTTGTCACCTTATTTACAACTCATTAATCAACTAATTCAACATAAATATATATTTCACAATAGATTTTCAACCAATAGTGTCATTTAATTGTGAGTTTGGTGTACAAATATTTAATCCTGCATAGTACTTTTGGTTATGAAAAGGTAATCTGAATGTTATCATAAATATAGTCTTGGTAACTTTTTGAACCAACACTTTTCTTTCTCTTGTGTATTTTTTGTCATATAAAAGCAGAAGAATTATGGCACAAATAGTGATGATGGGTGTTCCACATTTTTTATGGAAAATCAACAGAAATTATTTACAATTTCCCTTCAAACATTTGGTATTTTAAAACAATAACATTACATAAACAAGCACACTGTTCTATCTTTATTTTGATATGATTTTGATATTTTGAATAAAATTTTATAAAAATATTCACTGGAAAAGAAGTGACTATTTTGAATTTCACCTGCCATTAAAATTTCAGATTAATCTTTATACATATAAATAGTGATAACCATAATGCATAAACAAACAAATTTGCCTCTGGTGGGATACATAATAGCATTTTCCTGAAAAATTGTTTTAAATCAAACTCAAAAGAGAATCTACAGTAAAACACAAATAAACCATACTTTTAGATTAATTTACATATAAAACATTCAAAAACATAAACATAATATAGAAAGAATTTCTTTCTTAAAGTGTAAATAGCATATGTTTTCATTAATAAAATAAATTAGAATTTTGAATCATTACATAGAAAATGATGTTTAACCTTGAGCTCTTTACAATTATCTACTTTTAGTCCAATCCCAATTTTTCTATCACATTTCCATAAGTGACATGTATGAAATATTCTATAACAAAAAGCTTTCAAAAAACAAAAAAGCTGACAGGAATGCAACACAATCAAGTAGTCACAGATTCAAACAAAGCTCTAACACTGTAAAATACTGTCAGGTTTTGTCCAAATTAAGCTTTCCTCTGATCACAGATCTTCAGAACTTCTGCACAAGCTTCTCCAGCTAATTTTATCGCTGCATCTATTTCTTCAGTCACCTAAAATTACAAATACAAATATAAAATTATTTAGAACAAGCATGCACAGAAAAGTATCAGAAAACATGAAATAGGTGTCTGTCAGATCTGAAAAGCAAGTTTCAACTCATCACTATTGAGGTAATGAACAAATATGAATGCATTCTATTGATTAGTTTTTCAGAAAAGTGCAACAAATAATAATTTGACGTTCATGAATAAATTGAAAAATTCAATGGATCGGCAAACAGGAAGAAGGTATTTAACCTATCCTTAAGATATTCTCACATTACAATTCATCAATGTTCAGCTGCTGACCAAATATGAATGCACTCTTTTGAGTGATTTTTTAGAAAAATGTTATAATTTTTTTTAAGTCCATTCAACATAATGAATAAAGAGCTGTGCCAAGCGCGCATGATATGTTGCATTTTGTATATTAAAATTGTATAACTTTCACCATTCCCAGGTCAACAACAGTATAAAGTTTAAAATAATTTGATCATTCTAGAGCTAGTGTGTGACCTTTGAACTCTAATGGTTAAGTTTGGAAATCAAAAGGGATTTACCTTAGATTTAACTTCATCATCTTGTACATCAGTCAGGTTTGTTTGTATGTTATAATACGTTCCCCATACTGCAGTTTCTAATGTCTTGGCACCAACCTAGATACAGAAAAATAATTACCTAGATACACAAATATATTTACCTATGCAACAAAAATATTTCAGTTAAAAAATTTGTGATAAAACAACTTTACTGTATCTTATTTAAAAGCTTTAAACACAAAAACTACATACAACTTGAATTCTATTAAATATATGATAGAACTGTATGGCCACTGGTATTTTCTAATGTTAATCTGCAAGACTAATTTTGAGAAAAAATTGGCATCATTTATTCCAATAATGAAGAACTTTCGAAAAGATGACAGACACATTACCTATAGCTGTTAATTTCTGTGTCATTTGGTCTCTTGTGGAGAGTTGTCTCATTGGCAATCATACCACATCTTCTTTTTTATATTAATATTCTTTCATCTTGGCATTTAAATCTATTTTCCATCACACAGGCTGAGATGCTCGCCTGCTTTACTCATCATGATTTAATTATATGTTTAAAGTCTTTAAGATAACAATTTTACTACACGTATTACATGAACTTATCATCATCCATGATCCATAAAAATGAGGTCAAGGTCAAATGAACTCTGCTTATCATCAATAAACACCATATAATTATTCTTAAACATGAAAATTTAATGGTGACTAATGGAGCATGAAAATAAGGTTTTCAGATGAATCCCGAAAGACTTGTACACCTGACAATCATTCCATACACAAAATATATTACTCATAATAAGTAAGAAAATCACATGATAAACAAAACATTTTTTTAAGCAGTTGCTGAACCATGAAAATAAAGTCAAGGCTAACAGACATATGCCTGACAGAAACATTAGAACATAAGTCATCTGCATACAAGATATGGAGATTAATTCAACAAAACTATCGATGACAACTGATGTTTTCTAACAAAATTACAAAGGCCAAGTTGGGTCTTTGAATCAAAACTATTTCAAATTTTCCCAAATTTTCAGAATTAAATGTTCAATGACTGTACTTCAAAGAAACTGCTATTTCAGTTTGAATATTGGCTCCTCGAGGGTAATACAGTCATGAAAAGACCGTCACTTTAGCAAAATTGTTATTAGGCCTCAAATCAGGACAAATTTACTATCAGATGCTACAAAAATTATGGAACAAACCCTGACTCAAAAAGACATTCCTCCAAGTGGTGTATTTTGAGCTAATATTTATCATCAGGATTATGATTGTGGACTATACCAACTTAGCCTAAATATTTCTAAAATTAGCCTATCTTCTAAATAATTGGATAAATTACCACTATGACCATCAAATTGTCAAGCCAAAATCAACAAAGCCAGAGTTATCACCTTTTATTTACCTGTAGGTCAGATTTAGTAAATATTGCATATTTCTGCTAGTTCCTTTAAAAATGGCCCATGCTATTTACCTGTAGGTCAGATTTACAGATACTATTGCCTATTTCTAATAGTTCCTTTTAAGTATGGCCCCATGCTATTTACCTGTAGGTCAGATTTACAGTTAATATTGCCTATTTCTGCTAGTTCCTTTTAAGTATGGCCCCATGCTGTTTACCTGTAGGTCAGATTTACAGATAATATTGCCTATTCCTGCTAGTTCCTTTAAGTATGGCCCCATGCTATTTACCTGTAGGTCAGATTTACAGATAATATTGTCTATCTCTGCTAGTTCCTTTAAGTAAGTCCTATGCTATTACCTGTAGGTCAGATTTACAGATAATATTGCCTATTTCTGCTAGTGCCTTTAAGTAAGGCCCCATGCTATTTACCTGTAGGTCAGATTTACAGTTAATATTGCCTATTTCTGCTTGTTCCTTTTAAGTATGGCCACATGCTATTTAACTGTAGGTCAGATTTAGTTAATATTGCCTATTTCTGCTAGTTCCTTTTAAGTATGGCCCCATGCTATTTACCTGTAGGTCAGATTTAGTTAATATTACCTATTTCTGCTAGTTCCTTTTAAGTATGGCCCCATGCTATTTACCTGTAGGTCAGATTTACAGTTGATATTGCCTATTTCTGCTAGTTCCTTTAAGTATGGCCACATGCTATTAGCCAGTCTGGATACTGTTAGGGGTACCCTGATAGCAGTATGAAGTCCTTCTTGCATTGCTACAGCTCTCCTGAAAAATATCAACATAATTGTTAAATAAACAGCTGTGCCATGAGCGCATGATACGCCCATCGTCTTGTGTGTGAATTTTTATGCAATAATCATAAATAGTTTCTGACATACAGCGTGACATGCGAAAACCCCCCTTTTTTTTACAAAAAACTCTCTAAAATAAAATTTTGAATCAAAACCAAAAAGTATACAGATCTTTAGATTAATATAACTAAGAAGTGTGTAAAATTTTAAGCAATAATCATAAATCGTTTTTGAGATACGGCGCGACATGTGAAAAACCCCCTTTTAAAAAAAAAATATCAATATCTCTAAAATAAAATTTTGAATCAAAACCAAAAAGAATACAGACCTTTAGATTAATATAACTAAGAAGTGTGTAAAATTTTAAGCAATAATTATAAATTGTTTTTGAGATACAGCGCGACATGTGAAAAACCCTTCCCCCTTTTTTTTTACAAAATACTCAATAACTCAAAAATAAAATTTTGAATCATCACCAAAAAGTATACAGATCTTAAGATTAATATAACTAAGAAGTGTGTAAAGTTTTAAGCAATAATCTTAAATTCTTTTTGAGATACGGCACGACATGTGAAAAAAAAACACACACCTGTTTTAGTTACTAAGTCCCGTAACTCAAAAAATTTTAATCTTATTTTCCCCAAAAAGTATACAGATCATTTGACCATCATAAGAAACAACTATGTTAAGTTTCATGAAATTTAGATAAGTCGTTCTAAAGTTACGGTGCGACATGTTTACGCCGGACAGACAGACGACATTTGTATACCGTAATACTTCCCGTCAAAATTTTGACTGGCGTATAAAAATAAGGTGAAATGGTATGACTGCCAATGAGACAACTATCCACCAAAGTTCAAATGAAGTGGATGTAAGCAATTATATTTATCCATCAAAAGCCATCTATGTTGAATAGTTTTTGTCTCCAAATTAAGATTTTCTATAAGAATTATGCTAAGTCTTTGTGATGGTTGTGTTTCTACTGATTCCAGAAAACATATATAGTTGCTGTTTGTATTTTTCTAACAAAATATGTTATAGTTATCATGGAAATCTCCAAACAATTAAAAAAGAAACATGTTTCAGTTATTGTATCAAATCTATATCTTACAACTAGAGTGAAATGCAGGAAACTCTAATTAATTTCTATACAAACTATGACAATCTGTTTTGAGAAAATAAAATTTTGTATATATTCAATCAATATTATATGAAATTAAATCACTCAACATATGGAACCTTATAACATTTTCCAAAAAAGTCAAAAGAGCTATCTTCTATGGTAACAATGTCAAAACAAGCTATCTACTTTTCTACAAAGTCAAATGAACTATCTTTCATATTTTCAATACAAACAAAGTTAATTCCCATATTTAAAATGTAAAAATAAAATAGTTCTTCAAAAATTACAATGTTAAAAAAAAGAGATAATTTGCATACTTACAAAGTCTTGTCTTCCTCTGTGTCTTGGGGTAACTTTAATGCCAACTGTTGTTTGAAAGGAAAACATCTTTTTATATAAATGTCATTCTTGTTTCAAAATTCAAATAAGGAACACACATTACATTATTGTAATATAAAATTTCAATCAGAATTTCTTTAAAGGGGCATTAGCTGTCAAATTCATGTTTACCGATTTGACTAAAAAAAAAAAATTTGATTTATAACATACTAAAACCTATATCCAAATTACAATAAGTCTAAAATAAACAATTTACAATGCATGGGCTCGATAATATTTATCAGCATTTCGTGTATTTTAGTCTAGACGCCATCTAATTAACCATCGAGGTGACCTCCGAAAACTGCCGACGGTCATATAACCTGATATAAACACAAATATAGATATAAATAGATAGTGAACTCATGCAATTGGATTTTTCTAGGTTTGTTTGATTTCATATTATAGGTTAAAAATATATGTTAATCATCGTTTTTACCTGTATGAGAATGAGTTTTTGTGGATCAATCAGTCAATCAAATGGTTTACCCTTGTTTCACTTTCAATGTTGACATTCTTTTCCTTTCAATAACTGAACACGCCTTATTCATGCGTAACCCATCTCTAGCTAAGGCGTTATATTGAAGGTCACATGAATACTTATTCAATGAGGTCGAATTATTCACTTGAAAGTGAATAATTCATCAGCGATGTTTCTAAGTTTTTTTTGACAAAATTGAACCAAACTGGCTGCTAAAAGCGAATTATCATTTCACTATTTCACTTTCATTAAAGATTGAACTAAAAAAAAATCATATTTTAATTTTTTTTTATATCTCGTGGCTAATGCCCCTTTAACTAGTAACATATATTTTTTTTTAATAATTTATAATGTAAATGTTTGCTTTGTTTCATTTTCATGCAGTTATTTTGTAGATTAATTCAAAGTATCTGTAAACAGCTCTGTAAAGTAGGTATCTCACAAATCTGAAACATGCATACACACTGTAAAGCTGCTGACCCAATGTGAAGTCATTCTGTTCAAAAGTTCCTGAGAAAAACATTCGTTAGACAATCAGACAGACAAGCTGATAGCAATATAGCCTCCATTCCAAGAGTAAATCAAGCCTTTTTGTTTCCATAACAGAATTGTTATCCATTTTGCATTTTGACTTGTAGGCCAGTATTTACAATCTGTTATGGACAGACAAATAATCTAAATATAGATAAATTACTATATCACTTCAGAAACCATTATGTTTTACTTTAGAGAAAAACACCTCCAATATAACCTATGAATTCATTAAGCAGTATTATAATTAACTATCAATAAGAGTTGATTGAAAGATTTAAGTTAAGTTATACTAGACTATGTATTTCATTAATTCATCATATCCAAATCAACTCACCATATATTCACTGAAGGCTGCAGCATCAGCATCAACAAATTGTATCAAGTCTTTCATGGTTTTATACAATGGTGGTATAATCTTTCTCATTCTCGAATCAAGTTCATAAAACTTTTTGTTTCCATAAGTCAAAAAACCAACCATTGCTCCCAGAGCTGAACCCTGAAAAAAGAGATAATCCAATTCAGCAATTCATTCAAAGGATAAAGTCTAACTAGTGGATATAAAAAAAACATTTAATGCTCACCTGGTATCTAAAGTGGGAACTGTACAGCCCAATGAAGATTATTCTTTCAAAGTTTAATAGCCCTCCGTCATTTACAGCTTTTTATATAAAGTTTTGCAGTTTTTCAAGTATTGTTATGAGATTGTAATTATCATGATTATTTATCTTGGCCGGGTTTGTTTTGTGTGGCCTTGTAAGATGTTTACATAATTGGGTTGTGACCTTTTTATAGTTGCTTACAAAATAGTGTTATTGTGTAGTTTAGAAAATCTCGGGAACAATTATAGATACTTATGGAATGATTAGAACTTTCTATTTGACTTGCACAATAATTCCAGAATGATCATAATCTACAATGCGTAATTGAAACTTCTACAGTGTTCTAGAAGTTTCCTTTCTTTAATCTTCTAGAAGTTTCCCTTCTACAGTCTTCTAGAAGATTCCGTGACAACTATATATACAGACACCGAAATTAGACTTATCAGAAAATATTTAAGTATTTTCAGAAGATCTCTGGAGTTGTTGGATTGGCACTTTTATCTACGTTAACAACATCATCATACTAGTTTGTGAAGTTATTGGACATATTAATATTCCGTTTGGATTACTCAACAATTAAGAGAAGAATTCCGGATAAAGAAAAGACTATAGGATCAGACATTCAGATATGTTAACGGTTAAGTTGACATTTCTATTTGTATAATATTTCTTGTAAAATTGTATAATAAATCTTGTTAAATTTATTATTGATTTTTGTCTTTTGTTGGCCACAATTTAAAGGTGATTTCTGGCCGTAACAGTATAATATGAAATTTCAAATCTTTTTATACCAGATAATACCAACATAGGTTCACATATGTATGATATGTATGGTTTAACTATATTTAAAAAAAAAAAGTTATTCCCGATGACAGTAGGAGCCATCACCCATGATTCTACAGGGGGAGTTCAAATAGATGACAGTAGGAGCCATCAACCATGATTCTTAAGGGGGAGTTCAAATAGATGACAGCAGGAGCCATCAACCATGATTCTAAAAGGGGAGTTCAAATAGATGACAGTAGGAGCCATCAACCATGATTCTTAAGGGGGAGTTCAAATAGATGACAGTAGGAGCCATCAACCATGATTCTAAAGGGGGAGTTCAAATAGATGACAGTAGGAGCCATCAACCATGATTCTTAAGGGGGAGTTCAAATAGATGACAGCAGGAGCCATCACCCATGATTCTAAAGGGGGAGTTCAAATAGATGACAGTAGGAGCCATCAACCATGATTCTAAAGGGGGAGTTCAAATAGATGACAATAGCAGCCATTAACCATAATTCTTAAGGGGGAGTTCAAATAGATGACAGTAGGGGCCATCAACCGTGATTCTAAAGGGGGAGTTCAAATAGATGACAGTAGGGGCCATCAACCATGATTCTAAAGGGGGAGTTCAAATAGATGACAGTAGGAGCCATCAACCATGATTCTAAAGGGGGAGTTCAAATAGATGACAGTAGGAGCCATCAACCATGATTCTAAAGGGGAGTTCAAATAGATGACAGTAGAAGCCATCAACCATGATTCTTAAGGGGGAGTTCAAATAGATGACAGTAGGAGCCATCAACCATGATTCTTAGGAGGGAGTTCAAATAGATGACAGTAGGAGCCATCAACCATGATTCTAAAGGGGGAGTTCAAATGGATGACAGTAGGAGCCATCAACCATGATTCTAAAGGGGGAGTTTAAATAGATGACAGTAGGAGCCATTAATCATGATTCTTAAGGGGGAGTTCAAATAGATGACAGTAGGAGCCATCAACCATGATTCTTAAGGGGGAGTTCAAACAGATGACAGTAGGAGCCATCAACCATGATTCTTAAGGGGGAGTTCAAATAGATGACAGTAGGTGCCATCAACCATGATTCTAAAGGGGGAGTTCAAATAGATGACAGTAGGGGGCCATCAACCGTGATTCTAAAGGGGGAGTTCAAATAGATGACAGTAGGGGCCATCAACCATGATTCTAAAGGGGGAGTTCAAATAGATGACAGTAGGAGCCATCAACCATGATTCTAAAGGGGGAGTTCAAATAGATGACAGTAGGAGCCATCAACCATGATTCTTAAGGGGGAGTTCAAATAGATGACAGTAGGAGCCATCAACCATGATTCTAAAGGGGGAGTTTAAATAGATGACAGTAGGAGCCATTTATCATGATTCTTAAGGGGGAGTTCAAATAGATGACAGTAGGATCCATCAACCATGATTCTTAAGGGGGAGTTCAAATAGATGACAGCAGGAGCCATCAACCATGATTCTTACGGGGGAGTTCAAATAGATGACAGTAGGAGCCATCAACCATGATTCTAAAGGGGGAGTTCAAATAGATGACAGTAGGGGCCATCAACCATGATTCTAAAGGGGGAGTTCAAATAGATGATAGTAGGAGCCATCAACCATGATTCTAAAGGGGGAGTTCAAATAGATGACAATAGCAGCCATTAACCATAATTCTTAAGGGGGAGTTCAAATAGATGACAGTAGGGGCCATCAACCGTGATTCTAAAGGGGGAGTTCAAATAGATGACAGTAGGGGCCATCAACCATGATTCTAAAGGGGGAGTTCAAATAGATGACAGTAGGAGCCATCAACCATGATTCTAAAGGGGGAGTTCAAATAGATGACAGTAGGAGCCATCAACCATGATTCTAAAGGGGAGTTCAAATAGATGACAGTAGAAGCCATCAACCATGATTCTTAAGGGGGAGTTCAAATAGATGACAGTAGGAGCCATCAACCATGATTCTTAAGGGGGAGTTCAAATAGATGACAGTAGGAGCCATCAACCATGATTCTTAAGGGGGAGTTCAAATAGATGACAGTAGGAGCCATCAACCATGATTCCAAAGGAGGAGTTCAAATAGATGACAGTAGGAGCCATCAACCATGATTCTAAAGGGGGAGTTCAAATAGATGACAGTAGGAGCCATCACCCATGATTCTTAAGGGGGAGTTCAAATAGATGACAGCAGGAGCCATCATCCATGATTCTAAAGGGGAGTTCAAATAGATGACAGTAGGAGCCATCAACCATGATTCTAAAGGGGAGTTCAAATAGATGACAGTAGGAGCCATCAACCATGATTCTTAAGGGGGAGTTCAAATAGATGGCAGTAGGAGCCATGAACCATGATTCTAAAGGGGGAGTTCAAATAGATGACAATAGCAGCCATTAACCATAATTCTTAAGGGGGAGTTCAAATAGATGACAGTAGGGGCCATCAACCGTGATTCTAAAGGGGGGTTCAAATAGATGACAGTAGGAGCCATCAACCATGATTCTAAAGGGGAGTTCAAATAGATGACAGTAGGAGCCATCACCCATGATTCTTAAGGGGGAGTTCAAATAGATGACAGCAGGAGCCATCACCCATGATTCTAAAGGGGAGTTCAAATAGATGACAGTAGGAGCCATCAACCATGATTCTAAAGGGGAGTTCAAGTAGATGACAGTAGGAGCCATCAACCATGATTCTAAAGGGGAGTTCAAATAGATGACAGTAGGAGCCATCAACCATGATTCTTAAGGGGGAGTTCAAATAGATGACAGTAGGAGCCATCAACCATGATTCTAAAGGGGGAGTTCAAATAGATGACAATAGCAGCCATTAACCATAATTCTTAAGGGGGAGTTCAAATAGATGACCGTAGGAGCCATCAACCATGATTCTAAAGGGGAGTTCAAATAGATGACAGTAGGAGCCATCAACCATGATTCTAAAGGGGAGTTCAAATAGATGACAGTAGGAGCCATCAACCATGATTCTTAAGGGGGAGTTCAAATAGATGACAGTAGGAGCCATCAACCATGATTCTAAAGGGGGAGTTCAAATAGATGACAATAGCAGCCATTAACCATAATTCTTAAGGGGGAGTTCAAATAGATGACCGTAGGAGCCATCAACCATGATTCTAAAGGGGGAGTTCAAATAGATGACAGTAGGGGCCATCAACCATGATTCTAAAGGGGGAGTTCAAATAGATGACAGTAGAAGCCATCAACCATGATTCTAAAGGGGGAGTTCAAATAGATGACAGTAGAAGCCATCAACCATGATTCTTAAGGGGGAGTTCAAATAGATGACAGTAGGAGCCATCACCCATGATTCTAAAGGGGGAGTTCAAATAGATGACAGTAGGAGCCATCAACCATGATTCTAAAGGGGGAGTTCAAATAGATGACAGTAGGAGCCATCAACCATGATTCTAAAGGGGGAGTTCAAATAGATGACAGTAGGAGCCATCAACCATGATTCTTAAGGGGAGTTCAAATAGATGACAGTAGGAGCCATCACCCATGATTCTAAAGGGGGAGTTCAAATAGATGACAGTAGGAGCCATCAACCATGATTCCAAAGGAGGAGTTCAAATAGATGACAGTAGAAGCCATCAACCATGATTCTAAAGGGGGAGTTCAAATAGATGACAGTAGGAGCCATCAACCATGATTCTTAAGGGGGAGTTCAAATAGATGACAGTAGGAGCCATCAACCATGATTCTAAAGGGGAGTTCAAATAGATGACAGTAGAAGCCATCAACCATGATTCTTAAGGGGGAGTTCAAATAGATGACAGTAGGAGCCATCAACCATGATTCTTAAAGAGGGAGTTCAAATAGATGACAGTAGGAGCCATCAACCATGATTCTAAAGGGGGAGTTCAAATAGATGACAGTAGGAGCCATCAACCATGATCTTAAGGGGGAGTTCAAATAGATGACAGTAGGAGCCATCACCCATGATTCTAAAGGGGGAGTTCAAATAGATGACAGTAGGAGCCATCAACCATGATTCTAAAGGGGTTCAAATAGATGACAGTAGGAGCCATCAACCATGATTCTAAAGGGGGAGTTCAAATAGATGACAGTAGGAGCCATCAACCATGATTCTAAAGGGGGAGTTCAAATAGATGACAGTAGGAGCCATCAACCATGATTCTAAAGGGGGAGTTCAAATAGATGACAGTAGGAGCCATCAACCATGATTCTAAAGGGGGAGTTCAAATAGATGACAGTAGGAGCCATCAACCATGATTCTTAAGGGGGAGTTCAAATAGATGACAGTAGGAGCCATCACCCATGATTCTAAAGGGGGAGTTCAAATAGATGACAGTAGGAGCCATCAACCATGATTCCAAAGGAGGAGTTCAAATAGATGACAGTAGGAGCCATCAACCATGATTCTTAAGGGGGAGTTCAAATAGATGACAGTAGGAGCCATCAACCATGATTCTTAAGGGGGAGTTCAAATAGATGACAGTAGGAGCCATCAACCATGATTCTAAAGGGGAGTTCAAATAGATGACAGTAGAAGTCATCAACCATGATTCTTAAGGGGGAGTTCAAATAGATGACAGTAGGAGCCATCAACCATGATTCTTAAGAGGGAGTTCAAATAGATGACAGTAGGAGCCATCAACCATGATTCCAAAGGAGGAGTTCAAATAGATGACAGTAGGAGCCATCACCCATGATTCTAAAGGGGGAGTTCAAATAGATGACAGTAGGAGCCATCAACCATGATTCTAAAGGGGGAGTTTAAATAGATGACAGTAGGAGCCATTAATCATGATTCTTAAGGGGGAGTTCAAATAGATGACAGTAGGAGCCATCAACCATGATTCTTAAGGGGGAGTTCAAACAGATGACAGTAGGAGCCATCAACCATGATTCTAAAGGGGGAGTTCAAATAGATGACAGTAGGAGCCATCAACCATGATTCTAAAGGGGGAGTTCAAATAGATGACAGTAGGAGCCATCACCCATGATTCTAAAGGGGGAGTTTAAATAGATGACAGTAGGAGCCATCAACCATGATTCTAAAGGGGGAGTTCAAATAGATGACAGTAGGAGCCATCAACCATGATTCTTAAGGGGGAGTTCAAATAGATGACAGTAGGAGCCATCACCCATGATTCTAAAGGGGGAGTTCAAATAGATGACAGTAGGAGCCATCAACCATGATTCCAAAGGAGGAGTTCAAATAGATGACAGTAGGAGCCATCAACCATGATTCTTAAGGGGGAGTTCAAATAGATGACAGTAGGAGCCATCAACCATGATTCTTAAGGGGGAGTTCAAATAGATGACAGTAGGAGCCATCAACCATGATTCTAAAGGGGAGTTCAAATAGATGACAGTAGAAGTCATCAACCATGATTCTTAAGGGGGAGTTCAAATAGATGACAGTAGGAGCCATCAACCATGATTCTTAAGAGGGAGTTCAAATAGATGACAGTAGGAGCCATCAACCATGATTCCAAAGGAGGAGTTCAAATAGATGACAGTAGGAGCCATCACCCATGATTCTAAAGGGGGAGTTCAAATAGATGACAGTAGGAGCCATCAACCATGATTCTAAAGGGGGAGTTTAAATAGATGACAGTAGGAGCCATTAATCATGATTCTTAAGGGGGAGTTCAAATAGATGACAGTAGGAGCCATCAACCATGATTCTTAAGGGGGAGTTCAAACAGATGACAGTAGGAGCCATCAACCATGATTCTAAAGGGGGAGTTCAAATAGATGACAGTAGGAGCCATCAACCATGATTCTAAAGGGGGAGTTCAAATAGATGACAGTAGGAGCCATCAACCATGATTCTAAAGGGGGAGTTCAAATAGATGACAGTAGGAGCCATCAACCATGATTCTTAAGGGGGAGTTCAAATAGATGACAGTAGGAGCCATCAACCATGATTCTAAAGGGGGAGTTCAAATAGATGACAGTAGGAGCCATCAACCATGATTCTTAAGGGGGAGTTCAAATAGATGACAGTAGGAGCCATCAACCATGATTCTAAAGGGGGAGTTCAAATAGATGACAGTAGGAGCCATCACCCATGATTCTAAAGGGGGAGTTCAAATAGATGACAGTAGGAGCCATCAACCATGATTCTAAAGGGGTTCAAATAGATGACAGTAGGAGCCATCAACCATGATTCTAAAGGGGGAGTTCAAATAGATGACAGTAGGAGCCATCAACCATGATTCTAAAGGGGGAGTTGAAATAGATGACAGTAGGAGCCATCAACCATGATTCTAAAGGGGGAGTTCAAATAGATGACAGTAGGAGCCATCAACCATGATTCTAAAGGGGGAGTTCAAATAGATGACAGTAGGAGCCATCAACCATGATTCTTAAGGGGGGGTTCAAATAGATGACAGTAGGAGCCATCACCCATGATTCTAAAGGGGGAGTTCAAATAGATGACAGTAGGAGCCATCAACCATGATTCCAAAGGAGGAGTTCAAATAGATGACAGTAGGAGCCATCAACCATGATTCTAAAGGGGGAGTTCAAATAGATGACAGTAGGAGCCATCAACCATGATTCTTAAGGGGGAGTTCAAATAGATGACAGTAGGAGCCATCAACCATGATTCTAAAGGGGAGTTCAAATAGATGACAGTAGAAAACCATGATTCTTAAGGGGGAGTTCAAATAGATGACAGTAGAAGCCATCAACCATGATTCTTAAGGGGGGGGGGGGGGTTCAAATAGATGACAGTATGGGCCATCAACCATGAGGGGGAGTTCAAATGTGTTTTGAAATACAGTGGTAGTTATGTTAAGTGACAGGTGTGGTTGTCAACTAAAATTTATTAATGCAGGTCACATTTTGTTGTTTCAATAAGTTTAGTAGTAAATAAAAAATCCCAAAAACTCTTCTTTTTTACTGATTTTTATTGTCATTTTTTTTCACAAAGCTTGATAATTGTTGCAATCATTTACTTAGAATAAGGAACTCATATTTAATTTCCTCAAAGTTTTGATAGTTATTTTAACAGGATTAAAGTACAGTTCTTTTTGAAACAAACGAAAATTATTATGTAATGGTGGCATTCAATGAAATCTTCAATAAACATTACCCCATAAGTTTGGCACCTATAAAATATAAGTTTTAGGTAACCTTGACCTTAAACTTACAAGAGAACCTAAAAGTTCTGTCACTGATCCCCCATTTCTAAGAGGTAACCACAGTAGTAAATAACCTTGACCTTATACTTACAAGAGAACCTAAAAGTTCTGTCACTGATCCCCCATTTCAAAGAGGTAACCACAGTAGTAAATAACCTTGACCTTATACTTACTAAAGAACCTAAAAGTTCTGTCACTGATCCCCCATTTCTAAGAGGTAACCACAGTTGTAAATAACCTTGACCTTATACTTACTAGAGAAGCTAACAGTGCTGCCACTGAGCCACCACCAGGTGTAGGTGACCTTGACCCAATAGTTAATACAAAATCTTTCACATCCATGCTGACTAGTGGACCATCATTTTCATCTGATATCATATATCTAAAAATAAATATAATTGTATAACAATATATTATAACTAAAAAATAAACATAGTTGCTACAACCTACTTTATTTGATCCCTGTTGGATAGTTATCTCATAGGCAATCATACCCCCATCTCCTCACTTTATATAGATACATATATAATTATATATTACTGTCTCATAACTAAAAAAAACATAGATACATCATCATCATATTTCTTAAACTCAAATTAACAATTCACTGTTATCGTATATTCTAGAATAAGGGTATAATAATTAACAATTCACTGTTATCGTATATTCTAGAATAAGGGAATAATAATTAACAATTCACTGTTATGGTATATTCTAGAATAAGGGAATAATTAACAATTCACTGTTATCGTATATTCTAGAATAAGGGAATAATAATTAACAATTCACTGTTATCTTATATTCTAGAATAAGGGAATAATAATTATGCAAGTAAATGTTTATACATAATGTTTGGCTATCAAGAAATAACTCCTTTATGTCATAAAATTCCTTTTGAAATTAATTATTGCTTCTTTTCAAAAGACAACTTTTGTGTTATATAAGATGTTTTGGCCATTAATTGATATTCATTTTCGTGGATTGAGGAAAACATGCAATTTTGTGGACATTTGATTTCGTGGCTTTGCCAAAGTCTGTATATATTCCTATAGAAAATTTTTAATTTGTTAAACTTTTAAATATGTGGTTCCCCTGTAAGCACAAAATCCACGTAAAACCGATATCCTACCAATAATAACGAATCTACAGTATATTCTAAATATGGATTGTATAGCTCTTCTATCTTCTGAAATATTGAGTAATTATTTAATGTTGTCACTGCATTAGCACCTCTTAATTAGGCTTTGCAGTAGAGATGAATCTCTCATTATTGTCAACAACAGCAGATAGTAAGGCATCCCTGAAGAAACTGACTGTCGATACAAATAAAGAAAAGAAAAGGATAACATAACTTACTCTATTTTGCTTTTTTAAACTTATTAAAGCTCCTAAGAATTCAAGAACTTACTCTATAATTCTTTCTTTAGGACTAAAGGCTCCTAAAGAGTTTAGTCCCATTCTGTTAATAACCTGTAAACATAAAAATAGACATTTAGGTATATGGGCCTATAATATAAGGCCAATAAGAATGTTTTAAGTAGTTTGACCACAACAAGTGAAATAAAGGGTTCTGTGACCAAGAAACTTTTACATGTGAGGGAACTATAATAATTGGTACATGTCAACCGCGGTTTTCTATTCTGTGACAGGGAAGATTTCACAAGTGAGGGAACTATAATAATTGATACATATCAACCTAAGTTTTCTATTCTGTGACAGGGAAGATTTCACAAGTGAGGGAACTATAATAATTGATACATATCAACCTAAGTTTTCTATTCTGTGACAGGGAAGATTTCACAAGTGAGGGAACTATAATAATTGGTACATGTCAACCGCGGTTTTCTATTCTGTGACAGGGAAGATTTCACAAGTGAGGGAACTATAATAATTGATACATATCAACCTAAGTTTTCTATTCTGTGACAGGGAAGATTTCACAAGTGAGGGAACTATAATAATTGATACATATCAACCTAAGTTTTCTATTCTGTGACAGGGAAGATTTCACAAGTGAGGGAACTATAATAATTGGTACATGTCAACCGCGGTTTTCTATTCTGTGACAGGGAAGATTTCACAAGTGAGGGAACTATAATAATTGATACATATCAACCTAAGTTTTCTATTCTCTGACAGGAAAGTTAAAACAATGGAGGTAACTTGTACATATCAACCTACAGTTAAATACTGTGACACAAGCTTTCACAACAGAGGGAATATAATAATTTGCACATATATAACTAAGTTTTCTATTCTGTGACAGGGAGGCTTTCACAAGGGAGGAAACTCTAATAATTTTGTATATAGATTAACCAATGTTTTCTATTCTTGACAGGGGAGTTTAAACAAGGGCAGTAACAACAATAATTAATACAAACCAATCTGAGTTTCTGGTCCTCTTCTAAAATAAACAGATTTTCTTTTTCCATGTAATAATCAGCAGCTTGCATTAATGCCTCTAGTGGGACTAAACCAACAATCTGTGATCCACAAATTGCTAAATTTAACTCCTGCAATGAAGGAAAAAGAATATCTATCTTCATATAGGTAATAGGTAAATCCTTTGATTGAATCATACTTAATATTGAATAATTACTATCATACTTGGTTATTTCTGCAAAATCAAGTGTTAACCCTTACAGACAAGGTCAAACATGACTTGTATTTATATGTTAATTTATAAACTTTCCAAGTCTCAAATAATATTAGTTCTAGGTTTGTTCAACGGAATCCTTAAATTTGACAACTTTTTATGTTATCAGGGGACATGTGCCAAGAAGAACAAGTTTGAAATACAATAAAAGATTTTAACCAGTATTTCATGCATGGTCCCTTATTAAAATGAATTAAATGCATAAATATTTGAATGATTTGCTAATTGAGAAATTTATGGCTCTCCTTCTCTCTTTTATGCAAGGGATCATTTCAAGTCATGTGACAAGCTACACGACAAGTAACATACCTCAGCATCTTTACACACTTCTTCATAAACTTTATGTATAGGTGTCACATTATAATCTGATATATTTGTAGAAACTTGAGCCATGTTGGCCTCCTCTAAATACCATCCTATGGCCTGGACAGATTTACATCTTCCTTTCTGTAAAATTGTAGGAAATATTTGATTTATGTAAAAATACATAGTTTTTAAAATAACTAAATGGCAGAATTAACAAGCATTCTGAGAGTATTGCATGGCAAGACATAGTTCCCTACCGGGTAAAAATTCATTATACTGGAACAAAATGCTAACTTGTTCTATAATTTGTCATGGTGTAAACAAAAAGTAAATATCATGTCAATATCTTCAAGCAGGACTAAAAACAGTGTGGAAAACTGATTGTATGAGTGAATTTTTCAAGTCCAAGGACCATAATTCTGCACAAAATTATTAGACCGAAACAAATATTTGAACTTGATCTGTAACTTGTCATGATAAAACTATATACCAATTATCAATCAATATCTTATAAGCATGATGAAAAAAACATTAGATATGATTAATAGTTCTCTAAAATTAGATATGATGTAATACAGTGTATATCTATTTTCAAATTATAATCAAATATAATTAATAGTTCCAAATATTTTTTCTTTCATTTGTCACAAACTAATATAGATTTGTAACTTATCTATAAAATGTCAACAACTTTTATCTACACAATGTAATGTATTGAAATATATACATTAATAAAAATAGATTATTATCTAATTAAAGGATTTCTCTTCATAATTTTTTTTTTATATATATAGCATTCAGAAAATTAGTTTATACTAAATAACAAATAAACCTGCCAAAAAATTCTTCAAATAATTTAACAATCGATGTCTTTTAAAAAATGAGTTATCTCCCTTTGTACAGAAATATGGTTTTACATAGTACTCTAGATATGGTCCAGAGTTATGGTCCATAACTCTGGACTAAACCATCAGACCGGAACAAAATTCGAACTTGATCTATAACTTGTCATGATAAAACTATATACCAAATATCAAATCAATATCTTCAAGAACGAAGAAAAAAGTGTGGAAAGCTGATTTGCCCGACTGACGGATGGACAGACGGACAGAGTGCAAACCTAAAGTCCCCTTCGACTTCCTCGGTAGGGGACTAATTAGCTGAAATTCTTCATCTTTTTGAAAAATTAAATTTGTATTGATATTTAGAATTTCTGCGGAACCGTGTGTCTCGCCTACTATTGCTGCTTTCAGTGTAAAAGTGTAATGTTGACTTAAAAAGTGAGTCCATTTATCAGTAAAATACAGAAATTAAAAAAAATATAAAAAAAAATTTCTTTAGATGCTATTCCTTGGACTTGAAGATTAGCTTCTGTCAAGTTTCATAACAATCCATGAAGGTTTACAAATTTATCATGTCAAAAAAATTTCATCCCACACTGTCTGTAAATGTAAACTGTAAAAAACGTAGTCCATCTATCAGAAAAATACTACAAATGAAAAAAATATATTTTAAAAGGTTTGCTTTAGACATTATTTCTTAATCATAAAAAAGCTTCTGCCAAAGTATCATAAAACTCTATGAAGGTTTGACAAAGTAATTGATGAGTTACAAATGTTAACCCCATCTGTATCTACTTATTAACTTTTAAAAAACTAAGTCCATTTATCAGTAAAATACAGAAAAATGAAAAATAATTTTTTTTTTTTATTTTGCTCTAGATACTGTATTTTGGTCTTAAACAAGCTTCTGTCTAAATTTCATAAAATTTTATGAAGATTTGACAAAAGTTATTGATGTCAAAAAAAATTCAAGCTCAGACTTCCAGTAAATCTGAATGTTAACCATTTATCAGTAAAATACGGAAAATTTTCAAATGTTCGCTCTGGATACTGTATTTTGATCATAAGCAAGCTTCTGTATACATTTCATAAAATTCCATGAAGGTTTGACATAGTAATTGATGACTGAAAAACTTAATTAATAATTGTTTGCTTTAAGCTTTAAGACTATAGTAGAAAAAACAAAACAATGAAGGCATAAATAATAATACTTTGACAGATAAAGTTTCAAACACAAGATATGCTATAAGATTAGAAAAACTAGCAACATAGGAGAGCTATAGCTCCAATAATGGTACACTGTAATAATATAATAGAGATACAATAACAGCACCACTACTTCAGCTCTAGTACATAAATATCATTAACACAAGTGGATTAGTCAATCGTAAAATAAATACAGTACATGATATACTTCAAACTTCAAGGTTAAAATGAGAATGTCGTTAATTTGTTAATTAATACAAATATAAAACAAGAAATGATTGTAACAGGATTCTGTTACGAAGTCTCCCAAACGAAGCTCCCATAATTCGTAATTCCCAGGGTCGCCTGACATTGGGCAACGTCCAGTGAAAATTGGTTTGGTCCAGTAAAGTTATATGCATTAGTGATGCCTGGGGACTAACCTTGTATATCATTCAAATCATCTTGGCATGACAAACCAGAATATATATGGTTTAGGGGTGAGGATCTCAACCATTTACAAGATATTAGAACATTGGGGGTGGGGGGGGAACCCCTGGGGACTGACCGTATACGTCATTCAAATGTTCGAGACATGACAAATAGGAATATATATGGTTTAGGGGTGGGGATCTCAACCATTTACAAGGTATTAGAACTTTCTTAAATGGCAGGGGGTGGGGATGACCCCTGGGGACTAACCCTGTATTTCATTTGATGTGCTTTATCATGACAAACCAGAATATATATGGTTTAGGGGTGGGGATCTCGACCATTTACAAGATATTAGAACTTTCTCAAATGGCAGGGGGTCGGGATGACCCCTGGGGACTAACCCTGTGTATCATTCAAACCATCTTAGCATGACAAACCAGAATATATATGGTTTAGGGGTGGGGATCTTGACCACTTAGAAGATATTAGAACTTTCTCAAATGGCATGGGGTGGGGGTGACCCCTGGGGACTAACCCTGTATTACATTTGATGTGCTTTATCATGACAAACCAGAATATATATGGTTTAGGGGTGGGGATCTCGACCATTTACAAGGTATAAGAACTTTCTCAAACGGCAGGGGGTCGGGATGACCCCTGGGGACTAACCCTGTATATCATTCAAACCATCTTAGCATGACAAACCAAAATATATATGGTTTAGGGGTGGGGATCTCAACCATTTACAAGGTATTAGAACTTTCTTAAATGGCAGGGGGTGGGGGTGACCCCTGGGGACTAACCCTGTACTTCATTTAATGGGCTTTATCATTTAGAACATTTTCAATTAAAAAGATTGTGTCTATCACAAACGGTTTTCAATTTATAATCATTTTGAAATTTTAAAAAATAAAATCCCATAGGGTTCTATAGTAAAACCCTCTTTTCTTTTTGCCCCTCAAAGTACCCCTTTATAAACCCCATTGCACAAACAAAACCCTGATTGCACCACTAGACATGTTAGTCTAACATATTGTGAAACCCTAAGTTAATCTGGCAAGCGGTTTTGGAGAAAGGGTGCGGACAAGTTCAAATTTAAAAGCGGCGGAAGAGGAAGAAGAAGAAGAAGAAGAATAATAATAATAACAAGAAATGATTGTAACAGGATGCTGTTACGAAGTCTCCCAAACGAAGCTCCCATAATTCGTAATTCCCAGGGTCGCCTGACATTGGACAAAGTCCAGTGAAAATTGGTTTGGTCCAGTAAAGTTATATGCATTAGTGATGCCTGGGGACTAACCCTGTATATCATTCAAACCATCTTGGCATGACAAACCAGAATATATATGGTTTAGGGGTGGGGATCTCGACCATTTACAAGATACTAGAACATTGGGGGTGGGGGGAACCCCTGGGGACTGACCCTAAACATCATTCAAATGTTCGAGACATGACGAACAGGAATATATATGGAATATATATGGTTTAGGGGTGGGGATCACGACCATTTACAAGATATTAGAACTTTCTCAAATGACAGGGGGTCGGGATGACCCCTGGGGACTAACTCTGTATATCATTCAAACCATCTTGGTATGACAAACCAGAATATATATGGTTTAGGGGTGGGGATCTTGACCATTAACAAGATATTAGAACTTTCTTAAATAGCAGGGGGTGGGGGTGACCCCTAGGGACTAACCCTGTATATCATTCAAACCATCTTCACATGACAAACCAGAATATACATGGTTTAGGGGTGGGGATCTTGACCACTTACAAGTTATTAGAACTTTCTTTAATGGCAGGGGGTGGGGGTGACCCCTGGGGTTTAACCCTGTATTTTATTTGATGTGCTTTATCATGACAAACCAGAATATATATGGTTTAGGGGTGGGGATCTCGACCATTTACAAGATATTAGAACTTTCTTAAATGGCATGGGGTGGGGGTGACCCCTGGGGACTAACCCTGTATTTCATTTCATGTGCTTTATCATGACAAACCAGAATATATATGGTTTAGGGGTGGGGATCTCGACCATTTACAAGATATTAGAACTTTCTCAAATGGCAGGGGGTCGGGATGACCCCTGGGGACTAACCCTGTATATCATTCAAACCATCTTAGCATGACAAACCAGAATATATATGGTTTAGGGGTGGGGATCTTGACCACTTACAAGGTATTAGAACTTTCTTAAATGGCAGGGGGTGGGGGTGACCCCTGGGGACTAACCCTGTATTTCATTTAATGGGTTTTATCATTTAGAACATTTTCAATTAAAAAGATTGTGTCTATCACAAACGGTTTAAAGTTATAATCATTTGAAAATTTTAAAAAATAAAATCCCATAGGGTTCTATAGTAAAACCCTCTTTTCTTTTTGCCCCTCAAAGTACCCCTTTATAAACCCCATTGCACAAACAAAACCCTGATTGCACCACTAGACATGTTAGTCTAACATATTGTCAAACCCTAAGTTAATCTGACAAGTGGTTTTGGAGAACAGGTGCGGACAAGTTCAAATTTAAAAGCGGCGGAAGAGGAAGAGGAAGAGGAAGAGGAAGAAGAATAATAATAATAATAAGAACTGAGCAAAAACAATAGGTCTTCCCAAACTTCATTTGGGAGACTTAATAAGAACTGAGCAAAAACAATAAGTCTTCCCAAACTTCGTTTGGGAGACTTAATAACATGTTAAAAAATTGTTATTGATAAATATATAAAAAAGACTAATTTGCATATGAAAAGTGACCCATCAATTAAACTATTTCCTTTAAATCCACAGAGCTCCATGCTTATTCCAATGAATGTTATAGAGAAGTTCTACAGTTCCTCTGTCTAAACCAAATCTCTTTCACACTGACCAGTGCCAATAAATAGTTCTATTTGTTACCCTGTCTAAACCAAATCTCTTTCACACTGACCAGTGCCAATAAATAACAGATATTGAGTAGGAGTGAAGGCAAGTGCTTGGTATAAACAGGACAAATTATTATGTAAAACTCATTCTTGGTTATGAAACATCAGGTAAACAGGACTTTGGTATATAAATGAAATAATGGAAGAATACTCAGTCATGTTCAGAAGCAGTTAATTTCAAAAAGGTCAGATAACTGAAGAATATTCAGTGCTGTTCAGAAGCCGTTAATTTCAAAAAGGTCAGATAACTGAAGAATATTGAGTGTGGTTGAGTTTAAAGAGACATTTAGTTAAATCAAGGATTGGTTTAGACAGGGTGGTTGTAAGATAAAACATTATAAAAGCAATGATTATATTCCAGCAGTGAATAGCAATCTCAGCATGCAGTGCACACTGCAATTTGTATTTATTTACCACGGGATTCCAGCCTGTTCCGTAATACTAAAAAATATGTATAATATATGTGAAGTATACCCTTGTTAGTTGTAAATAAACATTTAACTTCATTACTTGTCAACAAAATTAAAATAATAGATGTATAAGTGTTGATATTAACCTATAATTTAAAATACATTGTAAATTGTCTATTTATCAAAATTTCATGTGTCTGAGAACTGGTCATTAAAACAGGTCTAATACAGATAAAAACCTGTCTAATACAGAATTTTTACAGGTCTAATACAGGATTTTTAACTTTCAGTTTTGGTTCAAAAAGGTGTCAGAAAATGGAAGGTTGTATTATTGATAGATTATATTTATAATAATGAACAAGTTTGATGTTAACAGTTGTTTTTCATATGTTATAATATATATTTTTCTTTGACTTTATACAATTATGTAACGGGTGAATTTCCAGAATTGTCAACCGTAAAAGATCATTTTTCTGAGGGTGCAGTCCAAAGTGAAATTACTTTTAAGGGTTGACAATTTTGAATATCACTGCGTCTAAGGGGCCATGAAAATTAACCGTATTAGTTCATATTAATCCTGTATTAGTCTTCTTTCAATCATGTTTGTTCTCAGTCAGATTTTGGTGGTTATTTTAAGTCATTGGTTGATAAAGGTGTCATAAAATGGATGTTTTCATATTGATCTTGTATTATGTCCAAGTACAGTCCTATTGGGTCTCCAACAGCAGTATTCATGCTTTCAGCTATGCTCGAGGTAATAGGGCTTACCTCATCCCAATACAACTGTTTTTGGATATAATACAGGATCAATATCAAAACACTCTTTTAACAACTCTACAGAATATATTCTACAATCTAATATTTATTTGCTGTCTACATTCCTACAAAAAACAACAACAGATACAAAGAGGAATATTTAAGTTTCAATAAGACTAAAAAAATTAGAGTTAGTTTTCTTTACATCAGCATATCTATTTTTTTGTGAATTGCTGTATGCCAGAGATGAAACAAGAGAGTACATGCTGAAATGCCTGCATTACTGAATAATCATGTTTGAATTTTTTGTTGAAAGTTTTTTACATGTGTACTACAATTATCATGTAGATTAAACTTTATCAGTGATCCATTTAAATAATGTCAAGGCTAGATAAATCATGCCAGAAAGACATTTATATCTTACAATCATTCCATACAACAAATATAGTAGACTGATTGCTTATAGTATCTGCGAAACAGACCTAACCACAACAACAAATATAGCGACCTATGAACCATTAAAATGAGATAAGGTCAGATGAACCCTGCCAGACAGACACTTCCACTTTGCAATAACTACATGCATTAAATACTATTCATATTTGGTTATATTAATTTAGAAACATACCTAACCATGGAACTTAATATTGACCAATGAGGTCAATGTCAGATTAACCCTGCCAGACAGACAAGTACATCATACATTCATTCCATACACCAAATATAATTGCTTTTAGTATCTGAGAAACCCTAAAAGACCATGAAACTTAACATTGACCAATGAACCATGAAACTGCGGTACAGCTCAGTTGAAATCTGCCAGAAAAACATGTACACCTTACAATCATTCCTTACAACACATATAGTTGTCATATCGCTTGTAGTATCCAAGGTACAGACAAAAAGTTCAAATTGACCAATGAATCATGAAAATAATGTCAAGGTCAAATGAACCTGACAAAAAGGATATGTACACCTTACAATCTTTCCATGCACCAAACACATTGAATTTTTTGTTGAAAGTTTTTTTACATGTGTACTACAATTATCACGTAGATTTAACTTTATCAGTGATCTATGTAAATAATGTCAAGACTAGATGAATCATACCAGAAAGACATTTATATCTTACAATCATTCCATACACCAAATATAGTAGACTGATTGCTTAAAGTATCTGGGAAACAGACCTAACCACAACAACAAAAATAGCAACCTATGAACCATTCAAATGAGATCAAGGTACTATGACCTATTGCTGGTAGTATCTGAGAAATGAATTTAACCAAGGAAACACCCTTGGTCACTGGTCCATGAAGTTCATGGCAGGTGAACCTTGTCTGACAAATATGTAGACCTTGTACCAATATAGTGAGAAATTCATGAGACAAAAAACTAGGTTTTTTTGCAATAGTTGAACCATGAAAAAATTGGGTCAAAGACAATGGACATATGACTCCAAATCTTCTATATACAAAAATATAAAGCATTATACAAATAGTTTACACATCTGCTGAATTAGCATCCCTAACCTCCATTCAGTAATTTTAGTTACAGCCGAGACAAAAAGTCACAAAACTTCTCTTTCTGGTACTACTTTCTCTAGTTACTTTTTAGATGTAAATAAAACTAAGTTTATCTTATCTATTATAATAAAACTAAGTTTATCTTATCTATAATAATAAAACTAAGTTTATCTTATCTATTATAATAAAACTAAGTTTATCTTATCTATTCAAATAAAGCAGAACAATATCACAGCTGATTTTTTTAGAAATTATTATATAAAAAAATTATAAACTTTTTGCTGTTTTGTTTAAACTTGTGTTTTGTTTTGTTTTTAAAAGGTAAAATTTTTGTTGTTGAGGAACTTACTTATCAATTCTAAGATATGATGTATTTTACCAATGAGTGACATAATTTGCATAAATATTCATATAATTAACCGTTTTCATATATATATATTATATATTTATATATATACATTTTTTTAAAGTCTTTTATTGATTTATACATTTTTTTTTCTCTATACACCAATTTTGTGTATGTTGAATGAAGGAAATAAAATGTTTTCCAATCATTTTGTAGTGTGTAACATAAGGAAATAATTGACATCCTAAATTATAACAGACTGTTTTATAAATGTAATTAGGTCAATGTTTTATTACTGTAATTAGGTCAATTGGAACAAAGTTCAAGTTATCATAATTATGGTAAAATACTGGAACTTGAAATTGTTGTATAATTTCTGTGTTTGGTAAAATCAAGAGACTTCAAAAGCATCTTTACTGTTAGTAATTATAAGAAAAATTAATATGTCGCCAATAATATATATGTATTGAATAAATATGTATTAGTTGATATATTAATTCACAAAACACTCACAAGGTTGACAAGAAAAGGAAATGATAACGTACTACTGATGAACATTTAACAAAACTATGAAATACAGAATTTTGGTAAAGAGCCATTATTTGGCAACCAGAAATAATAATCCTTTTAAAATTATATATCAATTCTATTTATAAATGAAAAGGGTGTACAACTTAGTCACTTTGCTGTAAATATATAATTTGTAATGTTATTCATAAACATGTCACAATTATCTTCCATATTGTTTTTGGTGAACTCATTATAAACAATCCTATCAAATGATTTGATTTTTGATTTTTTGGTGTTTTAACGCCACTTTTAAGCACCGCTTTTGGGCTATTTCGTGGCGGCCAGTTTTTATTGGTGGAGGAAGCCGGAGTGCCCGGATAAAACCACCGACCTTCGATAGGAAAACTGACAATCCTAGTCAATTAAGATTGGAGTCGAGTGCACCCGCACGAGCGGGGTTCGAACTCACAACCTCAGTGTTGACTGGCTAGTGATTACAGTAGTAACTACTTAGACCACTCGGCCACCGAGGCCCCCCCTATCAAATGAGATATTTGGCTTACATTATATCTTTGTATAAAATATACTTTTGGATAATGTATTAAGGGTAAGGCTTTTGATCATATATATATATAATGTATTTAGGGTAAAGCTTTTGATCATATATATTTATAATGTATTTAGGATAAGGCTTTTGATCATATATATAATGTATTTAAGGTAAGGTTTTGGTCATATATATAATGCATTTAGGGTAAGGCTTTTGGTCATATATATAATGTATTTAGGGTAAGGTTTTGTGGTCATATATATAATGTATTTAGGGTAAGGCTTTGGTCATATATAATGTATTTAGGGTCAGGCTTTTTGTCATATATATAATGTATTTAGGGTAAGGCTTTTGGTCATATATATAATGCATTTAGGGTAAGGCTTTTGGTCATATATATAATGTATTTAGGGTAAGGCTTTGGTCATATATATAATGTATTTAGGGTAAGGTTTTGTGGTCATATATATAATGTATTTAGGGTAAGGCTTTGGTCATATATATAATGTATTTAGGGTCAGGCTTTGTGGTCATATATATAATGTATTTAGGGTAAGGCTTTGGTCATATATATAATGTATTTAGGGTAAGGTTTTGTGGTCATATATATAATGTATTTAGGGTAAGGCTTTGGTCATATATATAATGTATTTAGGGTCAGGCTTTTTGTCATATATATAATGTATTTAGGGTCAGGCTTTTTGTCATATATATAATGTATTTAGGGTCAGGCTTTTTGTCATATATATAATGTATTTAGGGTCAGGCTTTTTGTCATATATATATAATGTATTTAGGGTAAGGCTTTTGGTCATATATATAATGCATTTAGGGTAAGGCTTTTGGTCATATATATAATGTATTTAGGGTAAGGTTTTGTGGTCATATATATAATGTATTTAGGGTAAGGCTTTGGTCATATATAATGTATTTAGGGTCAGGCTTTTTGTCATATATATAATGTATTTAGGGTAAGGCTTTTGGTCATATATATAATGCATTTAGGGTAAGGCTTTTGGTCATATATAATGTATTTAGGGTAAGGCTTTGGTCATATATATAATGTATTTAGGGTAAGGCTTTGGTCATATATATAATGTATTTAGGGTAAGGTTTTGTGGTCATATATATAATGTATTTAGGGTAAGGCTTTGGTCATATATATAATGTATTTAGGGTCAGGCTTTGTGGTCATATATATAATGTATTTAGGGTAAGGCTTTGGTCATATATATAATGTATTTAGGGTAAGGTTTTGTGGTCATATATATAATGTATTTAGGGTAAGGCTTTGGTCATATATATAATGTATTTAGGGTCAGGCTTTTTGTCATATATATAATGTATTTAGGATAAGGCTTTTGGTCATATATATAATGCATTTAGGGTCAGGCTTTTTGTCATATATATAATGTATTTAGGGTCAGGCTTTTGGTCATATATATAATGTATTTAGGGTAAGGTTTTGTGGTCATATATATAATGTATTTAGGGTCAGGCTTTTTGTCATATATATATAATGTATTTAGGGTAAGGCTTTGGTCATATATATAATGTATTTAGGGTAAGGCTTTTGATCATATATATAATGTATTTAGGGTAAGGTTTTGTGGTCATATATATAATGCATTTAGGGTCAGGCTTTTTGTCATATATATAATGTATTTAGGGTAAGGCTTTTGGTCATATATATAATGTATTTAGGGTAAGGTTTTGTGGTCATATATATAATGTATTTAGGGTAAGGCTTTTGGTCATATATATAATGTATTTAGGGTAAGGTTTTGTGGTCATATATATATAATGTATTTAGGGTAAGGTTTTGTGGTCATATATATAATGTATTTAGGGTAAGGTTTTGTGGTCATATATATAATGTATTTAGGGTAAGGTTTTTGATCATATATATAATGTATTTAGGGTAAGGCTTTTGGTCATATATATAATGTATTTAGGATAAGGCTTTTGATCATATATATAATGTATTTAGGATAAGGCTTTTGGTCATATATATAATGTATTTAGGGTCAGGCTTTTTGTCATATATATAATGTATTTAGGGTAAGGCTTTGGTCATATACATAATGTATTTAGGATAAAGCTTTTGATCATATATATAATGTATTTAGGATAAGGCTTTTGTTCATATATATAATGTATTTAGGGTAAGGCTTTGGTCATATATATAATGTATTCAGGATAAAGCTTTTTATCATATATATAATGTATTTAGGATAAGGCTTTTGTTCATATATATAATGTATTTAGGGTAAGGCTTTGGTCATATATATAATGTATTTAGGATAAAGCTTTTGATCATATATATAATGTATTTAGGGTAAGGCTTTTGTTCATATATATAATGTATTTAGGGTAAGGCTTTTGATCATATATATAATGTATTTAGGGTAAGGCTTTTGATCATATATATAATGTATTTTAAGTAAGGCTTTTGATCATATATATAAACAAGAATGCAGATATTGCTGTGCTTAGCATACCCCTACAGGAAATAGGTTACTGAAAGATCCAAAAATCACTCAAAGTTACAACTCATCACTACAAAGCTGACGACCAAATATGAAGTGATTCTGTCCAATAGTCGTGGAGATATACGCACAGTAGGAGTTACAGGGATATGTTTATTTAGCTAGTATTGTATAGGAACAACAGTTTTCGGAGGGGAGCTGCCACTTTCTTTTCTGGATTTGACAGTTAACATTATGAGCTATTAAGTTCATCAGTGAAAACCATTCTGTCAAAGAACAGCAATAAAGTGTTTAATATTGAAAATTTCTACACATTTATCTCTAAAGTAGCACATAAAGGTGAATTTTTTATGATACATTTATAGTTAGCCTATTGAACTGATAAGGTAAAAAATAGCTTGTATGCAAATTTTCATTAAAAAATCACTGACGGATCAAAACTGTATCATAAGCCCTTAAAGTAAATGCAAGCTACTTCAACAGTCCCCACTAAATGTAAGCTACCTCAACAGTCCTCACTAAATTTGCTGGAATTAGTATCATCTCAGTGTTCAAGTATAACAATTTCAAACCAATATTATGGCAAGTAAAAAATTCAGTAAAATTGGTCACCCTTTTCATTTTACATAATTTACTTAACATATGTAGAAAAATTGGCTTCAAATGATATGTTATGCTACTAAAAGATAATTCTTCTTTATCAAACTTGTGAGTAGCTAGCATACAAGAAGAAACATGAATAAACATCTTATATCTTTGTAAAAAGATGGTAATAGTGAACAAATTCTACAAAAAAAACCCTGAAGATTTATTGATCTAAGAATTGTTTATTTGAGAAAACATTAGTATATCAAACAAGAGAACACAGGCTGAAATGTGTCACCTGCTTTACTCATCATGGTTGAATCTATGTTAAAAGTCTGTACTAATGATCCATGTAAATAAGGTCAAGGTCAGATGAACCCTGCCAGACAGACATGCATACTTTACAATCATACCATACACCAAATATAGTTAGCCTATTGCTTTTATTATCTGAGTAATAGACCTTATTACAAAAACTTAACATTGTCCAATGAACCATAAAAAAGGTCAAGGTCAGATATCCTTCCGTGTACCAAATTGAGTTGACCTATTGCATTAGTAGCTGAGAAAGAGACATAACCATGAAAACTTAATATTGAGCAATGAACCATCATAATGAGGTCAAGGTCAGATTAAACCTGCCAGTTGGCCATGTACACTGTGACAATCATTCCATATACCAAATTGCCTATTGCTTAAAGTATGTGAGATATGGACTTGACCATGAAAACTTAACCTTGATCACTGCTCCATGAAATGAGGATGAGGTCAGGTGAACCCTGTCTGACAGACATGTAGACCTTGCAAGGATCACATATACCAAATATAGTTATTCTTTTACTAATAAGTGAATATTTCAAATGACAAAATAAACAATACATTTTTTTCAAGCAGTGGATGAAAAATAAAAATGAGGTGAAGGACAAAGAATATAAAACAAATGGAAACTTTGTAAACACGGCATTTGCATAATAAGAATGAAGCATTCAGGTCTTCTACCTGTTGAAATATAAAGCTTTGTACAAATAGTTTACTCCATAGCCGCCAGATAGTAATCGTTATGTCTCTCATTCCGCTATTTTTATCGCAGGCTAAACATAAAACCTGCATGTAAATTTATTCAACACAGGTTTATGTAGAAAAAAACATTTACAGAAAAACCTGAAGGAAAATTTAACGTGTTAATCTGAGAAAAAATTAGAAATTCAGAAAAAATGCAAGGCTATTAATCTAACATGTGTTTATGTGAGAAAACATTAGTATTTCAACTGCTAACAGTGAAGGTGAGCATACCTCGTTATTTACACCTGTTCCATATGTCTAAAAATAAACAATGATATAATACACAATACAACGATAATACACAATGCTGCATTAATACACAAAGCTACGATAATACACAATGCTACAATAATACACAACGCTAAAATATATATACTTATCACAAAATATTGTAAAGACAAAAGTTGTACTTTGTTTAAAAATATCAACGAGAATCAATTATAAGCAATTTTGATATTTAAAGTTTGGTACTGATTATAAATTTGTCAAAAAAATATATGTTTTTAAAATAAATTTGATAATTTTACTAAATGATTATGGAAATAATACTGATACTCAACTTTAATCAGAATATGGCCATTGTAATAAACACCTGTCAAATTCTATTGAAACAATTAAAAAAAAAAAAAAAAAATAACAATACGCATTAACACTTTCATCTTTTATGGATACCACACTCATTTTTTATATTGAACTGGTTTGACACTTTTCAAAAATAATGGTTTTCTATTCAATAAAATTTGATGGTTACTATTCATAATCAAATATTGAATAACTAGATATTTTAATAATACAGCAAAAATTTCATGTAAATGATACTATAAGTTTAGAAATTATTGCAAGGTTTTTATTAATGTGAATAATGCGACAGGTTGAGGATCGCAATAATAAGAACTTGCATTATGATATCTGTACATATATCTTATTTTCTGCATTCGCAATAATTAATCTCGAATTTTGGTTGGTCTTGTGAAAATCACAGTACATTAAATGTTACACCCTGTATGATAAGATTGAATGAAAATAAAACTTTAATTTGCATGACCATGGTACTAGCTGAAATTATTTCTATTATTAAACTCACATTAACAAGTTACCTGAATTTAATAATGAGTATAAAATACCATGACATTTAGGGTAAAATTACCAAACATTTCTAGTCTTTCTTTCTTTTAATAGCATATCCATGTATAAGAAGTTAAAGAAAGTAAGAATAGTGCAATGTAGAAATAATAAGACACTGAGCATGTACAATAAGCTAACAAACAATAACAAATATGCAAGGGAGAGTACTCTGTCAAAGGGAGTTAACTTTGAATTACCTGTTCTTCTCCTCTGCCCTGTTCTCTGATATTCAGCGCTATTCTATGTGCTTGTTCCTTGGTTGATAGAACATTGATATTATAGGCTACCAGAAAATTTCTTGCTCCAGTCACAGTAGCTCCCCATCTAGGGTTAAATTCTGCAGGACCAAAGTCTGGTTTCCATTCATCTAGTAGAATCTGTAAATAATATAGCAATGTTATGTGTATATCATGTAAAGCTTGTTAGATATTCTCCAGTATGACAATGAGTTCATGCAAATATACTGTAAATTACAAAACAATATCAACAGGAAAGACTTCACTTCTTTTATTAACATCTGGAAAATTTATAAAAAAATCCTGGAACAAGCAATTTTAAAAACTCTCCTACCCTTAGTTTTTTTTTGTGGTCCTCTGCAATAAAACTTATTTAAAAAATTGCAAATTTCCTAGAATGGCAATGCAAAGACTTTGAAGAAAATTAAAAATAAAATACTTTTTATTTTATCGATGTCTGGTTTTATTGCTCGATATTTCTTTTTTCTAACCTTTTCTATTGATCCTTCATTTTCCCCACTTTTGATGCTGAATAATTCTTTTTTCTTTCATTTTCTGGTAAAACTGCATTATACCCAACTTCTAATGCCAAATAATTCTTTTTTCTTACCTTTTCTGGTAATCCTTCATATTCCCCACTTCTTATGCTGGACAATTTTTTTCTTGATTCTGTTTCTGTAGCTTCAGCATATAAATAAACTAAAAAAACAATGTAAATTTAGTTATTTCTATGGAATTGTGAATTAGTTTAATACACAGATTTCAAAAGATCAACCAATCTTAATTGTTCCTTTTTTCTACGTAGAAACAAAGATGACTGAATAATAAATCATCATCCCAACAGTTTGCTAGTTGTCTTCATTTATAAATAGGTTTGTGGGAAAACCGGTACAGATTATTTCATGTTTCACCACCAAAAATACTACTGAACTCAATTTGGATGGATGAATGGATATGTGATTAATGTCCAGTGGCAAATGTCACATGCATATCCATCTTCGCTAGCCAAGGGCTATGATCCAGTCCCCTCCTATGTCAGCATGAGCTTTTCCAACAAAAATGGTGGAGACGAAACCAATCACAAAATTTGCTGTTATGGATAAGCAAAACTTCCAAAAATTCATGTCAAATATAGCGTCGGTCGTCTTGACTCAATAGTGTTGAAAATAGTTTTCACAAAAGATAAAAGTAAATTAACACAAAATGAATGTATCACTTCTGTGTTGACTATTGCCAACATTCCATTTAGCATGTGGTATGAAAAAGTTCAAAGATGCCAGGCTTATGATTCGGTACACTATACAAGTGTTTCTTCTACATTAGATTACTAGAGAGGCAAAAGATACTAAGGGACATTCAAACATGCAAGTCAAAAATAAATTGACAAAGTCATGGCTAAAAACAAAAAGACCAACAGACAAATAGACAAACAACAGTGCACAAAAAACAACATAGAAAACTAAAGACTGAGCAACACAAACCCCACCAAAAACTGGTGGTGATCTCAGGTACTCTGGAAGGGTAAGCAAATTTTGCTCCACATAAGGCACCCGTCGTCTTGCTCATGTTAATTTATACCCGGTGATAAGTCTCCACCCATGGCAGATTAATCCACCATTTGTGATTACAATCCTGCCCCATCTAACGGTACATAAAAGTCACGCCCATTCCGACTACATCATTTTTGAACAATGGCAGCACTTCAACTCTCTTCAGTGTGGAGGTGTAAAATGTTTGTGTCTAGTGTTTACAAATTTCGTGAAGCAGGAACCGAAAATATACGTTGACAACATTACCACAAGAAACATACCCAGGAACTTCAAATAGTTGATTAAGAACTTTAAAATTGTCACTAAATATCGTCTTATGTTTTGGGGGTAAAGACTTGTTGCCAAATCAACAAGTGGCAATTGTTTATTTACATTTTCTTCATTTACATGTGATCATCTTAAAGGCGCCTTTTGATTGGATGCAGCTAGTTATAACTGCGACTAATGAAAATCATTACCTCGTGGATCCGAAATTCTATCTTAATCTGCCAAGGGTGGAGAGGTGGGGACTGGATTGTAACCCTTGGCTAGCGAAGATGATGCATATCAGGATGGGTACAATAACGTCAAGGTCAGATAAACCCTAACAGAAAGACATGTACACCTATATATATAGTTGACCTATTGCTTATAACATCTAAGAAACAGAATTAGAAACAGAATGTGCCTATCCCAAGTCAGGAGCATGTAAGTATGTGGTTGTCGTATATTCATGTCTGTCACATTTGTTTTTTGTAAATTGTTTTGTAATAAATTAGGCCGTTAGTTTTCTCAATTGAATTGTTTCCCATTTTTCATGTCGGGGCCTTTTATAGTCCACTATACAGTATGGGTTTTTCTCATTGTTGAAGGCAATAAAGTTGCCTATAATTGCTAACATCCACTTCATTTGAACTTTGGAGGATAGTTGTCTCATTGGTAATCATACCACATCTTATTTTTATATTAAAGAGGAAAAATAAATATTGACCAATGAACCATGAGTATGAGGTCAAGGTCAGATGAGACCTGCCTGACAGAAATGTAAACCTTACAATCATTCCATACACCAAATGCAGTTGACCTATTACTTATACAGACTTGTGTGCAGATGACACAACTATGCATATATATCAGGAAAGAGTATTGCTGATATGCAATTAAAAGTACAAGATGATCTCCAATGTGTTGAAAAATGGTGTCATGAAAATAAAATGTTCATAAATTCTGATAAAACTAAATGTATGGTTATAGGTAAAAGACAAAGACTGCATCCCTTCAAGCAGAACCATTTATAACTATTGAGAATAATAGTCTTCAAAAATTATCAATTGGAAAACTTTTAGGTGTTAGTATTGACTCTATAATCTGTCATGGACAGGCCATGTTAATTACTTATGTTCATCAATATCATCTAGACTCCATTTACTCTCTAAGATTAAGAAATATCTAAATGCTGATTCAAGAAAATTATTTCATAATGGTTATATTCTCCCACTGATAGATTATTGTTGTATTATTCGTAGTGGTTGTGCTAATAATGAGCTAGTTTCTGTGTCATTTGGTCTCTTGCGGAGAGCTGTCTCATTGCCAATCATACCACATCTTCTTATTTTTATAGTAAGAATAATAAAATTGCAGAAAAGAGCTGCAAGATTAATTTTAGATGCTGATCCACATTCAGCATCAGCACCACTGTTTAAACAGCTTGGGTGGACAACAGTAGAGAACAGAATTACATATCATAAATCTGTTTTGATGCATAAATGCTTTAAGTATGAAGCTCCCCTGTATATTTAACTGAAAAATTTAAAGAAATGCCAGAAGTAAACCATGACATCATTTCATTGATCAGTGATCAAGGTTTTAAATTAATTAGTATATCAAGCTCAAGTTCTAGTCTTTTCTTCAAACGTTTTGTTTTAAATGACTTAGTTCATCAAGCTCAAGTACAAGTCTTTTCTTCAAACTTTTTGCTTTAAATTACCTGGTACATCACGGTCTTGTGCTAGTTTTTCTCTAAAGTTTTTGTTTTAATTACCTGGTACATCAAGCTGCAGTTCTAGTTTTCTATACTTTTTGTTTTAATTGTCTGGTACATCAAGATCTAGTGCTAGTTTTTCTCCAAACAATTTGTTTTAATTAACTGGTAAACAAAGCTCAAGTTCTAATAATTTTTCATTTTTTTTTAGTTACCTGGTACATCAAGATCTAGTGCTAGTTTTTCTCCGAATTCTTTTGCACACATGACACATTCTTCCATAGTCACATTCTGGACTGGTATAAATGGACACACATCCATTGCTCCCATTCTAGGATGTTCTCCTACAAAACAAATAAATATGTAGGCAGACTTATTTAACATCACTTTGTATTGCAACCCATTTGATGAGCAATGAATCTTATTTAACTCTTAAATTGTTTTTTAATGCAAATAGTTTCTGTTACTTGTTCCCTGCCAATGAAGAGTGAAGAATTGGCAGCTTTAATTCAATAAATTTATAGCAAAACATTCTTATGGTGTGCTGTAACACCATTGTCCCAAGTAAAGGGCAAGTTGAGCACTAACAAACATTTTTGCCTGCTCCTTGTTGAAGGATGTACAGTAACCCATAATAGATGTTTAGATCTTTGTTCTTTGGTCTCTGGTGGATAATTGTCTTATTGGCAATCATACCACAACTTTATTTTAAATTGAAAGCAACAGTAACAAAACTGTGTAGTGTAATTTCATTTTTAATTTTATGATCCCCTGCTAGAACTTTCTCACCTAAATTTTTTTAGAAATAGACATTTTAAGGAGACGGTACAATGAGATAAGGTTATTTATTTGATTGACCATTAAATTGAGTGGTTCCTTATTTAACTTTGATTTGTTTATTACCTGTATGTGTTTCTTATCTAACTTGATTTGTTTATTACCTGTATGTGTTCCTTATTTAACTTTGATTTGTTTATTACCTGTATGTGTTCCTTATTTAACTTTGTTTATTACCTGTATGTGTTCCTTATTTGATTTGTTTATTACCTGTATGTGTCCTCATATCAATATATGTGTATGCAGCTCTGGCAGCATTCAGGGCACCAAGGACAACAGCTTCAGGTGGACCAACAAAAGTGTAAACTGTCCTGTTGGTAGACACTCCAGGGTCCACATCCAGTAAGTTACATCCATCAGTACTGGCTATAGCATTGGCAATGCCTTCAACAGCCTAAAATAATAGAAATCATCACAAAATCCTGTAAATTAATTGTTAATTGATTGGAGTTTAATGCCACTTCAACACTATTGGCCATTTTATATTGGTGGGGGAAGGCTGAGTGCCTGAAAAAAACCACCAACCTATAGCAGAAAAACTGACAATCCTAGTCAATAAAGATTGGAGTCCAGCACACCTGCCACGTGCCAGATTTAAACTCACAACCTCAGTGTTGACAGGCTTGTGATACAGTAATTGGACAACTTAGACCAATAGTCCACCGAGGCCCCTATTATCCTATAATGGTAAAAAATGTATATGAATACAAAGAGATATTGAAGAAATTCAATGAGAGAGGAAGCAATCAAAACAACAAAAGTGAAGCACGAATGCATGAATGCCCCTGCTCAAGCTGTGCAATTTTCCAAGTCAAAAAGGGGCATAACTCTAGAACGATAAATGAACTCTGACTGCATATTGTGGTTCTTAGCATTGTGTATGAGTTTCATAAAATTTGAATGAAATAAACTCAAGTTAGATAGTGGAAACGAAAAAAATTGCAATTTTCCAAGTTACAAAGAGGCATTCCTCTAGAATGGTAAGTGACTCACTGCCCAAATTTGATCTCTGTGAGTTTTGGTTCCTAGCATTGTGTATGAGTTTCATAAAATTTGGATGAGGAAAACTTAAGTTAGAGTGTGGAAATGAAAAATTTAGGAATTTTACAAAATATAAAGGGCATAACCTCTAGAATGGTAAGTGACTCACTGCCCAAATTTGAACTCTGTCTGCTAGTTGTGGTTCTTAGCATTGTGTATGAATTTCATAAAGTTTAGATGAGTAAAACTTAAGTTAGAGTGCGAAAATGAAAAATGGGACGGATAGAAAGACAGAGGGTCAAGGGTAACACTCAATGCCCCCATCACCTACGGCGGGGGCATAAAAAATAACTAGGGCAAGTTAACTTGGGTTTAGAGAAACTAGATGTACTACGAACAAGTTCACATAATGATACACCCCACATTAATTTACCTCCAACAAACTACCTCCGCTTCAAGATGTTTGCCAAGATTAACTTTCCTTGGACTTCATAACATGATGTTCATCCAATAACTTCTTTTGTTCAATAATTATAAAAGTATTTGGATATGGGAATAAAATAAAATCACTATAGGCTTCTTCCACGTCCCTATATCTGGTCTCACTTAATAGCGACAAGAAGCATCAAGCAATCTGTAACTATTAATTATTTAAATAAATAAATAATTATAAACAATCACTAGTCATGCATTACACTGCTTTTTATAAATATACCTATTAAAGTGATTTTCAATATTTCATTATACTGATAGAAAATGAAAATTTGTTCAAGAAAATAGGGAGTGTTGATCTTTTTTAGGATTAATACCTTCTCTTCAAAGGTCCAAACCAAATTATCATGTGGTTTACATCAATATTGATCATATCTAGACAATGACACATAATAAATGCATTTTGCATGCAGTTTTACCTTTATCCTTTATAATTTAAGTGTTATTTTCATTTTGTACTATTTCCAATACTCAATTACCTGTATCAGAAATATTTGTCTCTGCCTGTATTGTTACAATAAACAGAAAAATGGTGCATACATGTAGCTTAAATAGCAACAATATCTGAAACTTTATATAACATTAAATAATTAACTCAGATTTATCAACTTTTTGTCTATAAATCTATTTTAATTTGTTTTAATAGTATATAAACTTTCTGGACCCTAAATTCTAGTATTTGTCACTAATTAGTGAGACCACCTATATCTTCCATCTGTATAAATTTCTCTCCCTTTCTGACAATACTGGTTCAAATCTTAAAGACAATTATATCTGTTATAGTTTTTTAATACAAGCCACGTCTGTTTTGAAAAAATTCAAAGTTGAGAAGAAATACATACATGACATATGGTGATACGAAAAATGCATTCAATAACTGTATATATACAGAAAATGATATTAAGGATTGATATTCTGACCTATTTTACAGTTCTAAGAGCTTTATCCTCCAGAAATTATTATTGATAGACATAGTAACAAATTCAACTTTGCATTACCTCCTTATTTTTTCCAACTGAGCAATTTGGTACACATTCTATTATTTTGGTCTTCATCTTTGACATATTCAAATTTCTGATTATCTGTTGAAACTTACAAAGTCTGCCTTATCTAGTGAAAGTTCTGATCCATTATAAGACATCTACATCATGTTTGTACATAGATAATCATTCCACACTAATCTAATCAGATAAGTAAGTAACTATAAATACATAATAATGTTCACCCAAATTTCAGTTCTTAATAAAATAATTATTTCTAAAAAAAATCAAAGAGTTTGGGTATCGATAGTGGATCTGGGAGAAGCAATGGGCAGTGTTTCTCTTTGATATCAGTTTTCTCTCCCAAAAGTAAAAAATGCACATGTATGCTTTTAAACTGAAGTACTACTACTAAAAAAAAACATTTTAAATAAATAATTCATGAAGAAGAAAAAAAATCCCTTATTTCAGCCCAAGCTGTTTTTGACATTGTCATTGTGCACAGGAATTTCCAGTCATTGGCGTTTGCAAGACAAGATACATTTTCCTTTATTCTAACAACAATATACATTTCAAAATAAGTCCGGACATGATAGACATTTATCCAATACGTGCATGATACAACATAATTAATTTGGACTTTTATTTAATCTGATGCAGACGAATTTTATAATTATTTTAAGAATTTATGGATCAAGTGTCTGCAACACAACTTCTGTATACCTCTTTGCAACGACCTTCGGAGAAATTTGGGACACATTCCACTATTCTTGGCATCTTCAGTTGTTCTTATCTCAGTACGTAGACTTTATCGATTTTACAGAGTTGAAAGCATGTCTTAATCTACCTGAGCGTACTTGTTGCCATCCGCACAGGTATTGACTTCCGGTTTACATGAGAAATCGTCAGAAATTTATGCGATCTATTTTACGAAAATCTATGACGTTGCCTAAATTGCTGAAAATACGTTTTACACAGGACACCATCTTCTCGAAGTTAGTAAACAACCCATGTAAATATTTTTCTGAAAGTCAGGATTTGAATGCATTCAAATCAATATGTTTTGTATAGTAGTATAAAATTTGAATATATCACTGAAGGATGCATAAAATCGTTAACTGCAATAACGCATTCTTAGTCCTTAATGTGCTTCCTCCTCGGTCAGTAAAATCGATTGGAATAAATTCTGTAGCTGCATAGCAAAAACTGGTGCTTAAAAATTACCCAAATAATAACAGATGCATTCAAAAGAATTTACTTAATTAGGGAACATGCACATGCTTTTCCTTCATGAATACAGATCCAGCTGAAAAACTAATACCCCTGTTCATCATTTATAGTGATTAATTTATACAGTAGATTCCAGACATACACCATAACTCTTTGACTGCACTTGGGATATATGTCTCTTGTCAGCATTCCACGCTAGGTCATATGTGTCATCGTAAAAGAATGACAAAATAGTTTTCAAAAGTAAAGAATAATTATTATTGTGAATAATAATTATTAATATTACATATATTTTATAATCCTTTGAATTTAAACAAATAACATTAACAGTATAAGGTCATTATGACAGATATGACATCAGAAAGTGACGTATGATGACATTTGCTCAAGTTATTTGTACAATGTAAATGATAAATACTGTAAACAATACAATGATCATTCTTAAATGTCACTGTATTGCTGTATGAAGTCAAAAGTTTCAAGTGTCACAAAAAATCTTGGGTCAAGTGTTGCAGATTCTGAAATAGCAATAAGGGTATTGCCCCTGATATTTTGACCTAATAAGAAAAATTGATTACCACCACTGTGAAAAAGTTACTATTGTGTCACATCAATCAGTAAAGGTAACAAAAATCCCATATAGCGGTAAAGATACACTAAAATTTTTTTTGCATATCTAAAACATTGAAATCATACCTGTCAACAATTTTAATATCATCATGATCATTTTTATACGACCGCAAACAAATTTTGTGGTCGTTTATTGGTATCACGACGTCGTCGTCGTCCGAAGACAGTTGGTTTCCGGACAATAACTTAAGTATAAGTAAATAGAAATTTATGAAATTTAAACAAAAGGTTTATAACCACAAAAGGGAGGTTGGGATTGATTTTGGGGGTTATGGTCTAAACAGTTTAGGAATTAGGGGACAAAAAGAGGCCCAAAAATGCATTTTTCTAGTTTCCAGACAATAACTTGTGTTTAAGTGTATGGATCTCTCTGAAGTTATACCACAAGTTTCCATACCACAAAGGGTGGTTAGGATTGGCTTTGGGGGGTTATGGCTCAAATGGTTTAGGAATTAGGGGCAAAAAAGGGGAAAAAACAAGAGTTTCCTGGTTAATGGACAATTTAAAAGCAGTGTAAGGGAGGTAATCCAAAAAACAAGATTGTACAATGTTGTACAATGTTGGATTACCTCCCTTACACTGCTTTTAAATTATCTATTTAAGACTTTTATGATGTAATTTAAATGGGTAATTATGGTTGCAAACTCCATTGGAAATTTGAATAGAGATTATGACCATATCTTGAGGGAAAGAATTTTTTTTTTGGAAAAGGGGGGTGGGGGGTAAAAAAGAAATTGTGGGGAGGGGGGCAATTTTTTCTCATTTCAGATTTCAGAAATTAAACAAAATTTCTTCACATATTTGGGGATTTTTTTGGGGGGTTGGGGTTGGGGGGTTTAATACGCAACAGCATAGTGTATTGCACAAAAGCAAACAAAAAAGGGGGTTAATTTTTCTGCAGTCTTATCCAGCTGTGCCCGGCGAAGCAATTTATTTTATTTATTATTCAATTTGTCAAAATAATTGATAAAACACTAAAAGGAAACCTGTTTACTTTTTTAGAACGTCACTTTATTTTTGAAACAAAAAAAACCCTTATTTATAGCAACACACTAATTTAAACACGATTAAAATATTATTCAACACAAAACCAATAAAAAGGGTGCAAAGGTGTGGGGTGCGAACGTGAAAGGGGGCGAACGTGAATGGGAGTGAACATGATTTTGGGCAAATGGACCTGGATTCAAACCAATGCACATATGTCACAACATGAACTTGTTCAAAATATCGGTGAAACAATGTCAAATATTACTTCGCAGCTAGAAAATTATTACTGTACAAAGAAATAAGTAAGAGTAAAAAAACATAATTTTATTATAATAATATTAGACCATTACATATAGATACATTGATCTCAGACCAGACTATGAATCCCCTACCTATATTTATCTGGATTTATTTTAGCCTTACCCAGCTAAGCAAGAGATGAGTCCTTTGGTCTGTCAAACTTCCTGTATTCGTTTGAGTCAAACTACAGATATCTTGAAATATTTCTCTGGACCTGCTGACTTCACGTTAACAAGATTTGACTGTACTGTGATTCTATTATGAAATACCATTCAGGACAATATTTCACATTTTTCATAATGAAGTAGTGTCCTCCATGAATTTTTTTCCATGAAAATATTTTCTTGTCAAATTCTGCATTCCGGGGGACTTATCGCCATGAAATTGTGAATTTTAGAATTATAACTGAACTTACTTTGTGAGGCAGGTATTACAAACAACTACATTGTATACTGGTAATTTTTCAACATAAAGTAATTTCAAAGGGGCTTATACATGTTCACGATGTTATAAATGATGAATAGATTACAGATTTGTTTTAGTCATATATATTTTAATTTTATTACTCTCTCAAGTTTGTCTTCGTCGATTACAAGTTTTTCAGTAACATCTCGTGTATTTTTTTTAGCAGGAACATTTAGAAAATACACATTTTACAATACAAATGAAGTACCCTTTCTTCATAACACTCTGTTTACATGGTTTAACAGTAATTCCTTCTGGTTTCTGACATATAAATATTCCAATAGTTGCTTGTATTCTTTGCCACCAATGATGTGCAAAACTAATTTTATGTTAACTGTTTCTATTATTAAGTTGTCTTTCTTTGTTTTTATTAATCAAATAAAACACTCTTATGATATCATTGTCCAAAATATTAATTTCTATAACATCCCTTAATTTTGAGAAAAATATTTTATGACAATCCATTAAAAATTGTCTCGATATAGACAAAATAAACCTTTGGATTACCTCCCTTTAATGAGACTAAAGTTTGTAAATTTCAATCTAGATTTGCTTGATAATATATGGAACAATGTTGCATGAACTGTATATGGATGTATAACCAAAAAGATTGCATGAACAAAGTGGATATGAAATATATTACTTTTATTGACTTTTAAACATAATGCATCTATTTTCAGCTTTAAAGATGGTGAGACCAGTTAAAAGAAGACATTCCTCTGTAGTTAAAGCCAAAGCCCTAGTTCATGCTATTCGTTACATTCGACAACAAAAACAGATTCCTAACCTTGATCGAATCCAAAAGTACATGACCCGTGTATATGACACGAAACCATCGGAGACAGAAAAACAGCTACAATATACATGTAAAGATGGACTTATAATCTCCTATACAACGTTGGGTAAAAAAGGAAACAAGACTGGAATAGAGCAGGAGGGATATAGGATTCCAGACGAGGGCGAAATAATGGTATTTATTGTTTATTATGTTATGGTCATTGGGGCTTCAGACGGGGTTTATTTATATATCTATTTAGAAGTGAATTCTACCACAAATCTCCCTTTGATATATATATATTTATCTACAAAGAATATTATGTACGGCTTGAAGAAACATTGTTGAATGTTAACTTGAGAATTGAAAAACAAATCTTAAATATGATTGAATCAGAATAGTTTAATAATACTTATTCTATGGTAATTTAGGAAATAAAAGCAATAAATCCATTACTTTACATGTATTTATTTTTAGTTTTCAAGTATAACATCTTGAATTTCTATCAGAATGCATGAACTGTATATGGATGTGTGACTTGAACTTAATAAAAGTAATGGTAATTGGTACTTTTTTAGGGTAAAGATTGCAGGCAATGCAATCAAAACATTTATGGTACTGACTTTATATATATATATATATCTTCCAGGGTTTATCACTACCTTTGATAGTTAAAGCAATATAGTGCAGTGAGGTGATAATTCTTAAGATCTTATCCAGTCAATGTCATGCAGTTTATTAATAATATATGTAATACTCAAATGTTCAAGTTACAAAATGAATTGTATTTGAAAAACCATACTTGTCAAGAAAACTTTTTTTAAACTGAAAATTACCTAAGTAATGTGTGATGTATGAATCTGTTTTGGAATAGGTTCAACAACAAATGAGCTGCGTCAGATATTAATCAACCTTATGCAAGTGCATGTATACATGAACATTTATAAGACTTTGAATGATTTTGAAAACATTCAAGTATGAAATAAAAGATGAATTTTGGTCTGCTTTGAAGGGTTCTCAAAACAACTCAATTTTCAAACAGTTACAGACTTTCCGTAGAGATTATTTCAATCCAAAATAGATTAACAGATTTATTGATTTTCATTTGCATAAGGTTGATTTCTTTCAGATGCTGCTCAGATGTGTATCATGAACAAAGAAAGATAACTCCAATTCATATTTGTGATTTGCCATACAATTCAAAGTTTCAAAATTGCAATAATTTACCCTTCAGTTCTCACAAGCACTTTGATTATGGTATAATCTTATCTTTATATTACAGAAAGGGGACCATGATTGGTACTGTTTTGGCTGCCATAATGTAGGTGAAGTCCTGCCATGTTCAGATTGTTGGAGAGTATTCCATCCAAGCTGTACCAAAGAAGAATGGACTGGACCAACATTTACTTGCACTATATGCAGGGTAGGTATTTCTGGTCTACAGATTATAATAGGCCTCTGGACCAACATTTACTTGCACTATATGCAGGGTACGTATTTCTGGTCTACAGATTATTATAGGCCTCTGGACCAACATTTACTTGCACTATATGCAGGGTAGGTATTTCTGGTCTACAGATTATTATAGGCCTCTGGACCAACATTTACTTGCACTATATGCAGGGTAGGTATTTCTGGTCTACAGATTATTATAGGCCTCTGGACCAACATTTACTTGCACTATATGCAGGGTAGGTATTTCTGGTCTACAGATTATTATAGGCCTCTGGACCAACATTTACTTGCACTATATGCAGGGTAGGTATTTCTGGTCTAGAGATTATTATAGACCTCTGGACCAACATTTACTTGCACTATATGCAGGGTAGGTATTTCTGGTCTACAGATTATTATAGGCCTCTGGACCAACATTTACTTGCACTATATGCAGGGTAGGTATTTCTGGTCTACAGATTATTATAGACCTCTGGACCAACATTTACTTGCACTATATGCAGGGTAGGTATTTCTGGTCTACAGATTATTACAGGCCTCTGGACCAACATTTACTTGCACTATATGCAGGGTAGGTATTTCTGGTCTACAGATTATTATAGGCCTGTCATAGATGTAATTTATTATGGGATACCATAGTTGGTCTGTCCACACATACTGGTTGATGGATCTGTCAAACTTCAAAGAAAAAAAATTCGTAAGGGTTCTGCGGAACCCAGTGTCTCGCCTACTTTTGCTGTTAATCGAAGGCTCAACAAAATGAGGAAAAAAATCAATAAAAAAATTCCTTTAGATAAGTACTATCTTTTGATTGTAAGAAGCTTCTGTCAAAGTTTGGTATAAATCCAGGATAGTAAATGTTTTAAAAACTTTAACTACAGACTGTATTTAATGTTAACTGGAAGAAAAACTATCCATTTATAAGTAAAATACGGATAAACAGGTACAAAATTTTCTTCTAGATACTAGCTTTTGATCATAAACAATCTTCTGTTCAAGTTTGGTACAAATACAGGATAGTTTAAGAAAGTTATTTAAATTTAAATAACTTTAACCACAGAGTGAATGTGTTGTTTCCTGGCAGAAAAACTAAGTCCATTTATAAGTAAAATATGGAAAAAATGAAATTTTTTTCTTCACAATTTTACTTCTGGATACTATCTTATGAACATAAACAAGCTTCTGTCCAAGTTTGGTACAAATCCAGGATAGTTTGAGAAAGTTATTAAAATTTTAAAAACTTTAACCACAGAGTGAATGTAATGTTTCCCGGCAGAAAAACTAAGTCCATTTACAAGTAAAATACGGAAAAACAGGAATTTTATTTTTACAAAATTTACTTCTGGATACTATCTTATGATCATAAACAAGCTTCTGTCTAAGTTTGGTAGAAATCAAGGAAAGTTTAAGAAAGTTATTAAAATTTCAAAAACTTTAACCACAGAGTGAATATTTGTGGACGCCGTCGACGACGCTGACAGAATGTAGGATCGCTATGTCTCGCTTTTTCAACTAAAGTCGAAGGCTCGACAAAAATGAACATTTGCCTAGACTAAATTTATTAGATTGTTTCAATATTTATTATTACGCCCCTGCTCCAAAAGAGGGGGGGGGGGGGAGAATATTGTTTTATGTCTGTCTGTCTGTACGTCCCATGAAATTTGAACGCAATTTTCTCAGGAATTGAAAATCCGATCTTTCTGAAATTTGTTTTTAATCTTCATATGAACATGTTATACTATATTATGTGGTTTCAGATTCATCAATCTTCAACTTCCTGTTTACTGAATAATTTGATATTCTGCATATAATGGCCATGTAAAAATTGTTTCACATTTTTTTAGGGAACTACAAATAAGAGCTTCCTTAAATTTGTTGTCGGTCTTCATGTGAGCATACTTTACATGTGAGCATATTACATGTGAGCATACTTTACATGTGAGCATACTTTACAGTCCATACTCTACAGTATGATGCATTTTCAGATTTACTGCTGATCAACTTCCTGTTTACTGAGTACTTAAATTTTTGAACTCATTATGGTCCTGTATGAAACATTCATCCGTTTTTCTAGGGAACTACAAATAAGAGCTTCCTGAAATTTGTTGTCAGTCTTAATGGGAACATGCTTTACTCATCAACCTCCTGTTTACTTAAGTGGTGTATCATTAGTGAGCAGTAGCTCACAGTTTTAGTTGTTTGTCATTCCACACAAGTAAATCAAACCAAACTATTGTAGCGTGAAATCTACAAAATTAGTAATATTGAATTCACATACATAAGTAATAATGCATGATGTATATTTAGAAAATTATAATTTAGGCTTTATAATCTACCATCAATCTGTAGACAGCTTAAAAAACATCAAATAAATATGTATACTGTTTTAATTGGATTAAAATAAGAGTTACTAGGTTGTCAAAAGTTTGTTAATCTGTGCACTCAAAATGTATATATAGGCCACTTAATTTGGTATCTGACAATTGGTGCAATAAAAGTCAAGATTTCCATAAATACAAAGAACAGTTTGGTAGATGCAATACAAATGTATATACCTTATATATATATAAACTTTGATGTATAACATATGATTATGTAGCTTTCTATGTATTTCTACCTACAGGAAAAACAGGTAAAATTTCACTACTTACCTTGTTATAGCTTTTACTTCATGCTGTATTTAGTTATATTTTAAGTTTGTTTTGAAATTTAATATTTTTGATTTTGATACTTATTTTTGGGTTGGGGTTTAGGTAAAATCACTGCTTTGATTTTCCAGATTAAAATGTCCAGAAATATGAAGCACAAAATTCCCTGCTTGCTATATCTTTACTTTCACATGTATCCATCTGGAATTCATTTATGGGGGAGAAAATAGGAGTCAGTGTAAATCATCAAGAGGTTGCAAATTTTTATATAAAACGATAAAATGTTATAGATACAAAAGTAAAAGAATGTGGACATTGAAGTAGGTCATCTTTTGTTGCAAGCTCACTGATCTAAAAATCTATTAATTTTCCAATCACATACATCCAATTTATAAATTTGCTGTTTCATAAAAACACATGTTGGTTTTACCCTAGAATTCAAAGACTGGCTGACAAATAAATACATAATTATATTATGATTTACATAGAGGATGAAACATACGGACAATTTAAAATGAAGCCACAATTAACCCTTTTATAATGAATTATTAAATAATATCCTACTTATATCTATAAAATATCATACTGTAATATTCTTTGTTTTACATCTATATAGTCTTGCTTTTAAGGAATAACAACCAAACTTGTGTGATGATGAGATGTTTCCAATTAGTAACTTAGATATTAGCATTAGACATGTCACATGTATAAGCAACAGCCCTATCATAATACATGTCACATGTATGAGCAACAGCCCTATCATAATACATGTCACATGTATGAGCAACAGCCCTATCATAATACATGTCACATGTATGAGCAACAGCCCTATCATAATACATGTCACATGTATGAGCAACAGCCCTAGCAATAGACATGTCACATGTATAAGCAACAGCCCTATCATTAGACATGTCACATGTATGAGCAACAGCCCTATCATAATACATGTCACATGTATGAGCAACAGCCCTAGCAATAGACATGTCACATGTATAAGCAACAGCCCTAGCAATAGACATGTCACATGTATAAGCAACAGCCCTAGCAATAGACATGTCACATGTATGAGCAACAGCCCTAGCAATAGATATGTCACATGTATGAGCAACAGCCCTATCATTAGACATGTCACATGTATGAGCAACAGCCCTATCATTAGACATGTCACATGTATGAGCAACAGCCCTAGCATTAGACATGTCACATGTATGAGCAACAGCCCTAGCAATAGACATGTCACATGTATGAGCAACAGCCCTATCAATAGACATGTCACATGTATAAGCAACAGCCCTATCATAATACATGTCACATGTATGAGCAACAGCCCTATCATAATACATGTCACATGTATGAGCAACAGCCCGTGCATTAGACATGTCACATGTATGAGCAACAGCCCTAGCAATAGACGTCACATGTATAAGCAACAGCCGTAGCAATAGACATGTCACATGTATAAGCAACAGCCCTAGCAATAGACATGTCACATGTATGAGCAACAGCACTAGCAATAGACATGTCACATGTATGAGCAACAGCCCTAGCAATAGACATGTCACATGTATGAGCAACAGTCCTAGCATTAGACATGTCACATGTATGAGCAACAGCCCTATCATTAGACAAGTCACATAATCTTTGTGTCAAAAATGTTTTTATGCCCCCGCCGTAGCGGAGGGGGCATTAAGTTTTACCCTTGTCCGTCTGTACGTACGAACGTACGTACGACCCAAAATTGGTTTCCGTTCTCTAAATTGAGTTTGCCACAACCAAATGTTATGAAACTTATACTGTGGATTCATTTATTTTCGTGGGTATAAATTTTTCGTGGATTGAGGAAAACTTGTATTATCGTGGATATTTGATTTCGTGGATTTGCCAATCTCTGCATACAAAGCCTATAGAAAATTTGTAATTCGTTGAACATTTGAATTTGTGGTTCACTTGTACCCACGGAACCCACGAAAATTGGTATCCAACGAATAATAATGAATCCACAGTACACAATGCTTATTACCACAAAACACAGATCAAGTTTGAATTTTGGTGGCGTCACTTTAACTGTTCTAGAGTTATGCCCCTTTATAAATGGAAAAATTGCAAAATTTTTAGTTTCCGTTCTCTAACTTAAGTTTGCCTCAACCAAATGTTATGAAACTTATACTCAATGCTTATTACCACAAAACACAGATCAAGTTTGAATTTTTGTGGCATCTGTTTAACCGTTCTAGAGTTATGCCCCTTTATAAATGGAAAAATTGCAAAATTTTTAGTTTCCGTTCTCTAACTTAAGTTTGCCTCAACCAAATGTTATGAAACTTATACACAATGCTTATAAACACAAAACACAGATCACATTTGAGTTTTGAAGGCGTCACTTTTACTGTTCTAGAGTTATGCCCCTTTATAAATGGAAAAATTGCAAAATATCAAGTGATTTTTAAAATAGGAGTTATTTTCCTTTGTCCATGATTATAGTTGAATCAACTACAATTAATGCTTTATACAATGCAATGTTTAATTTTGACTTCCACTGATAAAACACAGATCAAGTTGAATTTGGGTAGTCACTTTAACCATTACTGAGTTATGCCCCTTTATAAATCGAAAGATTGCAAAATTTTTAGTTTCCATTCTGTAACTTAAGTTTGCCCCAACCAAACATTATGAAACCTATGCACAATATTCATTACCACAAAACTAAGATCAAGTACAAATTTTTTGTTTACGTTTTCTAACTTTAGTTTGCCGCAACCAAATGTTATGAAACTTATACACAATGCTTATTACTACATAATACAGATTAAGTACGAAATTTGGTGGCGACACTTTTACCATTCTTGAGTTATTTGAATAAGGCCATTCAAACTAAACATAAATAAACTTCTTTTCAGTAATTTGACAAACTAGTAATGCTGGCTTAACGCCTGTATGATCATCTTCCCTGACAGTAATTTCACAAACTAGTAATGCTGGCTTAACGCCTGTATGATCATCTTCCCTGACAGTAATTTCACAAACTAGTAATGTTGGCTTAATGCCTGTATGATCATCTTCCCTGACAGTAATTTCACAAACTAGTAATGCTGGCTTAGCGCCTGTATGATCATTTTCCATAACAGTAATTTCACAAACTAGTAATGCTGGCTTAGTGCCTGTATGATCATTTTCCCTGACAGTAGGCACATGGAAGAAAGTTTGCCAATGCTACATTGTGTTTTTAACATGACTATTCTGATGCAATTATTAGAATTTGAAAATTGTACTGAGATTTTACATATCTTTTCCTATTTTCTGCTTGACTTTAACTTTTAAAGACCAATTATCCAATATTTAATGGAATCCAACACTTAACAAAGATATCTAAGGTATTTTGTTCTATGTTAACATGAACCTCTATTAATCTTGATTATCATATCTTTGGCAGTTTAATTTGTTTCCTTGTAACCCTGCTATGCACTTATTTTACCAGCTTGAGTTACATTACCCTGTGATTACTGTAAATTCAGAAATTATTGCTTGCATTTATTATTGCGACTTTTCAAAAATGAACAAAAATGCAATTTTAATTATTGCTATTTCGAAAAAATTTGCAAACAGATCTATGTTTCAGTTATTAGAATGCGAGTTTGTTTTATTGTGATTCTCACCCAGTCGCATTAATCTTATTGATATAAACCTCGCTATAATTTCTGAATTTGCAGTATGTAGAATTGTAACATGTATATTCTATAGCTATGTAAATGTATGTGTTTGTAAAAATGAAGGACTACACTGCATTCATAGTTCTTCCTCTTATACCAACAGCAACAAGTATGTTAACTCTCGTACTCTTTTTTTACAATTTTTATGTCATTTTCCAATTTTTGCTGTATTATTATAGCTTCCTAATAATATATTATAAAATTGTTTTATCTTAAAATTACTTGGGATGAAAAGTAAAAAATATAGTGTTTTATCATGTTTATAAATGTAATTGGCCAAAATGTCATTCAAAAAGTATAATAAAGATTTTTGTCACGAAGCTTATTTTTGAGCGTCAGGTTTAACAAAATTTGCATTTCCTGTTAGTAAATCTGGAAATTTGAAGTATAATAAGTATGAAGTTACATCTCTTAAATTTCTTATGTTAGTGAAAATAATCTACACATGCTTTCTGTTAACTTACCTTGTTTTAAAATATATAAACTGACATCAGTTCATCATTTTACACTACAATAGACTATATTCATATTACCCACTTCTGACTCTGAATATGATAAGAAACAGGTTACCTAATCTGTGGTAGGACATTCTGGTACTCAGTCAAGTTAGAATAACTAAAAGAAGTAAAATCTTGCTGACAATTGAGCACTTTGGTGGGAAATTAACTGTTTAATGTTTTCTTTACACAACAAACCATTGGAAAACAGTTAATTCCCCCCACCCAATTAAAATGACAATTAAATCCTTACTTCTATATGTCATTGGTGCTGTCCATGGTATTTATAGTGACAATTAAATCCTTACTTCTATATGTCATTGGTGCTGTCCATGGTATTTATAGTAGCAATCTTGAGTGTCATGGTGACAAACCAGGGAAATTTCATACTTAGTCAATTTGATCAGCATTCTTAATGAAGGGTCTTATATGTATGAGTTTATGTCTGTTTTAACTTATATCTCCATCACCTTATTTTCCCTTTGTACCATTCTTATTCATTGAATACCAATTTGTGTGGATTCATTATTATTCATTGAATACCAATTTGTGTGGATTCATTATTATTCATTGAATACCAATTTGTGTGGATTCATTATTATTCATTGAATACCAATTTGTTTGGATTTCATGGGTACAGGTGAAACAGGAATTTAAATGTTCAAAGAAAGACAAATTTTCTATAAGCTTGTATTCAGACTTAGGCAAAACCATGTAGTCAAATATCCACAAAAATCTAAGTTTTCCTCAATCCATGAAAATTGATACCCACGAAAAATAAATGAATCCACAGTAGACAGCATTTGTTCCAATAATTATTCACTATAAGTTGGACATGTAGAAAGGACATAAGGAAGTTGATTGACAATATCAAGTTTATATACTTCTCAACAATAATCATGCTGTAAAATATTGTATTTCTTAACCTTTACTAATTGTAACTTGTAGTATTAATATAACCTTTGACCTTTATTAAATCACAAGGAACTAGAGGCAAGTTACAGTGGTGAAAGTTTACAAACTCTCTACTTATTTGATGAGGTACATATATAGGTGGTCATGTGATATGGTGATGCATGCTGGGATTATATGGTTGACAGGAGTGGGATTGGAGAACACTGTTGATAGGAGTGATGGATATTTTTAGACTGGATTTCCGAGTTCAAATTTATTATGACAATGACTGGATGAGTTCTTGTTAAAGCCTGTAAATAAAACATTCAAGTCATCGATATACAGCAATCTAACAACACATTGCACTAAAATCTGCAGGTTGTCACATAACCTTCTCAGACAAGAGACCATGAATATCAAGTTGTACATCATGAATTTGGACATGGGTTGAATGAATTTAACAAAGTTAAACAAAGATCTTTACAAAATTCCTATACTGACAGCAAGACCTATAGGGAATAAATATGTTGAAGCAACCAAAGTAGGGATGTTAATAAGTTTTGTATGTCCTCCCTATCACTAGTATCAGGATTTCTGTAAGTTATATTTTTTTAAAGGGCATATGTTAATAAATGATTGATTGATTGGTGTGGTCAGTATTAACTATTTTCTACAGCAGGAAAAACTCTGATTAGTTGGTGCATGTATATACATTATTTATGGTGATGTCACATCACCTGATGAACAGATTGTACAGTTACAAACTTACAATTATGATTTGCTGTTGTCGGTCAGTCAAAGCATCAAAAACCCTAGGCATACTGGCATTAAGACTTTTTCAAATGTTATTAAAGGCTAGGAAAGACTTTTTGTCATACCAGTCTAATAACATGAATAATGTACTTTTATCATGTATATAGCATGTAAATATATAAAGCTATGGATATATTCATTTGCTTATATAACAACCAGCTCTTTTGCTTAAGAAAATAACAGGTAAATATCAGTGGGTTTGAACAGTGTTTTTTTGCTTTATTTATTCAGTACAATAGTTTGCATGTGACTATATTATTTTTATGAACATTTTAACTTTTAAAATTTTATAATAGAGGCTTTAAGATAATAATGATGTTGGCCTTTGAGCACATTTTTTTGTTAGAAATAAGCCAGTTAATATAGAAACAAATAGTCCAGTCAAAAAAACCAATCACTGATGTAATGTACAAGAATAAGGTAGTAATATTTGATTTCCTTAAAGTTATATTGATTATGTATTAATTTAACCACAATATGTGTATTGACAGATATATATGAATCTATTGGTATAGGATCACATAGATTACATAATTATATTGTTTGTATTATTGCAGGTTATGCTGGATACAGGAATTTTTCTAAATGGGGGTTTATAAACTTTTTTATACTCAAGGCCCCATAACCTCTGTCGGTCCTTAACACTTTTTGTGTAACCTTTTTCTCTGGTCATAGCTTCTAAATATATGGCACCAAGCTTCATCTAATAATGCCATACCATGTGACAGGTTTTAAATTCTTCCAATGTTCTACTTCCTGTTAGCTTAAAACTGACATCTTTGAAATGTCATACACATTTTTCTCAGCAACCAAAATTCATAGCTTCTTTATACATGGCAACAAGCTTTGTCATGCACATGTATCCTGTACATTTTATTGTATATTCAGGTTTTTGATGATTGCAAACAACATTCAACATTCCCAAATCATGTCAATTGTTCAACTATTGGAATAATATTGACCCTTTACACCAAAAATGTGTACACCTTTTCAAATGACTCTAATGTGTTGTTTGTAACATGGTTACTTACCTCTATACCTTACAGGCTATGAAATCTGATAGAAACACTAGTCATTATTATGCATCCTGTCAAAGTGAACAGGACAGGATTCTGGGAACCAGTAGTTATATAATGCTATTTGTATTACAGGCTGGAAGAGTAAGAAAGTTAAAAAGAAAGATGTTAAACACACTGTTGAGTTATACTGTTATGAGGATGAAGGAGAAGGTAAGACGTGTTTATATAAAATGTGTGAACTAAAATAGTGGTCACTATAATATATAAGAGAAGACAATGTCCACTTTTAATTTCATCAGACTTCTTAACTTGCAACAGATGACTCTTATTCACAGTTGAAATACTCACATGTAATTGCGGTTTAGTGAAAAGTTTAATGAGAAAAGTTAATTAATCAAAATTGCTTATTGCTCATGCTTCATTGGTTTGTTTTAACTTTTTGTTCTGCCTCAACTAATTCGAAAAAGCCAGAGTTATGTGTGCTGTTTCCAGCTGCATTGGTGTCAATTATGTATCAGTTTGTAATTAGATCAGTTTATGGGGATCTAAGAGTGGTAGGCCAACAGTTTATTAAAGTTACATTTATTTTAATTCTGGTTAATTCTAATTGCATGTTGATTGGTGGATTTCTTAAGATATTACGACTCTCCAATCTATTCTCAAAAAATGTATACCGGGGTATATGCTTATTGATGAAAAAACTAAAGTGTATTTAATTAAGCTTTGTATATAGATATAAGAAGATGTGGTATGAGTGCCAATGAGACAACTCTCCATCCAAGTCAAAATTTATAAAAGTAAACCATTATAGGTCAAAGTACGGTCTTCAACAGGGAGTCTTGGCTCACACCGAACAGCAAGCTATAAAGGGCCCCAAAAATTAGTAGTGTAAAACCATTCAAACAGGAAAACCAACGGTCTAATCTATATAAAAAACAAGAAACGAGAAACACTTATGAACCACTTCAACAAACGACAACTACTGAACAGATTCCTGTATTTTTTATATGTTATATTTCAGACAAGAGAACTACACAAAATAGGCCACAGAGAAGAAGAAGTGAATTACTCTGAATTCTTTGTCTTTAAACATAGTGACTTAAATACAATAGAAAATAAAGTCAATAACCACAAATACAGAAGTCTGGAAGAGTTCCTGGCAGACACACAACTTATATACCACAATACGCATTTAATATATGGAGGTAATATACACAACTTATATACCACAATGCATTTGTAATATATATAGTTGATAAACACAAATTCAGTCAGGATTCTACTTTGTAAAATTATCTCCCCAAAACGCCACCTAATTTTTACAATCGTAAAAACAGAAGCCATTGTAGGGATGACGTGCTGTCAATTTAGCTCTTGAAAACCGATAAATTTATAAACAAAGCATCATTACGATCCTTATGTACCAGTTGTATTTTAAAAGACAAATGTATCTACTAACTATTGAGCATCATTTGTAGTTTTCTGCCTTTAGTCAACTTAAAACTATTGTATGATCGGTTCAGGGAGAATTTTCGAAAGTCCAAAAACATTTTAAAAAAATTCTAATTAAATATTTCATGAAAGGGCAGACTAAAAATTTTCAGAGGTTGAAGACTAATAACCCTAGATAACACACACAAAGAATGAAGTTTTTTTTTAAGTTATGCATTTTTAAGATCCACTTGTTAAGTCTGTCGTCAAGTACTTTTAGTCAAAATTTGTTATTCAAACACACCTACTCTGTTGTTATGACTCATTAAAAAGGTATTTCACTTGACCCATATATTTCATTTTTTAGTACTGTACATTTTTAAAGTTATTATATCAACCTGTAGCCTAACTATATAAAAATAATAAAATCTTAAGCGAGATGATGCATCAAATATTTTTGCTTTATAAGTTTTCAAGACAAAATAGTCAACTCAAACACGCCTAAACATAAAAAGGTGTACTCAATATTCTCTATTTTGATGAAATTATTGCCCATTTTTAGGATTTTTTCCAATAAAACAGTTGCCGGCGGCAGAGATGCAAATTAATGCTTTAAAAAGATCAATCTTTTATCTTTCTGTGGATTTTTTTTCGGCGGAATTTATTCTTTTGCACATAAAAGATCCACATGTATTTGCACTTACCACAAACAACTGTTTTGTGAAAATTTGTCTTTAATTTAACATTTTACAAAGAACTCGAAGCTCCATACTATAATTTTAGTAAAAACAGGTATATATGATGCATAAAATCCTAAATTATGCACATTCATTAAACTTTTAAAGCCCATAGAAACAGATGTAAACAATTCAAATATACCAACTTAACCTTTTTTACCTTCTCTAATAAAGAGTTCCATTTCTTTTGTTTAATTTCAACTGGGTATCTGCCTGCTTGTGTACCACAATACATGCTATATGAAGGTAAAATGGACTCTTCATGAACTGGTCCTACCAACAGGTGAAAAATATATTTCATTTCATTACCAGTTTCAAGGTTACATATGGCTCAAAATTCCAAAAAAAAAAGTAAATTTATTTCTTTGATACAGTTGTGTTTTATGTTTATTCTGATATCTCCCTATTCACATTGATTAGACTAACTTCAAACAAAGTCTTTTTTACAGATGAATATAAAGGTGGCATAGCTGAATTGGCCAGAATAATGGCAAAAGATTGTGAACATGAGGTAAAAGTACAAGTAGAAACTAAATCATTAATAATTTCTATTAATTGGCCAAAACAATAGGAAAAGAGTGTGAACAGGAGTAAAAAATGCAAAATTGTGAATTATATGTAGCTGAATGAAAACCAAATTACATAATTAAAAATAAAAAAATGACAGTATATTGAATTCATAAGAAAACTAGGTAATACACTTAACACAGAGGTACGTCTAGGTTGTGTAACCTAATCACAAACTTAAATGTGGAAACAGCTTAGGCAAGTCTCCTTAACTGGCATTGCATGCAAGACAAATATAGAAAGCATTAGATAAAATACAATATACAAGTTGAAATTATCTGTTATAAACATAAGACTAATATAACTGAATTGGCTGACAGAAAAACGAATAACAGAAATAATCAAAGTACTGAAGTACTGAACATCGGATGACCGCAATTTCTTGTGGATGGTCACAAGCACTTGTCTCAGAAAAAAAAATCACATCTCTATACCTGAAAGTGAAGTTAATGTACAGAGATATATTTTTTTCTGAGACAAGTTCGTGCATGGATGATGAATAAATGACAGGGAATTCAACCTCCCGGTAATAACTATTATATTGTAGTGATACAAATCAGTATACTCTGGTTTGTTGTTATATATTATATTAATATTTGTATATAACAGTTACATGTATACATAATTTTCATCCATTTGTTTATCATTCTATTCTACTATTCTAATGATAGTGCAGTGTAAGTGCATTGTGGACACTCTTCTGTAATAATTCGATTTTTCTAATAGATTGGATTTGAGTAGGCATTCATATTTTCCCGCAAAACGTTCTTGAGATATTCTTCCACATGCGTTAACACAAATTTTCTGTACGTGTGCATAGATATTAATGATTTTTTACTTATATATATATTTCTAACGACAAAACATTTTCATATTATTAATTTATGTTCTAAAAAAAGATATTTTTATGAGTATTCATCGAAGAAATGAAGTTATAACAAGCGATAAGGAATGTTATTTTGCACTTGATAATGTCCGCGTATTTATAGATAGGTTACCAGTCAAAAGTTACGTAAGTAGAAATCTCTGTGGCAACAATACATTGGAATGCCCTCATGTCATCAAGATGTAAATAGTAAAAAAGAAGTTTTGTGCAATGAATGATAATGATCATAGAAAAAAGGTGAAAAAAAATACTTTCACAAAGAAAAAGTCTTTTATTTAGTTATCCACACTTATTGTGGACAATACACAAAATGTAAACTACTTACAAAGAATTTTTACAAATCTATCAAAACTATATATAACTTTTAAAATTTGCTACAAAAAATTTGACTTTTTTTAACATGAATTTCAATGAAAATTGATATATAAGTATAATATGCTAGTCCAGAATTGATTCCTGGGATTGAATTTGCGGTCAAAAATTTTGTTGTGTTAAAAGAATCTAAAATTTTGAGAAAATTATTTTATATTAGGATTTATGCTATCTATCAAGAGTGTAGACTACATTGTTTACTTTAGTAGCTGTTATTATATGTTTATGAAATTGTATGTGGAAGAAATTAAACAATGTCATAGTTGTTATTACATGTGCAATGTTTTAACTATGTGATGTTTATAACATTGTATGTGGAAGAAATTAAACAATGTCATAGTTGTTATTACATGTGCAATGTTTTAACTATGTGATGTTTATAACATTGTATGTGGAAGAAATTAAACAATGTCATAGTTGTTATTACATGTGCAATGTTTTAACTATGTGATGTTTATAACATTGTATGTGGAAGAAATTAAACAATGTCATAGTTGTTATTACATGTGCAATGTTTTAACTATGTGATGTTAAAAATATTTTAGGTAGAAGAAATAAAACAATGCCGTAGCTGTTACTACTTGTCCAATGCCAAGCCAGATAATTGGTTCTGTCAGCCGTGTGTAAGTTCTTTACTCTTCAGACATTATTCAGATTGTAATAATATATGGGTTCTTTACTGTCAGACATTATTCAGATTGTAATGATATATAGGTTCTTTACTGTCAGACATTATTCAGATTGTAATGATATATAGGTTCTTTACTGTCAGACATTATTCAGATTGTAATGATATATAGAAAAGAAATTTTCATGAAAATATTGCTAACTGATTGCAGACAAACAAAGCACAATCACTGTTTTTCTGTGGTTTTTTTTTTTAATTTTTAAACATTCAATGTCATTTGAGTGACAGCATAAAGCAAGTATATGGATGGTTGGGGAGAGTTTCATTCTACCAACAGTACTTCATAGATTATACTATAAATATAAATATACAGTACTAGTTATATGTAAAAAATAAACATGTGCAATGAGTTAGCAAAATCTGACATGCTTCATCTCTATAAAAATCTGACATGCTTCATATCTGACATGCTTCATCTCTATAAAAATCTAACATGCTTCATCTCTATAAAAATCTGACATGCTTCGTCTCTATAAAAATCTGACATGCTTCGTCTCTATAAAAGTCTGACATGCTTCATCTCTATAAAAATCTGACATGCTTCATCTCTATAAAAATCTGACATGCTTCATCTCTATAAAAATCTGACATGCTTCATCTCTATAAAAATCTGACATGCTTCATCTCTATAAAAATCTGACATGCTTCGTCTCTATAAAAATCTGACAAAATCTGACATGCTTCATCTCTATAAAAATCTGACATGCTTCGTCTCTATAAAAATCTGACATGCTTCGTCTCTATAAAAATCTGACATGCTTCGTCTCTATAAAAATCTGACATGCTTCGTCTCTATAAAAATCTGACATGCTTCGTCTCTATAAAAATCTGACATGCTTCATCTCTATAAAAAGAGAAAACATAAAAATAGGTTTAATATCTGTACTGTACTGACTTGTGTCGGTATGTGACTTGTACTGTACTGTATCTGTACTGTACTGACTTGTGTCGGTATGTTCATCAATAAATACTGTCAGCAAGTTTGTAAATATAACTTTGGACAAGGCAAACAAGGATTGTTAAAGACTTGGACTAGTATGTGTATTCCGCTTGCAAATGTTATAAAAAAGCCCTGGGCAAGTAAGATTTGTCAGAAAATTTCAACCTCTGCCTGATTGGATGGACTGGTACAAAGCCCTTGGCAAGTAAGATTTGTTCAACCTCTGCCTGATTGGATGGACTGGTATAAATTCCCTGGGCAAGTAAGATTTGTTCAACCTCTGCCTGATTGGATGGACTGGTACAAAGCCCTGGGCAATTAAGATTTGTTCAACCTCTGCCTGATTGGATGGACTGGTACAAAGCCCTGGGCAAGTAAGATTTGTTCAACATCTGCCTGATTGGATGGACTGGTACAAAGCCCTGGGCAAGTAAGATTTGTTCAACCTCTGCCTGATTGGATGGACTGGTACAAAGCCCTGGGCAAGTAAGATTTGTTCAACCTCTGTCTGATTGGATGGACTGGTACAAAGCCCTGGGCAAGTAAGATTTGTTCAACATCTGCCTGATTGGATGGACTGGTACAAAGCCTTGGGCAAGTAAGATTTGTTCAACCTCTGCCTGATTGGATGGACTGGTACAAAGCCCTGGGCAAGTAAGATTTGTTCAACCTCTGCCTGATTGGATGGACTGGTACAAAACCCTTGGCAAGTAAGATTTGTTCAACCTCTGCCTGATTGGATGGACTGGTACAAAGCCCTGGGCAAGTAAGATTTGTTCAACATCTGCCTGATTGGATGGACTGGTACAAAGCCCTGGGCAAGTAAGATTTGTTCAACCTCTGCCTGATTGGATGGACTGGTACAAAGCCCTGGGCAAGTAAGATTTGTTCAACATCTGCCTGATTGGATGGACTGGTACAAAGCCCTGGGCAAGTAAGATTTGTTCAACCTCTGCCTGATTGGATGGACTGGTACCTTAAACTCAATCTTTGGATGCATATGCATTAGATTTATCAGTATGCCAAAACTTCAAATTTTGTAGAATCCCTTCAATTACTGTTCCTTGGCCATAAAAAATCATGCATCTAATGTGTGAAGTGTATGTTATAATTCAGTTGTTTTATCAAGAAGTTTTAATACTTGTCTCTGTAGGACCCACCACATGAACTGGTATATGCAAAACTGAAAGGTTACAGTTACTGGCCTGCCAAGATAATTAGGAGACTCGGTGATCGATGTGATGTCAGATTTTTTGGTGGATTTCATCAAAGGTAGGTCACATATAGGTCATAAGGATAACAGTTAGTTACAGTTACACTTCTAAGGTCATGAAGATACTCAGTAAAACAATTACATATGAAGGATTATTTCACCCAGAAACCTACCTTAAAAGAAGTCTGTACTCACAGAACTGCCATTGACGAAATTGTCCACTCAAAAGAACTACCTTTGGTAAAAAAATTTCACTCCAAGAATCATTTTTAATGAAATTCTCCATTAAGAATCCTAAGAAAGAGTAAATCATGATATTAGTATAAAAATAAGGAGATGTGGTATGATTGCCAATAAGACAACTATCCACCAGATTTCAAATTAAGTGGATGTAAGCAATTAAAGGCCACCATACGGCCTGTAACAATGAGAACAATCAGTAACGTATAGTCTGCTATATAAGGCACCAACATGAAAAATGTGAAACCATTCAAACAAGAAAACTAACAGCCTTATTTATAACAAAACAGTTTACGAAAAAAAAAAAATGATGGACACAAACCACAACAACTACAGGCTCCTGACTTGGGATAGGCACATAAACAATATACTGTAAATTCAGAAATTATTACGTGCATTTATTATTGCGATTTTTAAAGAATGGACTAAAATGCGAGATTTATTATTGCGATTTCAGGAAAATCTGCATATAGATTTTTGTATCAGATATCAGAATGCGAGTTCTTATTATTGCGATGATCACCAAGTCGCATTATTCGCATTAATAAAAACCTCGCAATAATTTCTGAATTTACAGTAGTGGGGTTAAACATTTTTGTGAGTGCTCAGTCCTCCTCCTAACCTGGGACTGAGGAGGAGCAGCACAGCATAAGAACAAACAGTAAAAATCAGTTGTAATTGGCTTACCTCAAAAAGATCGGTACAAAGCACAAAAACAGTAGAAATAAAGCACCGAAATACGAGTACTTGCAGAATCATTCTGATAAAGAAATTATCCTGCTTTTGAAGTGAGAATTCTTAACAATCGCATCCATTTATTTTTCAGTATATAATTTATTTATTGTAGTACAAAAATTATAATTGAATGTCTATGTTCATTTAGCTTTGTTTAGATATGTTTTTTTTTTTTTTTTATGTATACTTTGTAATTAGAACATTATGTTTCTCTTGGCAGATCTCTATTACCTAAGGAATCAATAAAACCAGTAGATATCAATATTCAGAAACTAGTCACAAAAAGAACTGTAGGTACGTTTAGTATTCAGAAACTAGTCACAAAAAGAACTGTAGGTACGTTCAATATTCAGAATCGAGTCACAAAAAGAACTGCAGGTACGTTTTATTTATCACATGAAGAACATTGAGGATGGAACATTTGATAACAAACTTCTCATATATTGAAACACACAAAAATATATTTAAGATTTTTGTATGCTCAAAGAAGGTTAAAGTCCTGTTACTTTGGAACAGCATATCACAAGAAAATATAAAAAGGAATCTTTCTTCTGCTGATTCAAATATTCCATGAAGTTTATGAAATTTGGTAAAAGCATTCTCTAGCTTTAATAAGATGTGTGGACCAACAATGGTATACCACAATTCATGCTGTCAGATTTTAGGCAATTTTTCACATATTACATAGTTATTAAGTGTGGATCTATTTACTTGGAAACTTTACTCGGTTGTTGGGATTTGTAAAAGTAGCTACTTAAGGTGTTTGAAAATTTTCTGATTTGTGATTCAGCAGTTATGAGAATAAAATTGTTGGACACATTGAGTATGCTTTATAGTTCACTTTAAACTTTACATTATTGTTTGGATTGATAAAAAAAAAAGTTTCCTTTTAATATCGAAATTTTCATATTTGCTTTCCAGAGTTATGGGACTTTAACCATCAAATTTATGGATATTCTCTGCAAGATTTTCTGCAGGTCCATTTTATTGCTATGATATTTTCACATTACATTGATCAACAATGAGTTTTCTTGATGACATCAGGTTCTCATTAATAAGTTAGAGGTAAAATGTATTTGGTGTATAGAATGATTGTACATTTTCATGTGATGGCTCATCTGAACTTGACCTCATTTTCATTGATCATATATAAATGATAAATTTATGTAATAGAAGCTTTGCCTTGATATCAAAGATTTTTTACAACAAATTAAGTCATGATCAACAATGCTGGCAAGACAAGCTTCAGCACTTTTGTTTTAAAGCAATAATTTGTTTGGCAAAATTGTGTTATTGATTCTGTAATTCTTAGCCTCTGTTTACCTTCTCAGACCAGGTTATTACTTAGCCTCTGTATACCTTCTCAGACCAGGTTATTACTTAGCCTCTGTATACCTTCTCAGACCAGGTTATTACTTAGCCTCTCTATACCTTCTCAGACCAGGTTATTACTTAGCCTCTCTATACCTTCTCAGACCAGGTTATTACTTAGCCTCCAGATTATTACTTAGCCTCTGTATACCTTCTCAGACCAGGTTATTACTTAGCCTCTGTATACCTTCTCAGACCAGGTTATTACTTAGCCTCCAGGTTATTACTTAGCCTCTGTATACCTTCTCAGACCAGGTTATTACTTAGCCTCCAGGTTATTACTTAGCCTCTGTATACCTTTTCAGACCAGGTTATTACTTAGCCTCTGTATACCTTCTCAGACCAGGTTATTACTTAGCCTCTGTATACCTTCTCAGACCAGGTTATTACTTAGCCTCCAGGTTATTACTTAGCCTCTGTATACCTTCTCAGACCAGGTTATTACTTAGCCTCCAGGTTATTACTTAGCCTCTGTATACCTTCTCAGACCAGGTTATTACTTAGCCTCTGTATACCTTCTCAGACCAGGTTATTACTTAGCCTCCAGGTTATTACTTAGCCTCTGTATACCTTCTCAGACCAGGTTATTACTTAGCCTCTAGGTTATTACTTAGCCTCTGTATACCTTCTCAGACCAGGTTATTACTTAGCCTCTGTATACCTTCTCAGACCAGGTTATTACTTAGCCTCTGTATACCTTCTCAGACCAGGTTATTACTTAGCCTCTGTATACCTTCTCAGACCAGGTTATTACTTAGCCTCTCTATACCTTCTCAGACCAAGTTATTACTTAGCATTTGTATACCTTCTCAGACCAGGTTATTACTTAGCCTCTCTATACCTTCTCAGACCAGGTTATTACTTAGCCTCTCTATACCTTCTCAGACCAGGTTATTACTTAGCCTCTGTATACCTTCTCAGACCAGGTTATTACTTAGCCTCCAGGTTATTACTTAGCCTCTGTATACCTTCTCAGACCAGGTTATTACTTAGCCTCCAGGTTATTACTTAGCCTCTGTATACCTTCTCAGACCAGGTTATTACTTAGCCTCTGTATACCTTCTCAGACCAGGTTATTACTTAGCCTCTGTATACCTTCTCAGACCAGGTTATTACTTAGCCTCTGTATACCTTCTCAGACCAGGTTATTACTTAGCCTCTCTATACCTTCACAGACCAGGTTATTACTTAGCATTTGTATACCTTCTCAGACCAGGTTATTACTTAGCCTCTCTATACCTTCTCAGACCAGGTTATTACTTAGCCTCTGTATACCTTATTACTTAGCCTCTGTATACCTTCTCAGACCAGGTTATTACTTAGCCTCTGTATACCTTCTCAGACCAGGTTATTACTTAGCCTCTGTATGCCTTCTCAGACCAGGTTATTACTTAGCCTCTGTATACCTTCTCAGACCAGGTTATTACTTAGCCTCCAGGTTATTACTTAGCCTCTGTATACCTTCTCAGACCAGGTTATTACTTAGCCTCTGTATACCTTCTCAGACCAGGTTATTACTTAGCGTCTGTATACCTTCTCAGACCAGGTTATTACTTAGCCTCTGTATACCTTCTCAGACCAGGTTATTACTTAGCCTCTGTATACCTTCTCAGACCAGGTTATTACTTAGCCTCTCTATACCTTCACAGACCAGGTTATTACTTAGCATTTGTATACCTTCTCAGACCAGGTTATTACTTAGCCTCTCTATACCTTCTCAGACCAGGTTATTACTTAGCCTCTGTATACCTTCTCAGACCAGGTTATTACTTAGCCTCTCTATACCTTCACAGACCAGGTTATTACTTAGCATTTGTATACCTTCTCAGACCAGGTTATTACTAAGCCTCTCTATACCTTCTCAGACCAGGTTATTATTTAGCCTCTGTATACCTTCTCAGACCACGTTATTACTTAGCCTCTGTATACCTTCTCAGACCACGTTATTACTTAGCCTCTGTATACCTTCTCAGACCAGGTTATTACTTAGCCTCTCTATACCTTCTCAGACCAGGTTATTACTTAGCCTCTGTATACCTTCTCAGACCAGGTTATTACTTAGCCTCTCTATACCTTCTCAGACCAGGTTATTACTTAGCCTCTGTATACCTTCTCAGACCAGGTTATTACTTAGCCTCTGTATACCTTCTCAGACCAGGTTATTACTTAGCGTCTGTATACCTTCTCAGACCAGGTTATTACTTAGCCTCTGTATACCTTCTCAGACCAGGTTATTACTTAGCCTCTGTATACCTTCTCAGACCAGGTTATTACTTAGCCTCTCTATACCTTCACAGACCAGGTTATTACTTAGCATTTGTATACCTTCTCAGACCAGGTTATTACTTAGCCTCTCTATACCTTCTCAGACCAGGTTATTACTTAGCCTCTGTATACCTTCTCAGACCAGGTTATTACTTAGCCTCTCTATACCTTCACAGACCAGGTTATTACTTAGCATTTGTATACCTTCTCAGACCAGGTTATTACTAAGCCTCTCTATACCTTCTCAGACCAGGTTATTACTTAGCCTCTGTATACCTTCTCAGACCACGTTATTACTTAGCCTCTGTATACCTTCTCAGACCACGTTATTACTTAGCCTCTGTATACCTTCTCAGACCAGGTTATTACTTAGCCTCTCTATACCTTCTCAGACCAGGTTATTACTTAGCCTCTGTATACCTTCTCAGACCAGGTTATTACTTAGCCTCTCTATACCTTCTCAGACCAGGTTATTACTTAGCCTCTGTATACCTTCTCATACCAGGTTATTACTTAGCCTCTGTATACCTTCTCAGACCAGGTTATTACTTAGCCTCTGTATACCTTCTCAGACCAGGTTATTACTTAGCCTCTGTATACCTTCTCAGACCAGGTTATTACTTAACCTCTGTATACCTTCTCAGACCAGGTTATTACTTAGCCTCTGTATACCTTCTCATACCTGTATACCTTCTCAGACCAGGTTATTACTTAGCCTCTGTATACCTTCACAGACCAGGTTATTACTTAGCCTCTGTATACCTTCTCAGACCAGGTTATTACTTAGCCTCTGTTTACCTTCTCATACCAGGTTATTACTTAGCCTCTGTATACCTTCTCAGGCCAGGTTATTACTTAGCCTCTGTATACCTTCTCAGACCAGGTTATTACTTAGCCTCTGTATACCTTCTCAGACCAAGTTATTACTTAGCCTCTGTATACCTTCTCAGACCAGGTTATTACTTAGCCTCTGTATACCTTCTCAGACCAGGTTATTACTTAGCCTCTGTATACCTTCTCAGACCAGGTTATTACTTAGCCTCTGTATACCTTCTCAGACCAGGTTATTACTTAGCCTCTGTATACCTTCTCATACCAGGTTATTACTTAGCCTCTGTATACCTTCTCAGACCAGGTTATTACTTAGCCTCTGTATACCTTCTCATACCAGGTTATTACTTTGTTTAAAATCAACTTGTTGTTTGTTTGATATCAGTTTTTCATTGGTCAGAATTCAATTATGAAGTCAAATTCTCCTGCTTTTTCTCAATTTTCTTTTGTGACTTCAAGAAAAAAGTTTGTTGGAAAAGAAAGATAAATTGTCTTAAATCATGAGAGAATCAGATTCCACCTCTAAATTTGTGTAATATGACATTTATTCACTCTTGACAGTTAAATTTAAATATTAAAACTTCAGCAAGCCTCAAGTTTTAAATTTTAAAAGTTAAATATCTCAAGTGGAGAATTATCGTAAACAATTGATATAGTGGTAGAATCTATGAATAGCCTAGAAAGATGCCATGGAGATAAAAAAATATTAGGGAAAGGTTCAATGAAAACATAAGAAATGAACATTATTAGGGTAAGGTTATTGGAAGTTACAGAAAAATTTACAGAAATACTTTCATTTTATGCCATTTTTTACAAAACAAGCATATGCTATTTAAAGTATTTATACATATGTATAAACCTGATTTAAGTTTGTATTGTTCAAAGATTCTTTGTAAACATATATCTCATTCTGTATGAATGGGGACTATAAGACATAACAAATTACTAAATGTCAACTTAATATTGTTGGTTTGCTGTAGCATTACAATATGAAAGTTATTTCTTTTCATCATTAGTGAATATATTGTATTTCCTAGGTTTTAATAAAGCTTGTGATGAGCTGAAAAGATATCAGGAAAATCTAGCCAACCTCCCTTCACAAAATGATGATGAAGATGATGACAAAGAAGAATCAGAGGCAAGTAACGAGAAAGAGGAAATAGAATCAGAGGCTAGCAAGGAGAAAGATGACCCCTATGACTTTGATTCTGAAATGGCAGCTAATAATGAAACTGTGTCAGACAAAGATGAGTCTGATGGTGAGGCTGTTAAAGAAAAGAAAGAAGATACAGTGGAAAATAGTGCATTAGAAGTAAGCTCCACCAGTAGTCCCCCAAAGAAAAGGCCATGTCTCAAGGTAAGATATAGACACACCTTCATCAATAGTCTCGTAAGTTTGATAAGTTGGCAAGGAATTTTTTAGAAAATGTTTATAAATACATATAATTAAAAAATGATGAGTTTTAAATGTGCAATTCTGAACCATGCCCATTAAATTCATGGAATGGTACAAATATTAGGACGTGCAAATACAAGTAATCGCATTCACTGATGGCAATATTGAGAGGTTTATAGTATTCAGAATATTCTTTTGAGAGTTTATTTCTGCTTTAGGCATCAGTCTGATATTATATGTAGGCAGGCATCCATCGGTCTGATATTATATGTAGGCAGGCATCGGTCTGATATTATATGTAGGCAGGCATCGGTCTGATATTATATGTAGGCAGGCATCAGTCTGATATTATATGTAGGCAGGCATCAGTCTGATATTATATGTAGGCAGGCATCGGTCTGATATTATATGTAGGCAGGCATCGGTCTGATATTATATGTAGGCAGGCATCGGTCTGATATTATATGTAGGCAGGCATCGGTCTGATATAAAAGTAGGCAGGCATCGGTCTGATATTATATGTAGGCAGGCATCGGTCTGATATTATATGTAGGCAGGCATCAGTCTGATATTATATGTAGGCAGGCATCAGTCTGATATTATATGTAGGCAGGCATCAGTCTGATATTATATGTAGGTAGGCATCAGTCTGATATTATATGTAGGTAGGCATCAGTCTGATATTATATGTAGGCAGGCATCAGTCTGATATTATATGTAGGCAGGCATCAGTCTGATATTATATGTAGGCAGGCATCGGTCTGATATTATATGTAGGCAGGCATCAGTCTGATATTATATGTAGGCAGGCATCGGTCTGATATTATATGTAGGCAGGCATCAGTCTAATATTATATGTAGGCAGGCATCGGTCTGATATTATATGTAGGCAGGCATCAGTCTGATATTATATGTAGGCAGGCATCGGTCTGATATTATATGTAGGCAGGCATCAGTCTGATATTATATGTAGGCAGGCATCAGTCTGATATTATATGTAGGCAGGCATCGGTCTGATATTATATGTAGGCAGGCATCAGTCTGATATTATATGTAGGCAGGCATCGGTCTGATATTATATGTAGGCAGGCATCAGTCTGATATTATATGTAGGTAGGCATCAGTCTGATATTATATGTAGGCAGGCATCAGTCTGATATTATATGTAGGCAGGCATCAGTCTGATATTATATGTAGGCAGGCATCAGTCTGATATTATATGTAGGCAGGCATCAGTCTGATATTATATGTAGGCAGGCATCAGTCTGATATTATATGTAGGCAGGAGTTGAATATTGATTGTATTCAGTTTATTCTTTTGTGAGTTTATTTCTGTCTTAAGTGAGTTTGTCTGTGCCTATAGGAGTCCTTCTGATATGATATGTCTTAAGTGAGTTTGTTTATGCCTTTAGGAGTCCTTCTGATATGATATGTCTTAAGTGAGTTTGTTTATGCCTTTAGGAGTCCTTCTGATATGATATGTCTTAAGTGAGTTTGTTTGTGCCTTTAGGAGTCCTTCTGATATGATATGTCTTAAGTGAGTTTGTCTTAGCCTTAAGGAGTCCTTCTGATATGATATGTCTTAAGTGAGTTTGTCTTAGCCTTTAGGAGTCCTTCTGATATGATATGTCTTAAGTGATGCCTTGAGGAGTCCTTCTGATATGATATGTCTTAAGTGAGTTTGTTTGTGCCTTTAGGAGTCCTTCTGATATGATATGTCTTAAGTGAGTTAGTTTGTGCCTTTAGGAGTCCTTCTGATATGATATGTCTTAAGTGAGTTTGTTTGTTCCTTTAGGAGTCCTTCTGATATGATATGTCTTAAGTGAGTTTGTTTGTGCCTTTAGGAGTCCTTCTGATATGATATGTCTTAAGTGAGTTTGTCTGTGCCTTTAGGAGTCCTTCTGATAGGATATGTCTTAAGTGAGTTTGTCTGTGCCTTTAGGAGTCCTTCTGATATGATATGTCTTAAGTGAGTTTGTCTGTGCCTATAGGAGTCCTTCTGATATGATATGTCTTAAGTGAGTTTGTTTATGCCTTTAGGAGTCCTTCTGATATGATATGTCTTAAGTGAGTTTGTTTATGCCTTTAGGAGTCCTTCTGATATGATATGTCTTAAGTGAGTTTGTTTGTGCCTTTAGGAGTCCTTCTGATATGATATGTCTTAAGTGAGTTTGTCTTAGCCTTAAGGAGTCCTTCTGATATGATATGTCTTAAGTGAGTTTGTCTTAGCCTTTAGGAGTCCTTCTGATATGATATGTCTTAAGTGATGCCTTGAGGAGTCCTTCTGATATGATATGTCTTAAGTGAGTTTGTTTGTGCCTTTAGGAGTCCTTCTGATATGATATGTCTTAAGTGAGTTAGTTTGTGCCTTTAGGAGTCCTTCTGATATGATATGTCTTAAGTGAGTTTGTTTGTTCCTTTAGGAGTCCTTCTGATATGATATGTCTTAAGTGAGTTTGTTTGTGCCTTTAGGAGTCCTTCTGATATGATATGTCTTAAGTGAGTTTGTCTGTGCCTTTAGGAGTCCTTCTGATATGATATGTCTTAAGTGAGTTTGTCTGTGCCTTTAGGAGTCTTTCTGATATGATATGTCTTAAGTGAGTTTGTCTGTGCCTATAGGAGTCCTTCTGATATGATATGTCTTAAGTGAGTTTGTTTATGCCTTTAGGAGTCCTTCTGATATGATATGTCTTAAGTGAGTTTGTTTGTGCCTTTAGGAGTCCTTCTGATATGATATGTCTTAAGTGAGTTTGTCTTAGCCTTAAGGAGTCCTTCTGATATGATATGTCTTAAGTGAGTTTGTCTTAGCCTTTAGGAGTCCTTCTGATATGATATGTCTTAAGTGATGCCTTGAGGAGTCCTTCTGATATGATATGTCTTAAGTGAGTTTGTTTGTGCCTTTAGGAGTCCTTCTGATATGATATGTCTTAAGTGAGTTAGTTTGTGCCTTTAGGAGTCCTTCTGATATGATATGTCTTAAGTGAGTTTGTTTGTTCCTTTAGGAGTCCTTCTGATATGATATGTCTTAAGTGAGTTTGTTTGTGCCTTTAGGAGTCCTTCTGATATGATATGTCTTAAGTGAGTTTGTCTGTGCCTTTAGGAGTCCTTCTGATAGGATATGTCTTAAGTGAGTTTGTCTGTGCCTTTAGGAGTCCTTCTGATAGGATATGTCTTAAGTGAGTTTGTCTGTGCCTTTAGGAGTCCTTCTGATATGATATGTCTTAAGTGAGTTTGTCTTAGCCTTTAGGAGTCCTTCTGATATGATATGTCTTAAGTGATGCCTTGAGGAGTCCTTCTGATATGATATGTCTTAAGTGAGTTTGTCTTAGCCTTTAGGAGTCCTTCTGATATGATATGTCTTAAGTGATGCCTTGAGGAGTCCTTCTGATATGATATGTCTTAAGTGAGTTTGTTTGTGCCTTTAGGAGTCCTTCTGATATGATATGTCTTAAGTGAGTTAGTTTGTGCCTTTAGGAGTCCTTCTGATATGATATGTCTTAAGTGAGTTTGTTTGTTCCTTTAGGAGTCCTTCTGATATGATATGTCTTAAGTGAGTTTGTTTGTGCCTTTAGGAGTCCTTCTGATATGATATGTCTTAAGTGAGTTTGTCTGTGCCTTTAGGAGTCCTTCTGATAGGATATGTCTTAAGTGAGTTTGTCTGTGCCTTTAGGAGTCCTTCTGATAGGATATGTCTTAAGTGAGTTTGTCTGTGCCTTTAGGAGTCCTTCTGATATGATATGTCTTAAGTGAGTTTGTCTGTGCCTTTATGAGTCCTTCTGATATGATATGTCTTAAGTGAGTTTGTCTGTGCCTTTAGGAGTCCTTCTGATATGATATGTCTTAAGTGAGTTTGTCTGTTCCTTTAGGAGTCCTTCTGATATGATATGTCTTAAGTGAGTTTGTCTGTGCCTTTAGGAGTCCTTCTGATATGATATGTCTTAAGTGAGTTTGTTTGTGCCTTTAGGAGTCCTTCTGATATGATATGTCTTAAGTGAGTTTGTTTGTGCCTTTAGGAGTCCTTCTGATATGATATGTCTTAAGTGAGTTAGTTTGTGCCTTTAGGAGTCCTTCTGATATGATATGTCTTAAGTGAGTTAGTTTGTGCCTTTAGGAGTCCTTCTGATATGATATGTCTTAAGTGAGTTAGTTTGTGCCTTTAGGAGTCCTTCTGATATGATATGTCTTAAGTGAGTTTGTCTGTGCCTTTAGGAGTCCTTCTGATATGATATGTCTTAAGTGAGTTTGTCTGTGCCTTTAGGAGTCCTTCTGATATGATATGTCTTAAGTGAGTTTGTCTGTGCCTTTAGGAGTCCTTCTGATATGATATGTCTTAAGTGAGTTTGTCTGTGCCTTTAGGAGTCCTTCTGATATGATATGTCTTAAGTGAGTTTGTTTGTGCCTTTAGGAGTCCTTCTGATATGATATGTCTTAAGTGAGTTTGTTTGTGCCTTTAGGAGTCCTTCTGATATGATATGTCTTAAGTGAGTTAGTTTGTGCCTTTAGGAGTCCTTCTGATATGATATGTCTTAAGTGAGTTAGTTTGTGCCTTTAGGAGTCCTTCTGATATGATATGTCTTAAGTGAGTTTGTCTGTGCCTTTAGGAGTCCTTCTGATATGATATGTCTTAAGTGAGTTTGTTTGTGTCTTTAGGTGTCCTTCTGATATGATATGTCTTAAGTGAGTTTGTTTGTGCCTTTAGGAGTCCTTCTGATATGATATGTCTTAAGTGAGTTTGTCTGTGCCTTTAGGAGTCCTTCTGATATGATATGTCTTAAGTGAGTTTGTTTGTTCCTTTAGGAGTCCTTCTGATATGATATGTCTTAAGTGAGTTTGTTTGTGCCTTTAGGAGTCCTTCTGATATGATATGTCTTAAGTGAGTTTGTCTGTGCCTTTAGGAGTCCTTCTGATATGATATGTCTTAAGTGAGTTTGTCTGTGCCTTTAGGAGTCTTTCTGATATGATATGTCTTAAGTGAGTTTGTTTGTGCCTTTAGGAGTCCTTCTGATATGATATGTCTTAAGTGAGTTTGTTTGTGCCTTTAGGAGTCCTTCTGATATGATATGTCTTAAGTGAGTTTTTTGTGCCTTTAGGAGTCCTTCTGATATGATATGTCTTAAGTGAGTTTGTTTGTGCCTTTAGGAGTCCTTCTGATATGATATGTCTTAAGTGAGTTTGTTTGTGCCTTTAGGAGTCCTTCTGATATGATATGTCTTAAGTGAGTTTAGGAGTCCTTCTGATATGATATGTCTTAAGTGAGTTTGTCTGTGCCTTTAGGAGTCCTTCTGATATGATATGTCTTAAGTGAGTTTGTTTGTGCCTTGAGGAGTCCTTCTGATATGATATGTCTTAAGTGGGTTAGTTTGTGCCTTTAGGAGTCCTTCTGATATGATATGTCTTAAGTGAGTTTGTTTATGCCTTTAGGAGTCCTTCTGATATGATATGTCTTAAGTGAGTTTGTTTGTGCCTTTAGGAGTCCTTCTGATATGATATGTCTTAAGTGAGTTTGTCTGTGCCTTTAGGAGTCCTTCTGATATGATATGTCTTAAGTGAGTTTGTCTGTGCCTTTAGGAGTCCTTCTGATATGATATGTCTTAAGTGGGTTAGTTTGTGCCTTTAGGAGTCCTTCTGATATGATATGTCTTAAGTGAGTTTGTTTATGCCTTTAGGAGTCCTTCTGATATGATATGTCTTAAGTGAGTTTGTCTGTGCCTTTAGGAATCCTTCTGATATGATATGTCTTAAGTGAGTTTGTCTGTGCCTTTAGGAATCCTTCTGATATGATATGTCTTAAGTGAGTTTGTCTGTGCCTTTAGGAGTCTTTCTGATATGATATGTCTTAAGTGAGTTTGTCTGTGCCTTTAGGAGTCCTTCTGATATGATTTGTCTTAAGTGAGTTTGTTTGTGCCTTTAGGAGTCTTTCTGATATGATATGTCTTAAGTGGGTTTGTTTGTGCCTTTAGGAGTCCTTCTGATATGATATGTCTTAAGTGAGTTAGTCTGTGCCTTTATGAGTCCTTCTGATATGATATGTCTTAAGTGAGTTTGTCTGTGCCTTTAGGAGTCCTTCTGATATGATATGTCTTCAGTGAGTTTGTCTGTGCCTTTAGGAGTCCTTCTGATATGATATGTCTTAAGTGAGTTTGTTTGTGCCTTTAGGAGTCCTTCTGATATGATATGTCTTAAGTGAGTTTGTTTATGCCTTTAGGAGTCCTTCTGATATGATATGTCTTAAGTGAGTTTGTTTGTGCCTTTAGGAGTCCTTCTGATATGATATGTCTTAAGTGAGTTTGTTTATGCCTTTAGGAGTCCTTCTGATATGATATGTAGGTATTAGTCAGTATTCTTATGAAATCATCCTTTTGACTGAATGGATTTGAGCCATACTTTATCACTTGTTTTATTATGTGAAAATGTTTTTGTATCCTGTATTTAAACATCACTAACAACATAATAAAACAATTTTACCTTTCATGCCTTACATTTATTTCCTCAACAATAAAAAAAAGTTAAGGGCTGTTTCAGAATTAAACATATGGGGTACATGGGATGCAATTTCTTTGAACCCCATCTACCTATATTATAAAACTTTCTTTTACTTATAATTCAAACAAAATTCTAAGGAAAATACAACCACCCACAATAACTGTTAATTGAGAAAATGTGTGCATTTATTATTGCAAATCCTTGACGAATGCCAAGAATGTGATTGCAAAAAATTTATAAAGGAAAATTCACAACTTAAATTATGAGTTTTTATTATTGCTAAATTGAAACTGTCACATTTTTCTCATTAATAAAAACATAGCAATAATTTTTGATTTTACAGTAATTAATTTGAGTGCCTCCTATCAAAATCTATTTTGGAACAACCCTTATTTGATTTAATATAACAAATGTCTTTTATTGGTGTGATAATACATTTTTCCATTTGCATGGCTATAATAAATTTGTCGGTATTGTCACAATTTTAGGTAAATTCTGCAGAGGATATTGTCACCTCCAGTGAGGACAAAGTTCAAGCAGTTCCTAAAGTCCCTACTGTTGCTGTGGCAACACAAACCATTAAAAAGGTACAATATGAAGCACTAAAAAAGTTGGGAATTTTACATTTAAAAAAAAATATGACTTAGAGATCTTTGTTTTGACATAAAAAATAGAATTTTATACTGTTAACAAACTAACAGAATGATTCAATCTGATTAAAATACAGATTCTCTGTTCAAGCTTTGCTTACAAGGATCTGAAAACGCTCTATTCTACTTTCTGTTTTAAAGACCTTGTGGGATCCTCTGGTTTTCTCAGATTAATACACACCTTCAAAACTTTGAATGCTGAAATGTCATTGGCTAATGTTAGAATTACCAGAAGAGGTAAAAAAAACGGTGTTTGTCAGATCCTTGTAAGCAAAGCTTGAATACTGGATGTGTATTTTAATCAGAATGGACCAGACTTGACTGTTTATATTGTCATTGTAATCTAAAACCCTGCTCTTAGAGTGTTGTACTGATGTGAATCAAATGTAAACAATTTTTACTGTATCTTCTTATAACTTATAATAATAATATGTGTACATCATGATAATGTGTTAAAGTATGTAACAATATATTATACTGACTACATAGTTGTGGAGCTCATAAGTCAGAGAGATACACACAAAATTATAGATGAAAAACAACAATATGACAAACATTAGTCTTCAAAGCACTACAAAAAAAGACTGAAGGCCAAGAAACATGAACCCCACTCAAAACCAGGGAGATATCAACCAAAACTTATGCATATCCAGCTGAAAAGTATGAATAAAGGGATATGTGTGGTACACTCCAAGGAGACAGCAACCAAACAACAAAAACAACCAAAAGACCTCTAGCATGCAACATCTTCAACAAGACAATTGTCCAAACAATATGTAAGGTGTATTTGCATTGTTAAAAAGTATATTTATACACGGCAAACAAAGTTTTTAAGGAATATTAGGAATCACCCTGTCTGTCCATGTGATGGATATTGATGAAACTTTATTAATACACAATTATAAAACACTACTTGAGGATGCACATACATGAATATAATCCCTGTCCAACATGTTTAAGGGGAGGTAATAATATACTTCATTAACAGTAGTTAGCAGGACAGTGGGTTACATCCACAGTTCTTTTTTAAACTGCTTTATTTGCTCTGTTTGTCTTAATTTCATTGGTGTACAATTTGTTGAAAATGCAATATTTTGTATTTTCAGTCCATTAAACAACAACATTCCCAGACAGATTCCTCAAATAAATGTAACTGTGAGGAGAAATACAACAAAAAGATGAAGGATTACCAGGATAAAATAGAAAAAGAACATGAAGCCAACACAGATAAAGCCCTGAAAGAATTGTCTGATAGGGTATGTATCCAGGTTTATTAGAGGGCTGATAGGGTATGTATCCAGGTTTATTAGAGGGCTGATAGGGTATGTATCCATGTTTATTAGAGGGCTGATAGGGTATGTATCCAGGTTTATTAGAGGGCTGATAGGGTATGTATCCATGTTTATTAGAGGGTTGATAGGGTATGTATCCATGTTTATTAGAGGGCTGATAGGGTATGTATCCATGTTTATTAGAGGGCTGATAGGGTATGTATCCATGTTTATTAGAGGGCTGATAGGGTATGTATCCATGTTTATTCGAGGGTTAATAGGGTATGTATCCATGTTTATTAGCGGGTTGATAGGGTATGTATCTGTGTTTATTAGAGAGTTGATAGGGTATGTATCCGTGTTTATTAGAGGGCTGATAGGGTATGTAACCTTGTTTATTAGAGGGCTGATATGGTCTGATTCATGTTTATTAGAGGGCTGATAGGGTATGTATCCATGTTTATTTGAGGGCTGATAGGGTCTGATTCATGTTTATTAGAGGGCTGATAGGGTATGTATCTATGTTTATTAGAGGGCTGATAGGGTCTGATTCATGTTTATTAGAGGGCTGATAGGGTATATATCCATGTTTATTTGAGGGCTGATAAGGTATGTATCCATATTTAATTGAGGGCTGATAGGGTATGTATTCATAGAAATAAGAAGATGTGGTATGAGTGCCAATGAGACAACTCTCCATCCAAGTCACAATGTGTAAAAAGTAAACAATTTTAGGCCTTCAACACGGAGCCTTGGCTCACAACGAACAGCAAGCTATAAAGGGCCCCAAAATGACTAGTGTAAAACAATTCAAACAGGAAAACCCAACGGTCTAATCTATATAAAATACGAGAAACACTTAAGAACCACATCAACAAACGACAACCACTGAAACAGGTTAGGTGCAAACAAATGCAGCGGGTTTAAACGTTTTAACAGGTGCCAACCTTCACCCTAACCTGAAATAGTAGTGTAACATTACAACATAGAAAGACACACTATTTAACAAAAGCAAGTAAACATAAGCTGAACGAATAAATTTGATCTATGACACAATGTCAAAAAGACAACTATAACCTTGGACAAAATGGTGGTAAATAAAAAAACGTACACAGGTAAATTTATATATAATAATTTTGTTGTTAGGAGTACGGAGATATTTTTTACAAAATAAATAAATTTGTTGTTCATAGTACGAGAACAGCAGTGAAAATTTATCGTCATACTAAATACTTATCAAAGGTGGTACATATTAAAAATAGTGAGACGAGATATAACACAAAATAAGTAAACATTGATTAACAAAAATGCATTATAAATTGTGTAACAGGTCAAATTAACACGAAAGTACGATTTGAGAGTACTCGCAGTTACTGAAAGCTAGTTAAAAAAGCCAAAAACAATTAATAATAAAAAATCATGCATCAGAGACTAAAATCAACTAAAACACATCCCAGAGATTTAGTGTTTTAACGCCATGGACAGTCAAAGAAGACATGACTTGTGCAATGCCAAAATAAAAGTATTGACAGGCAGTAGGATAGTTTGGATTTAACCTTATGATAAATATGTATAATGTTATAAATAGATAAAGCAATCTCTATATAGAAAATGAACATGGATGTGTATTTATACATCCAAAAAACCATTCGAAAAGAATACAAATTTAGTTATGTTTTAATTTGTTGATGACAAAATCGATATTTGTGCCAATGTAAACAATATTCAAAGATCTTATTAAGATAACCTTTACTAATAAGTTTGTTTAAAGGTTTGATGAGTTTACATGGCTCACATAGGGATTTCCATGCTTTTAGTACAATATTACCGTAAAATTTAGGATGTGAAATACCATTTTTAACAAGTTTTCTACAGGTACAGCCAAATTTACTTATCAAATCTTTGTATCTATGAAAGAATTTAGTAAAAGTTTTAAGTAATTTATGGTAACGAAAACCATGACTTAATAATTTACCAGTGATGCATTGATTATGTTCGTTAAAATCTATGACATCACTACACACTGTGACACACGGGCATAAGGAAGAAGTTGGGATATATAAACACCGTATGATGGAGCCAAAGGAACATCACCGTCTAAAAAAGGAAAATTAACAATAGGGAATGAAAAATCGTCTCTTTTGTCGTAAATTTTAGTATGGAGTTTCCCTTTAGAAATTGAAGTGTCTAAATCTAGAAAAGGACAACTACTGCTGTTTATGTTAGATTTATTTTAAGTAAGTTCCTTTGGGTAAATTTCAGTAGTATATTTAGAGAACTCTGGATTATTTAACGAAAAAATATCTTCAAGATAACAGTAGTTATTGTTGAATGTGTCAACCAAATCTAACAATGACGTGTCTTTACTGAGTTTGGTCATAAACTGAGATTCATAGCAATACAGGAATAAATCTGCAATTAAAGGGGCGCAATGTTTATTTGAGGGCTGATAGGGTATTTATCTGTGTTTATTTGAGGGCTGATAGGGTGTGTATCGATGTTTATTTGGGGGCTTCCAGAGGCTTTCAGGAAAAGGGGGACAATTAACTTTTCAATCAAAATGTGGGAATGAATAGCTTTAAGAAATGGGAGTTTTATGAAAAAATATAAATTGCAAGGAAATATTATAAATATAAAATAACATAGAAAAATGTTAGAAATTTTACATTTTTAAAAAAATTAAATAATACTTAGAAATATATATTGTTAACAAACAAACACAATTGCCAGACTTGACTGTATATGTTGTCATTGTAATCTAAAACCCTACTCTTAAAAGGTTGAAGTATTTTAGACATATATAAATTTGTCAAAACTTCATAGAACTTTATGAAACTTTCCCAATAGCTTTATTATGATTAAGCAATAATGACCTGCAAAATTTTTAGAATGTTTTTTTTTCCTTTTTGTCGAGCCTGGGACTTCTGTTGCAGAAAGCTAGACATAGATAGTGATCCAGCGGCGCATTAACTAATACTTCAAGGCTTAATATTTCAGAAGTTAGAAGACCTGGATGCTTCATACTTTGTATATAGATGCCTTGTGATATGAAGTTTCCGTCTGTCATATATTCATTGTCCTTGATCTCATTTTCATGGTTCAGTGACTACTTGGGAAAAAAGATTTTTTGTAATGTTAATTTCTCTCTTATTATGAGTAATAGGATAACTATATTTGGTATGTGTGAACCTTGCATGGTCCTCATGCCTGTCAGGCAGTTTTCACCTGGCCTTGAGCTCATTTCATGGATCAGTGAACAAGGTTAAGTTTTAGATCTACTATATTTGGTGTATGGAAGGATTGTAAGGTGTACATGTCCAACTGGCAGGTGTCATCTGACCTTGACCTCATTTTCATGGTTCAGTGGTAAAGTTAAGTTTTTGTGTTTTTGGTCTGTGTTTCTAATACTGTATGCAATAGGTCAACTATATTTGATGTATGGTAATATTTAACAATGTACATGTCAGTCTGGCAGGTTTTATTTGACCTTGACCTCATTTTCATGGTTCATTGCTCAATGTTAAGTTTTCATGATTAAGTTTGTTTCTTAGATACTGTAAGCAATAGGTCATCATGGAATGATTTTAAGGTGTACATGTCTGTCTGGCAGGGTTCATCTGACCTTAACCTCACTTTCATGGTTCAATGGTCAATATAAAGTTTTCATGGTTTGGTCAGTTTCTTGTATACTATAAGCAATAGGTCAACTATATTCGGTGTATGAATTGATTGTAAGGTGTACATGTATTTCAGGTTTGGTTTATCTGACCTTGACCTCATTTACTTAGATCATGTTTATGTTTATGTGGTACTTATAGTAAAAATTTATATTTAGGACTATCAACATAAAATCAATGGTCAGTAAAGCAGGAGAGACATTTCAGCGTGTGCATTCTTGTTCAATATTTTACTGTTTTTTTGGCTGTTAACATTTAGATATAGTCTGGGATTAAATTTTTAAGACATCAATAACTTTGTCAAACCTTCATGGAATGTTATGATACATTGATAGAAGCTTCTTCGAGATCAAGAAATAGCATATGAAGAAAAAGTGGGTTTTTTTTTTAACAATTTTACTGATAAATGGATTTAGTCTGATAGCAGCAATAGCAAGCTATACACAGGGTTCTGCACACTTTACAATTGTTATTGATCAATATTTCTTATTATTAGTCCTATATCATGTATGTGAATGAAATTTCAGTTGCTTTTAAATGAGGCAAAAATTGTATATTGTATTCTAAGTTGTTTAGTTATAAGCTATTTCACAAAGTAACAGGGGTGTATTAGTTATAAGCTATTTCACAAAGTAACAGGGGTGTATTAGTTATAAACTATTTCACAAAGTAACAGGGGTGTATTAGTTATAAGCTATTTCACAAAGTAACAGGGGTGTATTAGTTATAAGCTATTTCACAAAGTAATAAGGGGTGTATTAGTTATAAGCTATTTCACAAAGTAACAGGGGTGTATTAGTTATAAGCTATTTCACAAAGTAATAAGGGGTGTATTAGTTATAAGCTATTTCACAAAGTAACAGGGGTGTATTAGTTATAAGCTATTTCACAAAGTAACAGGGGTGTATTAGTTATAAGCTATTTCACAAAGTAATAAGGGGTGTATTAGTTATAAGCTATTTCACAAAGTAACAGGGGTGTATTAGTTATAAGCTATTTCACAAAGTAACAGGGGTGTATTAGTTATAAGCTATTTCACAAAGTAACAGGGGTGTATTAGTTATAAGCTATTTCACTAAGCTATTTCACAAAGTAACAGGGGTGTATTAGTTATAAGCTATTTCACTAAGCTATTTCACAAAGTAACAGGGGTGTATTAGTTATAAACTATTTCACAAAGTAATAAGGGGTGTATTAGTTATAAGCTATTTCACAAAGTAACAGGGGTGTATTAGTTATAAGCTATTTCACAAAGTAACAGGGGTGTATTAGTTATAAGCTATTTCACAAAGTAATAAGGGCTGTATTAGTTATAAGCTATTTCACAAAGTAACAGGGGTGTATTAGTTATAAGCTATTTCACAAAGTAATAAGGGGTGTATTAGTTATAAGCTATTTCACAAAGTAACAGGGGTGTATTAGTTATAAGCTATTTCACAAAGTAACAGGGGTGTATTAGTTATAAGCTATTTCACAAAGTAACAGGGGTGTATTAGTTATAAGCTATTTCACAAAGTAATAAGGGGTGTATTAGTTATAAGCTATTTCACAAAGTAACAGGGGTGTATTAGTTATAAGCTATTTCACTAAGCTATTTCACAAAGTAACAGGGGTGTATTAGTTATAAACTATTTCACAAAGTAGTAAGGGGTGTATTAGTTATAAGCTATTTCACAAAGTAACAGGGGTGTATTAGTTATAAGCTATTTCACAAAGTAACAGGGGTGTATTAGTTATAAACTATTTCACAAAGTAATAAGGGGTGTATTAGTTATAAGCTATTTCACTAAGCTATTTCACAAAGTAACAGGGGTGTATTAGTTATAAACTATTTCACAAAGTAATAAGGGGTGTATTAGTTATAAGCTATTTCACAAAGTAACAGGGGTGTATTAGTTATAAGCTATTTCACAAAGTAACAGGGGTGTATTAGTTATAAACTATTTCACAAAGTAATAAGGGGTGTATTAGTTATAAGCTATTTCACAAAGTAACAGGTGTGTATTAGTTATAAGCTATTTCACAAAGTAACAGGGGTGTATTAGTTATAAACTATTTCACAAAGTAATAAGGGGTGTATTAGTTATAAGCTATTTCACTAAGCTATTTCACAAAGTAACAGGGGTGTATTAGTTATAAACTATTTCACAAAGTAATAAGGGGTGTATTAGTTATAAGCTATTTCACAAAGTAACAGGGGTGTATTAGTTATAAGCTATTTCACAAAGTAACAGGGGTGTATTAGTTATAAACTATTTCACAAAGTAATAAGGGGTGTATTAGTTATAAGCTATTTCACAAAGTAACAGGTGTGTATTAGTTATAAGCTATTTCACAAAGTAACAGGGGTGTATTAGTTATAAGCTATTTCACAAAGTAATAAGGGGTGTATTAGTTATAAGCTATTTCACAAAGTAACAGGGGTGTATTAGTTATAAGCTATTTCACAAAGTAATAAGGGGTGTATTAGTTATAAGCTATTTCACAAAGTAACAGGGGTGTATTAGTTATAAACTATTTCACAAAGTAATAAGGGGTGTATTAGTTATAAGCTTTTTCACAAAGTAACAGGGGTGTATTAGTTATAAGCTATTTCACAAAGTAACAGGGGTGTATTAGTTATAAGCTATTTCACAAAGTAACAGGGGTGTATTAGTTATTAACTATTTCACAAAGTAATAAGGGGTGTATTAGTTATAAGCTATTTCACAAAGTAACAGGGGTGTATTAGTTATAAGCTATATTTCACAAAGTAATAGGGGTGTATAGTGTTTTACCTCTCTGTTATCAATCATTTGGGTTTCTGGATGCTAAAATAAATTATGTATATCAAAGAGGAAAATTATTTTTGATTATGAGGTTGAAGTTACTAAAAGTTCTTATATTGATGATTTGTATTCTATTTCATGATTAGTTGCTGAAAGATTTTGAAGAGGACAAACAGCAGGCTGTTTCCAGGGCAACATCCAGCATGGTACGGGAAATAGAGAAAACTAAACGACAAACAGAAGAAAAATGTAAAACAGAGATATTGGATGAAATGAAAAAGTTACAACAAAAACACAAAGAAGCTATTTCACAGACCAAAAAGAAACAATGGGTACATTTTATTTTAGTTTATAAGAAATTATCTTTTAAAATCCTATTTTAGTGAACTGCATTAGTGGTGTTGTGGTAGCACTTCTGGTGCAGGTTATGGTTTCCATCTAGATTTGTCTTTTTTATGAAAGTTGGGGGGGCATATTGTTTTATCTCTGTCTGTCTGTCCATTTGTCCGTCCTTCCGTCCGTCCTTCCGTCCCATTATGGGTATATAGTTATTCCAGATAACTCCAACAGTTTGAATGCTAGGAAGTTTTCACTTTGCTGGCTGTTTGTACATATATTGAAGGTGTGCATGTGGTCAGGGTTTTGATTTTTATTGATATTTGCTCTTTTGGAAAATAGTTGAACTTTGTCATTTTTTGGAGTATTTACTTTCATAAGAGATGCATAGCGTTTCCTGATAACTCCTTCTACAGTGAAGCATAGACCTATGTGCTCCCATGCTCAACTTTGTGTATTTTAAAATAACACTTTGCATCTGTGGGGGCATCATTTGTGTCTCCCAGACACAATAATATCTCAAAGAAAGTCCTACATTGACTTTGTTATAATACAGTTAATTCAGAGTGGAGTGCAGGGGCATCACTTTGTCTAGTTTAGTAGTTGTTTTTTCAGCTACATAACTGTGAAAAGGTTTGACATTACCTGTAGTTTTTCAATTTGATGGTGTAAACTGTGAGGAGGTTATAGACAACCAGTGTATTGCTGTAATGCTGAAGAGGTTACATATCATTTGTAATTTACTGTTTTAGTACTACAGCTCTGAAGACCTATCATGATTTGTATTTTTCTATTTCAGTGTTATAATTGTGAAGAAGAGGCCATGTATCACTGTTGCTGGAATACATCTTACTGTAGTGTAAAATGTCAACAAGAACATTGGCATAAAGAACACAAGCGTGTCTGTCGTCGGAAACGTTAAACTCTTAATAATGCAATTTCATTATTTACATGTAATATTGACATTTTTCATATGTCAGACATTTTTTCATACAACCATCAATATTTCACTGTAATAAATTTGTTACAAAAGATGTATATTTTCTATCTGACAGCAGCTAAAATGTCATCGAAACCACTAAACATTTAATTTTTCATTGTCATGTAACTCATTTAAATGTATGCTTTCCTCTAATTATTTTGATTAGCCTGTTGATCAGATGCTTTTACTAATTATTTTTACTCATTTTGAAATAAATGAGGTCAATGCTTGTATAACCTCATGTGATGTTTTTGCTGCTTAGAAATTTTATATGAATTTAGATAAATATGTTTTTAATATGAAGAACAGATTTTTTTAATGGACTAAAATTTGTAGAATGTGAAAACAATTTGCTGGACCCTAGATTTTGTTTTCTATGGGATAAATATTGACAAGAGGTCTGAGTTGGTTCATTTCTGAGTAAATTAGGCCTACATACAATACACAGACCAATAACAATAAGGCCTACATAAAATACACAGACCATTAACAATTAGGCCTACATACAATACACAGACCATTAACAATTAGGCCTTCATACAATACACAGACCATTAACAATTAGGCCTACATACAATACACAGACCATTGACAATTAGGCCTTCATACAATACACAGACCATTTACAATTAGGCCTTCATTCAAAAAGCAGACCATAAACATTCCTTATGCTAAGTCACATGTATCTCAGCCTCAAGTAATGGTGGAGCCCTCTTAGTCATGGTTATATGAAATTCACATGTTTATTTAAAAATAAGAAGATATGCCAATAAGACAACCCTCCACCAGAGTCCAGTTAAGCTTTAAATGAAAACTTGCTTTAAATATGATAAACTGATAATATTTGTAGTGCTAACTTTTCCTCTCCCCTAGGCCTATGCATCTATGCAGAAAAAGATAGAAATTGATGTGTTGTTGTTGTATATTATTTATTAGCAATCAGTTCATACAGATAATGTGGAAAACCCTTTAGTGATGATCCTATAAATACCTTTTTTTTGTAATAGGCTATACGTTTGTATTTGGTATACTGTTGAATTAACCTTCAATATACCCCCATCCCCTTCTTCTAATGTCCCTGCTCCCAAGGAGGGGATGTACTGGTTTACCTCAGTCCATCCTTGGGAATGTTTAAAGCATTATGTGAGCATGCTATACCTTGCAGTGCATTTTTACACTAATCTTCAATCTACTTCCTGGTTAGCAAAAAATTATACATTCTTATAGGTACTATGCATGTATGAAATTTTCATCATTGTATGAAATTTTCATCATTATATTTTTCTCAAAATCTACTTATCAGAGGGGGGAAACCACAAATTTAAATACTCAAATGATTACAATTTTTATGTACATTTTTGTACTTTGATAAGAGTAAATAACAAAACCACAAAATCAGATACCCTCAAAATAGCTAATTTTTCTCGAATCACAAAAATTGATAACAACAAAAAATCAACAGTAATTTTTTTTTTTTCAATTTTCAGTTTGTTTTGGGGGTTGGGTGGCAGGGTTGTCTTTTATCCTTGCGAAAAACTTGAATAACAAATTCAGAGTTCAGGTAAAAGAATTACACTTGTGAATTATTATGGCCATAATTAATCTCCAGGAGAGACTGGGTACACTCCATCTCATTGATAATCTGTTTCCTTGACTGCTGTTTTCTTTCAATTTTTTTATGTTCAAATTTTATTAACAGAATTTTAATTCTATGCTTGAGTGGTTTGAAAGAAATACCTTAGATCTTTAATTTAAAACTAAGGAATTGACTTCTTTATTTTTTAAACTTAAATTTATTTTATAGAGTTACTATAAATTCAGAAATTATTGTGTGTATTTATTATTGCAATATTTGAAGAATGGACAAAAACGTGTGATTTATTATTGCGATTTCTGGAAAATCTGCATGCAAATATATGTATCGGATATGAGAATGCATGTTCATTGTGATACTCACCCAGTCATATTGTTGGCATTTATAAAACATCGCAATCATTTCTGAATTTACAGTAGTTATTTTTATGTATATATATCAAGAATCAGAGCTTGATTTTTTAAATTATTATGAAATATAAGTGTGGAGATAGATTCTTTTATAATGTATTGATTTTATATTGTACTGTGTGTACACAGATTTTAAATTGTACTGTGTAAACACATATACTTTATATTCATATATGATATTGTACTGTGTGTACACATATATGATATTGAACTGTGTGTACACATGTGTGATATTGTGCTGTGTGTACACATATATGATATTCTACTGTGTGTACACATATATGATATTTTACCTTGTGTACACATATATGATATTGTACTGTGTGAACACATCGATTTTATAATCGTACTGTATGTACACATATATGATATGGTGCTGTGTCTACACATATATGAAATTGAACTGTGTGTACACATCGATTTTATATTGTACTGTGTGTACACATATATGATATTGTACTGTGAGTACACATGTATGATATTGTACTGTGTGTACACATAGATATTCACTGCTGTAGGTATTCTTTGATATATTGTTCATCACTGGTTTGATAACTTTGTTCACCGTTTATTTATTTGTATATTTAACACTGTAAGTGTTTTGATTGTTATCAGATCAGATGATTTTTAACACTCTGCTGACTTGGGTCTAGATTGTTATCAGCCACAGATCAGATGATATTTAACACTCTGCTGACTTGGGTCTAGATTGTTATCAGTCACAGATCAGATGATATTTAACACTCTGCTGACTTGGGTCTAGATTGTTATCAGATCAGATGATTTTTAACACTCTGCTGACTTGGGTCTAGATTGTTATCAGATCAGATGATTTTTAACACTCTGCTGACTTGGGTCTAGATTGTTATCAGATCAGATGATTTTTAACACTCTGCTGACTTGGGTCTAGATTGTTATCAGTCACAGATCAGATGATATTTAACACTCTGCTGACTTGGGTCTAGATTGTTATCAGTCACAGATCAGATGATATTTAACACTTTGCTGACTTGGGTCTAGTAATATGTGTGTTTTGCACTGTATAATTTCAAACTGTGTGTCCCTGAAGAGATGTCTTTCTGTAATCATGTACTTACAATAAACAGGAGTTAACATTGGTATCCTATTTTCAACACTCTTCAAGTCTTTTATATTTATGATTGATGCACTATATAACATAACAATTATTTCCATTTTCAATCCTATGTTTCTTTATTAGCAGTGGACACAAGTGATGTCTGCACATCCATAGATCACATCTCTACAAAAGTTCAGGCTGTTGCTATAAAAGTAATTGAAAATTTCTACTTCAGTAAATTATACAACTTATACACTTAAATTTAGCTACATATTTAAAAATAGACAACTTGCAAATTCATGCATTTTTCTGATGTCACAATGCGTATGTGTTTACATCACAGTAAGAGTCGATTGTTCACTGACAACATTTTACTCTACTTAACTGTTGATCAATCAGCTTAACTCATAAAAAAACAACTAAAAATTGGTTGAAATAACTCACTTTAAAAACTCACTTTTTGATGTAATTACATATTTAAACTGGACTATTTTCTGAATAAGATAAAAGAAACAAGCAGTGAAAATGCTGAATGATGTGGAACTGTCAACTTTATTATTGATTGAAATGTAAACTGGTTTGAATAGTAAAAATTTAAGGTGTTATAGTAAGTAAGTAAGTAATTAGTTTATTATAGTGACTTGTGAACATGTATCAATAAATATAACACAATTTCAGAGTTTGTATAGTCGATGTTATACCCGGCCCATTGACCTATAAGTCACCTATTTGATTATACAATATCACAGACTAAATGTTAATATATTACTTCTCAATTAATTCAAAATTAAAAGAAATGTTCAAATAATTAGATTAAAAATATAAATAATTTAAATGTTATGGATTATACAGCAACTGACATCTTATATGAAATGCACGAACTATATATTTTGCTAATTTTCTTATGTGGAAAGTCATTAAAAAGATCAATTTTTCAGCATGATTCAAATCTGAGAAATTTTCCTCAGTTAAAAGTTCACTAAAAATGTCAATTCGACATCCAATAAATAAAGGGCAATCAAACATAAAATGGAACTCAGTTTCCGTTTCTTGATTTTTACAAAATATGCATAGTCTTTCTTCTACACTTTCGTTCGAGTATCTTCCAGTTTCCACTCCTAATGGTAAAATTCCACTTCTAAATTGGGCTAAGTGTGAACGCTCAATTTTACTCAAGTTCAAATTAACGTAATTTTCAGTTTCAAAGACTGTTTTAAAGTTCCTATATGTCTGTAGTTTCGAAACGTTTTGAACGTAATTCCTCCAGATATCTGAATAAAAGCGAAAAATGTTCTAATTCAAGCTGGTATAATATGTCCTTAACTTCACTATACCAATTACTTTTACTTTGGGAATGAATGTACAGTTATTATAGTTGATATGATATATGTAACAGTTGTTAATGATAAGGATAACCTCAAAAGGGCTTATTATTATGTTGCCTAGCAGCAAAGGTGTAGCAACACACTACTTCTGTCATTGTTCATGTCCAAGTATTTTGTTTATTTAGTCTTTTATTGTCTCATTCATTAGTCGCTACAATAATTTGTTTATTGATAGAAACATGTATATCTCAACATTATTAGATTATGGACATTATTTTTTTCAGAGTTTTATTTTAACATCATGTATATACAGACATTTTATTTCACCTATATATAATCATACAGAAATTTGAATAGGTATCTGTTATTAAGTTTTCTACATCATGGTAACATTTAATCAATCAACAGTCACAATATAGAATAGGTATCTGTTATTAAGTTTTCTACATCATGGTAACATTTTTAAAATCAATCAACAGTCACAAAATAGACATCTATGTCTACCATACTGTATATTAGGAAGTTTATTTTGTTCACATTTCTACAACAGGATTGAAAGCAAAACAAAGCAAATTTGAGCTGTCCAAACTGCACATTCAGTGTTTGGTTATTGCAAGTTTTTTAGAAAAGATTTTAATAGATGATGCACTGTTTTTCTAATGTTTGATAACTTATACAATAAGAGCTGAGATAGAAACCTGTTTTGGGAAGAATAATATGTACACAAGGGAAACTAGTAACAATGTTATATTAAGCTATGTATTTGTAATTTTTTTTTTACTATGTAATAATCTTATGCAGGTATATAAGGTTATAACAGTCTGTTTTCATAGTACTGACTTTGATTTTGGATTTACAAATCTGTAAGAGTTATCTCCCCTAAGCTTGGACATCTATGTCCTTGTGGTATGTTTTGTTTGGCTATAAATCTTGTAACTACACTTGGAACTTCTTCTTTATTTAGTTATTGTCTTAGTACATGAAATAATGGAAATTACCAAAATAGGAAGGTCTCATGTTTTCCTACACAATAAACTCTTTAAACAACAAATTTTCCTCAATATTGTACATATTTTAAGCTTGATTTTTCCTTTTCAGCTCACCTGGCCCAAAGGGCCAAGTGAGCTTTTCTCATCACTTGGCGTCCGTCGTCCGTCGTCGTCGTCGTCCGTTGTCGTTAACTTTTACAAAAATCTTCTCCTCTGAAACTACTGGGCCAAATTTGACCAAACTTGGCCACAATCATCATTGGGGTATTTAATTTAAAAAATGTGTCCGGTGACCCGGCCAACCAACCAAGATGGCCACCATGGCTAAAAATAGAACATAGGGGTAAAATGTAGATTTGGCTTATATCTCTGAAACCAAAGCATTTAGAGCAAATCTGACATGTAATAAAATTGTTTATCAGGTCAAGATCTATCTGCCCTGAAATTTCCAGATGAATCGGACAACCCGTTGTTAGGTTGCTGCCCCTGAATTGGTAATTTTAAGGAAATTTTGCCGTTTTTGGTTATTATCTTGAATATTATTATAGATAGAGATAAACTGTAAACAGCAATAATGTACAGCAAAGTAAGATCTACAAATAAGTCAACTTGACCAAAATGGTCAGTTGACCCCTTAAGGAGTTATTGCCCTTTATAGTCAATTTTTAACCATTTTTCGTAAATTTTTGTGATCTTTTACAAAAATCTTCTCTGATGAAACTACTAAGACAAATTTAACCAAACTTGTCCACAATCATCATTAGGGTATCTAGTTTAAAAAATGTGTCCGATGACCCCGCCCGCTAACCAAGATGGCCGACATGGCTAAAAAATAGTACATAGAGTAAAATGCAGTTTTTGGCTCATATCTCTGAAACCAAAGCATTTAGAGCAAATCTGATGAGTATAAAATTGTTCATTAGGTCAGGACCTATCTGCCCTGAAATTTTCAGACCAATCAGGCAACCCGTTGTTGGGTTGCTGCCCCTGAATTGGTAATTTTAAGGAAATTTTGCCGTTTTTGGTTATTATCTTGAATATTATAATAGATAGAGATAAACTGTAAACAGCAATAATGTTCAGCAAAGTAAGATCTACAAATAAGTCAACTTGACCAAAATGGTCAGTTGACCCCTTAAGGAGTTATTGCCCTTTATAGTCAATTTTTAACCATTTTTCGTAAATTTTTGGAATTTTTTACAAAAATCTTCTCCTCTGAAACTACTAGGACAAATTTAACCAAACTTGTCCACAATCATCATTAGGGTATCTTGTTTAAAAAATGTGTCCGATGACCCCGCCCGCGAACCAAGATGGCGACATGGCTAAAAAATAGTACATAGAGTAAAATGCAGTTTTTGGCTCATATCTCTGAAACCAAAGCATTTAGAGCAAATTTGATGAGGATAAAATTGTTCATTAGGTCAAGATCTATCTGCCCTGAAATTTTCAGACCAATCAGGCAACCCGTTGTTGGGTTGCTGCCCCTGAATTGGTAATTTTAAGGAAATTTTGCCGTTTTTGGTTATTATCTTGAATATTATTATAGATAGAGATAAACTGTAAACAGCAATAATGTACAGCAACGTTAGATCTACAAATAAGGCAACATGACCAAAATGGTCAATTGACCCCTTATGGAGTTATATTGCCCTTTATAGTCAATTTTTTACAATTTTCATAAATTTTGTAAATTTTTGTAAATTTTTACAAAGTATTTTCCTCTGTAACTACCGAGCCAAGTTCATTATAGATAGAGATAATAGTAAGGAGCAAGAATGTTCAGTAAAGTAAGATCTACAAACACATCACCATCACCAAAACACAATTTTGTCATGAATCCATCTGTGTCCTTTGTTTAATATGCACATAGACCAAGGTGAGCGACACAGGCTCTTTAGAGCTTCTAGTTCGCTCACCTGGCATGAAGGGTTAGGTGAGCTTTTCTAATCACTTGTCGTCCGTCGTCGATGACCGATGACCCCGCCAACCAACCAAGATGGCCGTCATGGCTAAAAATAGAACATAGGGGTAAAATGTAGATTTTGGCTTATATCTCTGAAACCAAAGCATTTAGAGTAAATCTGATAGGGTAAAACTGATTATCAGGTCAAGATCTATCTGCCCTGAAATTTTCAGACAAATCTGACAACCTGTTGTTGGGTTGCTGCCCCTGAATTGGTAATTTTAAGGAAATTTTGCCGTTTTTGGTTATTATCTTGAATATTATTATAGATAGAGATAAACTGCAAACAGCAATAATGTTTCGGCAAAGTAAGATCTACAAATAAGTCGTCATGACCAAAATTGTCAGTCGACTCCTTTAGAAGTTATTGCCCTTTTCAGTCAATTTTTAACAATTTTTTCGTAAATTTTTGTAATCTGTTACAAAATTCTTCTTCTCTGAAACTACTGAGACAAAGTTAACCATACTTGGCCATAATCATTATTAGGGTATCTAGTTCAAAAAATTTGTCCGATGACCCCGCCTTTCAACCATCATGGCCGACTTGGTTAAAAATAGAACATAGGGGTGAAATGCAGTTTTTAGCTCACGGGGGCCCAAAGGGCCCCATGTGAGCTTATGCCATCACTTGGCGTCCGTCGTCGTCTGTCGTCGTCGTCGTCTGTCTTCGTAAACTATTTCAAAAATCTTATCCTCTGAAACTACTGGGCCAAATACCTTCAAACTTTAACTAAATGTTCCTTAGGGTATCTAGTTTATAAGTTGTATCCGAAGTTTTATTCCATCGACAAACATGGCCGCCATGGCTAAAAATAGAACATAGGGGTCAAATGCAGTTTTTGGCTTATATCTCAAAAACTAAAGCTTTTAGAGCAAATCTGACATGGGGCAAAATTGTTCAGTTGGTCAAGATCTATCAGCTCTGAAATATTCAGACGAATCAAACAACCCATTGTTGGGTTGCTGCCACCGAATTGGTAGTTTTAACAAAATTTTGCAGTTTTTTGTTATTTTGAATATTATTATAGATATATATAAACTGTAAGCAGCAATAATGTTCAGCAAAGTAAGATCTACAAAAAAGTTAATATGACCATAATTGTCAATTGACCCCTTAAGGAGTAATTGCCCTTTAAAGACAATTTTACACAATTTGTTCATCAAGTTTGCTAACATTTAAAAATCTTCTCCTCTGAAACTACTGGGCCAATTACCTTCAAACTTTAACTAAATGTTCCTTAGGGTATCTTGTTTATAAATTGTATCCGAAGTTTGTATCCATCTACAAACATGGCCGCCATGGCTAAAAATAGAACATAAGGGTCAGATGCAGTTTTTGGCTTATATCTCAAAAACTAAATCTTTTAGAGCAAATGTGACAGGGGTAAAATTGTTTAGTTGATCAAGATCTATCAGCTCTGAAATTTTCAGACGAATCGAACAACCCATTGTTGGGTTGCTCCCACTGAATTGGTAGTTTTAACAAAATTTTGCAGTTTTTTGTTATTATTTTGAATATTATTATAGATATATATAAACTGTAAGCAGCAATAATGTTCAGCAAAGTAAGATCTACAAAAAAGTTAATATGACCAAAATTGTCAATTGACCCCTTAAGGAGTTATTGCCCTTTAAAGACAATTTTACACAATTTCTTCATCAAGTTTGCTAACATTTAAAAATCTTCTCCTCTGAAATGCAGGTGAGCGATTCAGGCTCTTGAGAGCCTCTTGTTGGTTTATATCTCTGAAACTAAAGCATTTAGAGCAAATCTGACAGGTGGCAAAAATGTTCATCAGATTTAGATTTATCTGCCCTGAAATTTTCAGACGAATTCGACAACCGGTTGTTGGGTTGCTGCCCCTGAGTTAGTAATTTAACAGAAATTTTGCAGTTTTTTGTTATTATCTTAGATATCATTATAATATCTAATATCTAATACTATTATTTATGATTTTAACCTTATTTTACATGATTTCCAAAGCATCAGTAAATACAGGTGAGTGACACAGGCTCTTGAGAGCCTCTAGTTTTTATTGCTCTTAATTAACAGAGTACCAGAATGTCTTAGCACAGAGTAGGTAATCTGTCCAAATATTACATACTCAGGTCTTAGCACAGAGTAGGTAACCTGTCCAAATATTACATACTCAGGTCTTGGCACAGAGTAGGTAACCTGTCCAAATATTACATACTCAGGTCTTAGCACAGAGTAGGTAACCTGTCCAAATATTACATACTCAGGTCTTAGCACAGAGTAGGTAACCTGTCCAAATATTACATACTCAGGAGTCAAAAAAGTCAGTAATATGAAAATAGTGTATTCTGTATAGATTTACTGATTACTATGTAAACATTTCTAATTATGCGAGTGAATAAACAGATAAATCATGATTGTGTTAATGTGTTCAATGCACATAAACAGTTAATATCATGATTGTGTTAATGTGTTCAATGCACATAAACAGATAAATCATGATTGTGTTAATGTGTTCAATGCACATAAACAGATAAATCATGATTGTGTTAATGTGTTCAATGCACATAAACAGATAAATCATGATTGTGTTAATGTGTTCAATGCACATACAACTTTCTGCTGTTTTCAATAAAGCAGAGAAATAGAATTTTTTTTTGCTTTTTTCATAACTTTGTATGAACAGCAGGTAACGGGTCACTCAGGGCCTTATAAGCCTAAGATATAGTTTTTCAAAATCATATGAATGTTTCATTTAAAAGATTTTAATGCATATAATAGAACATAGGATATGGGGTATCTGTCCATGACACAAAATCAGTACATTCATTACAAAAAAACACAAAAAGGAGAGGCACAGCACTTTTATTGCTGTTCTTCATCTCAAAGTCACAGTGAGGCCTTAAAAACTCTCACCTCACTGCAAGGGTATGAGGGGAATTCTTTGCGAACTGATGATCACGCCACAACTGTTAATAGAAGAACAAAGCCATGGAGTAATATCAATAAAATAAATCTGGTAAAGAAAACAAACATTTACTGTCAAAATTAAGCTTAACAATCATGTGTGCAAAAATGATACTAACATTTAGACAACCACAGGGCACATGAAGATATATGTTCGATAACTTGACAGCATCCAGGACATAGCCAAATACTTGGCAGAAGGTAATCAAGTTGATGCAATACTTTTAGATTTTTCTTAAGCTTTTGATAAGGTCCCCCATAAAAGATTAATAACAAAACTTAATTATTATGGTATACTTTGGATAAAAGATTTTTTGTCAAACAGGCAACAGCAGGTCCTGCTTAACGGTGTTCAATCTTCCAAATTAGCTGTTGACTCTGGTGTTCCTCAGGGCACAGTATTAGGCCCAACTTTATTTTTGTTATTCATAAACGACCTACCTGAGCATGTCTCCTGTAAGGTTCATCTTTTTGCTGACGACTGTTTACTTTATGAAACATCAAATAATATAAATGAGTCTCAAGCACTCCAAAAAAATCTATCGAGCCTTGAAAATTGGGAATCTGAATGGCAAATGAAATTTAATCCTGAAAAATGCTATGTCATAAATATTTCTAAAAAATCGAAAACTAATTTATTTCAATATGAATTACATAACCATGTACTTGAATCTGTCAAAGACAGCAAGTATCTAGGAGTTACAATAAGCAATGATCTTGATTGGGGGCCCCATATTAATAATATAACTTCAAAGGCAAATGAAACACTAGGATTTTTACGTAGAAACATGAAAAACTGTACACGTAAGGTTAAAAACCTTACGTACACATCACTTGTGCGTCCGACCGTCGAGTACTCCTCACAAGTTTGGGATCAGTACAAACAAAGCCAAATAAACCAAATTGAGCAGATACAGCGTAAGGCAGCAAGATATGTTTTTAATGACTATAACGATAGATCACCAGGTGCTGTCACTGGTATGTTAAACAAACTAAAATGGGAAAACTTGCAATCCCGTAGAACAAAAGCTAAGCTTGTCTTGATTTATAAGATTAATGGGGGGTTGGTCGAAGTCACTAATGACGTCCTGACACAATTTGACAGGCGAACTAGAGGCCTACATAAATTTTGACATATATATATACAAATAAAGACTTTTTTAAATCATCTTTTTCCCCAAGTACTATTGCTGTCTGGAACGATCTCCCAGAAACAATTTGCATGTCACCCTCCCTAGAATCCTTCAAAGGTGGTATCTCCACCTTAACATTTGGAGGTTCTAGTCTGGCTAATTAATTAGTGTATTTAAGCCACTGTACATAATGTGAATATGTGTAACATTAAGCTACAACTAATGTTATTTTAAATTGTAATTGAACTGTGGCAAATATTTTTTTTTTTATTATAACAAAATTTTCGACAGCCATTTGCATGTACATAGCGCCACAGTTCCGGGATATTCCACACTCCGGCACCGGAGTCTTTCTCGTACCAGGAAGAAGAAGAAGAAGACATAGTGCATGTATAGGCCAAATTATTCAGGTATACACTACAAGGGCTTTTTGAGTCCTTAAAGAGATATGGTTTTTGGGTAAAGATTACATGAAATGCAATCAAAACCCTATGATACTGACTTGATATCTAATCTTCCAAGGTTTATCACTACTTTTCATAGTTTAAACAAAATAGTGCAGTGAAGGGGTCATTCTTTAGATCCTATCCAGTCAATGTCAAGCAATTTATTTATGATATGTTATACTTAGATATTCAAGTTACAATATGATCTGTATTTGAATTACCATACTTATCAAGGAGAATTTTCTTAAATTAAGAATTACATAAGTAATGCATGGTGAATGAATCTGTGATAAAAATAAATGAAAATAACAAAAGTACAATCATGAACAAAGGAAGATAACTCCAACTCAAATTTATAATTTGCCTAGCTAAATACATTTCAATGTTATACTTTAAATTCACAAAATTGCAAAATGAAAGCAATCTTTACCCTTCAGTGCTCACACAAGCTAAAACATGTCCAGAACAATAAGATCTAAAAAAAAAAAGTCAACTTAATTGGTAGAAATCTTTCAAAGAGGGACGAAAGATACCAGAGGGACAGTCAAACTCATAGATCAAAAACAAAACAAACTGACAACTCCATGGCCAAAAATAAAAAGACAAACAGACAAATAATAGTACAGATGACACAACATAGAAAACTAAAGACTAAGCAACACGAACCCCACCAAAACTGGGGGTGATCGCAGGTGCTCCGGAAGGGTAAGCAGATCCTGCTCCACATGTGGCACCCGTCGTGTTCAAATAAACCCTTGTGGAGTTATGCTTTTAAATGGTGATTTTTAGCCTGTTTGTATTTTTGTCGAGCCTTCGACTTTAGTCGAAAAAGCGAGACATAGCGATCCTACATTACGTCGGCGTCGTCGTCGTCGTCGTCGTCGTCGTTGTCGTCGGCGGCGTCCACAAATATTCACTCTGTGGTTAAAGTTTTTGAAATTTTAATAACTTTCTTAAACTATCCTGGATTTCTACCAAACTTGGACAGAAGCTTGTTTATGATCATAAGATAGTATCCAGAAGTAAATTTTGTAAAAATAAAATTCCATTTTTTCCGTATTTTACTTATAAATGGACTTAGTTTTTCTGCAGGGAAATATTACATTCACTCTGTGGTTAAAGTTTTTAAAATTGTAATAACTTTCTTTAAACTATCCTGGGTTTCTACCAAACTTGGACAGAAACTTGTTTATGATCATAAGATAGTATCCAGAAGTAAATTTTGTAAAAAAAAATATCCATTTTTTCCTTATTTTACTTTTAAATTGACTTAGATTTTCTGCCAGGAAACAACACATTCACTCTGTGGTTAAAGTTTTTAAAATTTTAATAACTTTCTTATACTATTTTGGATTTGTACTAAACTTGGACAGAAGCTTGTTTATGATCAAAAGCTAGTATCTAGAAGGAAATTTTGTAAAAAAATAAATCCATTTTTTTCGTATTTTACTTTTAAATGGACTTAGATTTTCTGCCAGGAAACAACGCATTCACTCTGTGGTTAAAGTTTTTAAAATTTTAATAACTTTCTTAAACTATTTTGGATTTGTACCAAACTTGGACAGAAGCTTGTTTATGATCAAATGCTAGTATCTAGAAGGAAATTTTGTTTTCTTCCAGTTAACATTACATTCAGTCTGCAGTTAAAGTTTTTAAACATTTATTAGATTCATAAACTATCCGGATTTTTACCAAACTTGGACAGAAGCTTCTTACAATCAAAAGATAGTATCAAGAGGAATATTTTTATTGATTTACTTCCTCATTTTTGTTGAGCCTGCGATTAACAGAAAAAGTAGGCGAGACACTGGGTTCCGCGGAACCCTTACGAATTTTTTCAAGAAACTATGGTTGGTAAAGAAAATCTTCGTAAATTGATCTCTTATAGGAGTTACTGCCATTGAAAGATATGTTTTACTCGTGTATTATGTTTTTGCAGAAACTGTAATAGAGGGAAATTTTAATAAGCAAATAAGTCAATTGACCTGACAACAGGTCATTAAAGATGGCATTTTTTTTAATTCGTAGGGTCTTTGCATCGGAAATAAAAACATTTATTCTAAAACCAGTTGTTGGCATGATACGGGTTATGTTCTTGTATCGTATATTTTATGATGGTATGATACTAAACCTCTAACGGGAGGGATTGTGATGAAGACATAATCTTTCAATCAGTTTAATTTAGGTCTGGCATGTCAGTAACTGCTAGTAGTCATTTGTTAATTTATGTTGATTATTGTCATTTTGCTTAGTTTCTTCTGTTACCTATTCTAACATCGGACTCTGACTTCTTTTTCACTGAATTTTATTGTGCGGATTGCTGTGTGTTTGTTTTTTCTATCATTGGCTGGAGGTATAGGGGGAGGGTGGAAATCTCACAAAACATGTTAAACCCCGCCGCATTTTTGCGCCTGTCCCAAGTCAGGAACCTCTGGCCTTTGTTAGTCTTGTATGTTTTTTTAATTTTGGTTCATTTATATGTTTCGGAGTTTAGTGTGACGTCCATTTTCACTGAACTAGTATACATTATTGTTTAGAGGCCAGCTGAACCCCGCCTCCGGGTGCTAGATTTTCTCGCTGTGTTGAAAACCCATTGGTGGCCTTGGGGTGTTTTCTGCTCTTTGGTCGGGTTGTTGTCTCTTTAACGCAAGACAAGTCAAATATTTTATTTAAGTCACACCACTTGTTACATATAAAATATACAGAATATTAAAACACAAGTTAACAACAAGAGCCACTCTATAAAGAGTTATGAGAGACTATAAAACAATCTTAAATAAGCATAAAATACCATATTTTCATTTGTAAAAAGAAATATCAATTTTTCATTATCAGACATATGTTAAAAAAATTCTCATCAACAATACTAGCATGATTAAAAATAACATTACGAATATCTGAATATACAGGACAGTTTAACAAAACATGTTTTTCATCTTCAACGTCATCAGTACAGTTAAAACGTACTCTATTTTCAATATCAATATTTTCAAAACGACCAGTTTCAATTCTGATGGGTGCTACACCACATCTTAATTTGGCTAAAGCACTCCTGTATCTACCAGGTATATTAAAAATCAAATAATTTTCTATTCCATATACATTTTTGAACATTCTATATGCATGTAATTTATTTTTATTATTTGACATAATTTTGTCATACCATTCTTCCTTAAATTTTTCAAAAGATACATTTTCGATATTCTTATTTAAATCCTTGTTCAAAATAGCACCATTGCACAAATATTCCATATCAAGTTCTTTAAACTTATTTTTTACTCTAAAATGCCAATTTTTTACTCTTTTACATGTGTTACCCCATATATACACTTTCTTATTTACTCTATCATCATTCATTTTATTTAATCTTGTCCAATTTCTAAAAAACACTAGTCCACTGTTTGATTTTGCATGGCATCCAGCCCATGTCACCATACAAAGATATATTAGGTGTGTATTTTCCTACACCCATGATAAAACGCATGGCTCTATTTTTTACACTATTTATACATGAAAAATCACGTGTACCCCATATAGAGGCACCATAATCTATTACAGACCATACAAGCGTATCAAACAATTTTGTAAATGTACAATATTGAAAACCACCATTAGCTTTACATTTAGATATCAACAAACCCAACGATCTACTTGCGGCTTTAGCAACTGCTTTTGCCATATTCTCATAGCTTAAATGCTCAGTAAACAATAAACCTAAATATGTGTATTGGGAAACATTATCAATATTGTTACCATTAAACAAAAATGGAAAATTTGATCTAGATACAGACTGTGTTCTAAAATGTACTATTTTAGGTTTTTCTTAATTAACAGTAAGGTCATTAGTACAACACCGTATTTACTCTATTAAAATACTGACCGACCTACACCCCATCGTACATAAGCACTATGTACGTTTACCATAATTAATATACAAATTAAAAACAATATTAATTTTGCCGACTAGCCCGTCAAGTACGCTAGAAAACTTACAAATATAGGGGGAACCGGGACGAGAAGCAAAAACTATTTACAATCCTAAATGCTTCGTTACTTGCAGCCTTTTTTCAACTGAGTCCATAACGTAACCATCCTTGCTACTGTCACTTTTCCAACGACCGTGTCGTTTCCATACCCTATCATTGACACCCGAATTTGCAGCAGCAGTAGCCCCACCTGACCGCATTGACTGCAATCCAAGCTTCAGGTCTTTTGACACTAGTTTCAGTCTAGAAATAATGCTTTCTCTGGCTGTAGTATAACTAAGCTTTTTGTTTTAATATATAAGTTTACAAATACTTTTAGAACGAAAAATAGGTCTAAAAAGGAAAAATTCGATTCCAAATTGACACCTGAAAGATTTACATATCTCAAAAACATCTCATATGGACAAGCAATGGTATCCCCCTTGGAAATTAAAACCTCATTACCATTACGATACTGGTCAGTCTTACTCTTCTCTATATACAAAATTAAATAATCAGATTTAACTTTAACATTTTTACACAAAAGAGAGCTAATCTCATCGTAACGCAAAAACCCAGCAAAAGACAGTAAAATCATTGCTAAATCACGAACCACAAGTAAATCTTGATTATTTGAAAACATTCTGCACAATTGCAATAACATATCTAATGAAACAGGGTCCTTCTTGTGCTTCTTAACAGTAGCCACTCTCTTGGCAGATTCTTGTAAAGAATGTAAATGTGAATTTTTAGTTGGATCTGCAAAATTACTCATTTCATGCACCCATTTTATACTATAAATAGCAGAATTGATAGTGTTACAAGTAGCACCAGTGTCAAGCAAATAAGTTATGTACAAAGCTATATGAACCGGTTGTGCTGGTAAAGCTTGAAAACCATGTTTTTTAATGAATGTTTCCCAACGTTTAAATGCATAAAAGTACGATTTTGCTGTATTATCACTTCTACTGTTCACAATGTAACTGGACATATGTTCTGCATACTTGAAAAGTTCAGATTCCTCGTCTACTCCGGCATCTTTCACATCTTCCTTAATTTTGTCTCTCAAACCTATTCCTGGAAAACAGAAATGCAATCTATGATAATCTAATAACCTAAATTTCAACACGCATAGCAACGAAATTGAAATTTTGTTTAATCATACCGAAAATCCCATTTCGCCCTCTTCCTCTATGAGTTATCCTTGAACCCGGAAAGATCTTATGATTTTTAACAAAATATTTAAATCCGTTACCCTCTGACAAGACCGGCCAATAAGGAGCCGACTTCCATTCGGGTATAACTAACGTACCAACTGCCCTATCTTTCAACATCTTTTTAACTGTTTCCGTAACTATCGAAGGTGGTGGGACTAACCAGTTATTTTCTTTATCCCAATGCTGTTTGAAAGCATCAACACCGCTCGTTCCCTATTTGATAAGACTGTCGTACAAGTGAGAGGTTTAGCGCTATAAAACCAGGTTCAATCCACCATTTTCTACATTTGAAAATGCCTGTACCAAGTCAGGAATATGACAGTTGTTGTCCATTCGTTTAATGTGTTTTGTCATTTGATTTTGCATTGTGATTAGGGACTTTCCGATTGAATTTTCCTCGGAGTTCAGTATTTTTGTGATTTTACTTTTCCCTGACACCAGAACTTGGAATTAAAATTATCACATTTTTTGTTATATGAAGACGCAAAACGATCTACTGTATGAGGACCCCACTCTCTATCAAGCGTACGAAACAGCCATGTTTGTACACCCCAGTCATCGCAATCGTTCAACCTACTTAAAGTGTCTGCATGTGTATTATTTTCTCTCGGTATCCATTGCGCAAAAAACGAAACATTGCTTTGTTCACATGCATTTTGAATTTCCATGTTTATATCTTGCAAGTGAGTCTTTTTACTACCGACCTTAATAATAGTTTCAACATTTTTATTTTCAGTATGTATTCTTACACTTTGCCCATTCAATGTAGGCAAATTAGTTTTCAAAACCCTATGAACAGCCTCAAGTTCTCTCCAAGTAGAACTCATGTTTGTTTCATGTGCTTCATATGCACCAAACATTTCAACCGTTTTGCTGTTCCCTGCCTCAGCTATATATCCTCCATAGCCTTCACCTGAGGCATCCGAAAACATGTTTACATCACATGCTTCGTTTGTCAACTGACTAAATAATGCACCATCTGTATTTAACCTTTCTATGTTTGATAACCAAAACCCTAATTCTACCTCCGCTTCTGGAGTAACCCAGACCGGTGCCTCCCATGATGTTCTATCCTGAACACAATCATAGGCATACCGAGTCCTTAACCTTACAGTTGTACCCAACACACCTTGTGTAGATATTAACTGACCAATAACAGAAGCTAATAATTTCACTGATATCACACGTTTGTCTGGAAACCTGTTACAAATGCAGGATATACATTTTATTATCCTGTCAATTCTCTCGTTTGTTATTCTAATTCTACCTTCAGATGTATCCCATATCATTCCCAAGAAAGTTATCACTTGGACCGGGTTCCAGTTACACTTTTCCTCAGCAATAATGAAGCCAAAATCGATTAAATCTGCCCTTATTCTATGGCTAACTGTAGTGCATTCATCATAATTGTCAGCACCCCCTAAACCATCATCAAGATATATTAGGATCCTGATACTGTTAGATCTCCAATACCTTATAACCTCTCTTAAGACTTTTGAAAATATAAAACCTGCTGTAGCCAATCCGAAACACAAAACATTAAATATGTAAAATTTAGACTCCCACTGAAAACCCAAATATGTTCTGTCTTCCTGCTGTACCATAATATGATGATAAGCTGACTTCAAATCAAAAGAAAACAGATAATCGCCCTTAGAAAACAGTTTTCTTGCCACAGAGGCATCTTCGTATTTATATCTGAACTGATATAAATGTGGATTGATGTGACGACAGTCAAGCACTAATCTAAGTTTTGACTTGTTACCTGCAACCGTTAATGGATTTACGACCTTAGGCTTTACAAATACTTCTGATATACACCCTTTAGATAATAATTTCTCAATTTCATCTTTAACAAATGATTTGTTGTCTTTGGCTGATCTATTATTATCTAATAAAACGTTCTCAGGTAAAGTTTTTAACGGTAACATATACCCTTTGTCAATAACATTTAAAATGTAATCACTTGCTTGAATGATTTTCCATTTGTTTATGTGTTTTCTCAAACTATTGACTGGTGATTTAATTGTATCAACCTTTATACATAAGTTATCTACGTGTTCTTCTAAATTACACCTATTTAAAGTATTAAGATTACTTATCTTATCATTTTTTCTTTGCTGTTTCTCAGGACATTCCTGTTTCCAATGTCCTTTCACACCACAATTGAAACATCTGCCTGGTTTTCTCGTCATAACTGCTTTTTCTGCTGGTTGGACGTAGGGATGTACTCGTCTAGCTTTCTTTGTCTTATCAGCTTTCACCTTTCTTTCTGCTCTGTTTCTGTTTTCAGCCTTATACAATTTCCTTTCATCTTCCGAATCATCTGCAAGTGGGTTGGTTTCATATTCGTGTACGACTCGCCAGCCCAGCTCGGATGAATCTGCAATACGTATTAACTTTTGTCTATAGTTCATTCAAGAAATACCTTCCGCTAACTTCTCCTTGGCTTTGCATACGGTATCCGGTGTTGGATTGGTACCATCTAACAGACTGTCTGCTTCTTTCATTTTGCTGAGCACCTTCATGTTTTGCTTAAACTGCTCTTCATTCCCTCGTTTTTAGCTCACCTGACCTGAAAGGTCAAGTGAGCTTTTCTCATCACTTTGCGTCCGTCGTCCGTCGTCCTGCGTCCGTCGTCCGTCGTCCGTCGTCCGTAAACTTTTACAAAAATCTTCTCCTCTGAAACTACATGGCCAAATTTAACCAAACTTGGCCACAATCATCATTTTGGTATCTAGTTTAAAAAATGTGTCCGGTTACCCGGCCAAACAACCAAGATGGCCGCCATGGCTAAAAATAGAACATAGGGGTAAAATGTAGATTTTGGCTTATATCTCTGAAACCAAAGCATTTAGAGCAAATCTGACATGGGGTAAAATTGTTTATCAGGTCAAGATCTATCTGCCCTCAAATTTCCAGATGAATCGGACAACCCGTTGTTAGGTTGCTGCCCCTGAATTGGTAATTTTAAGGAAATTTTGCCGTTTTTGGTTATTATCTTGAATATTATTATAGATAGAGATAAACTGTAAACAGCAATAATGTTCAGCAAAGTAAGATCTACAAATAAGTCAACTTGACTTAAATGGTCAGTTGACCCCTTAAGGAGTTATTGCCCTTTATAGTTAATTTTGAACCATTTTTCGTAAATTTTTGTAATCTTTTACAAAAATCTTCTCCTCTGAAACTACTTTGCCAAATTTAACCAAACTTGGCCACAATCATCATTGGGGTATCTAGTTTAAAAAATGTGTCCGGTGACCCGGCCAAACAACCAAGATGGCCGCCATGGCTAAAAATAGAACATAGGGGTAAAATGTAGATTTTGGCTTATATCTCTGAAACCAAAGCATTTAGAGCAAATCTGACATGGGGTAAAATTGTTTATCAGGTCAAGATCTATCTGCCCTCAAATTTCCAGATGAATCGGACAACCCGTTGTTGGGTTGCTGCCCCTGAATTGGTAATTTTAAGGAAATTTTGCCGTTTTTGGTTATTATCTTGAATATTATTATAGATAGAGATAAACTGTAAACAGCAATAATGTTCAGCAAAGTAAGATCTACAAATAAGTCAACTTGACTTAAATGGTCAGTTGACCCCTTAAGGAGTTATTGCCCTTTATAGTTAATTTTGAACCATTTTTCGTAAATTTTTGTAATCTTTTACAAAAATCTTCTCCTCTGAAACTACTTTGCCAAATTTAACCAAACTTGGCCACAATCATCATTGGGGTATCTAGTTTAAAAAATGTGTCCGGTGACCCGGCCAAACAACCAAGATGGCCGCCATGGCTAAAAATAGAACATAGGGGTAAAATGTAGATTTTGGCTTATATCTCTGAAACCAAAGCATTTAGAGCAAATCTGACATGGGGTAAAATTGTTTATCAGGTCAAGATCTATCTGCCCTCAAATTTCCAGATGAATCGGACGACCCGTTGTTGGGTTGCTGCCCCTGAATTGGTAATTTAAAGGAAATTTTGCCGTTTTTGGTTATTATCTTGAATATTATTATAGATAGAGATAAACTGTAAACAGCAATAATGTTCAGCAGAGTAAGATCTACAAATAAGTCAACTTGACCAAAATGGTCAGTTGACCCCTTAAGGAGTTATTGCCCTTTATAGTAATTTTTTAACAATTTTTTGTAATTTTTTGTGATCTTTTACAAAAATCTTCTCCTCTAAAACTACTGAGACAAATTTAACCAAAATTGGCCACAATCATCATTAGGGTATCTAGTTTAAAAAAATGTGTCGGATGACCCCACCTACCAACCAATTGGCCGACATGGCTAAAAATAGAACATAGGGGTAAAATGCAAGTTTTGTCTATTATTTTTTGAAATGTTATAAATAGAGAAAATCTGAAAGGAGCAAAAATGTTCAGAATAATGAGGTCTACCGATTGTCCATATATGTCAAAACTGTTAGACAAATTCTTATAGGAGTTATTGCCCATAAATGACAAATTTTACCATTTTTTTCATTTTTGCCTATTTTCATGAAAACTATGATATTTAGAGAGAAAACTTTTTTTTACGTTATGCCTTATATGATTTAAATCATAATAGATAAATAAACACTTTAAATCACAAAAATGATCAGCAAGGCAAGATCTATTAAAAACTCAAATTTTGCAGATATAGTTAGTAGACTGTCACTCTTCATAGGAGTGATTGCCCTTAAATGATGATTTTTTTTACCCTCTTTTGTGTTTTGAGCAAAAACTAAAGAAGATAGAGAGAAACTAAACAGACTAAAAAATCAGTAATACAAGATCAACAAAATAGAGATTTTTGTCATGAAGTCTATTCTCATCTACATTGTTGGAGAGTGTCCTTTGTTTGATATGCACATAGACCAAGGTGAGCGACACAGGCTCTTTAGAGCCTCTAGTTTGAATTTGGGTCCATCCGTCAAGGTAGCTTCTATCTTGGAAACCTGTGTTTCTGCAATCTGTTGTTGTTGCACATGCATCTTTCCCATTTCGCTGGAAATAATCGAACGCATTTGGGTTATCATGTCGTTTTGATTTACCGTCAAAATATTCGAGACTTGAATTCTGATTTGCTCTTGAAGTTCGGCGTCCATTTTGATGTGTACGCTTCAAAGGACGGCTAGAAAGTGAGATACATTTACATGTATACCTTTTACCTGCAATCAATTTTGATTACAAACAAAACCTGATTGGACAATACCTTATTTACAAACCGTTAATACAGACATTTTCCCGCTATTACTAGTCGAAACGCGGGAAAATTCATATATATTCAAAACATCTAATATTTTTGTGTAAATCACTCTCATTCTCATTAATAAATACAAGATCATCTGCATATAACAACATGCTAACCTAATGATTTTCAATGTCTATACCTAAGTTTAATTTCTTAACCTCATCAACAAGATCGTTTATATAGATATTAAATAACAAAGGCGAAAGGACACATCCTTGTTTTAGACCACAAATCTGTTAAGTTACCATTTACTTTAACACAAGACTGTACATTATCATAAAGAGAATAAAGTGACTGTAATATTTTTGAGCTAATACTAATTGATTTTAATTTACAAAATAATAAATTTCTATTTATCCAATCATAAGCTTTTTTGAAGTCAATGGATGCCACATGTTGATTGTTTACGAAGTTTTCTAGTTTCTATAATAGTAGACAGTGTACTTAAATGGTCGACAGTACTACGACCTTTTCTAAAACCGTTTTGTTCGTCACATAGGAAGTCAATATCATCAACATCAAGCTTATGGGTAAGTCGTGAGTTCTATACTCCACAGTACAGTTGTAGGAACCCGGTGCTACGGTACGACAAAGGATCCCTCGGATCTGATGTTGAGCTTTTTGGAATTGGCGTTATAATCCCTTTTGACCACATTAATGGAACGTTACCAGAGTCAAAACATATATTAATAAACAGCTGCGCCATGAGCGCATGATACGCCCGTCGCCTTGTGTGTGAATTTTTATGCAATAATCATAAATAGTTTCTGACATACGGCGCAACATGCGAAAACCCCCCTTTTTTTTACAAAAAACTCAATATCTCTAAAATAAAACTTTGAATCAAAACCAAAAAGTATATAGATCTTTAGGTTAATATAACGAAGAAGTGTGTAAAATTTTAAGTAATAATCATAAATCGTTTTTGAGATACGGCGAGATATGTGAAAAAAACCCTCCCCCTTTTTTTATACAAAATACTCAATAACTCAAAAATAAAATTTTGAATCATCACCAAAAAGTATACAGATCTTAAGATTAATATAACTAAGAAGTGTGTAAAGTTTTAAGCAATAATCATAAATTGTTTTTGAGAAACGGCGCGATATGTGAAAAAAAAAACAAACACCTGTTTTAGTTACTAAGTCCCGTAACTCAAAAAGTTTTAATCTTATTTTCACCAAAAAGTATACAGATCGATTGACCATCATAAGAAACAACTATGGTAAGTTTCATGAAACTTGGATAGGTCGTTCTCAAGTTACGGTGCGACATGTTTACGCCGGACAGACGGACAGACGGACAGACGACATTTGTATACCATAATACGTCCCGTCAAAATTTTGACGGGCGTATAAAAACTCTTGTTAGTGTATTTAACATAGTTTGGTTCTTGTACAATTCAACTGGTATTTCGTCATATCCAGGTGATTTACCGTTTTTTTTTTAACATTTTAAAACATTAAATACTTCTTCAACAGATATTTCACAATCTAACATATCTTCATATAAAACATCTACATCATTTTCACAGATAAGTTCCCCGTTTTCATTCTCAATTTTACATGTATTGATAAATGTGACTTAGAAAGGATGGAATCCTATTTCTCTAATGCTATTCTGAAGTTAGAAAATAGTTGTAAAGACTACACTGATAAAATAATCCCTACTCTTAACTCAAAGATAGATAACTTACAGACAACACTGATAAAATAATCACTGATCTTAACTCAAAGATAGATACCTTAAAGTCAACACTGATAAAATAATCCCTGCTCTTAACTCAAATATAGATACCTTAAAGACAACACTGATAAAATAATCACTGCTCTTAACTCAAAGATAGATACCTTAAAGACAACACTGATAAAATAATCACTGTTCTTAACTCAAAGATAGATACTTTAAAGACAACACTGATAAAATAATCACTGCTCTTAACTCAAAGATAGATACCTGAAAGACAACACTGATAAAATAATCACTGATCTTAACTCAAAGATAGATACCTGAAAGACAACACTGATAAAATAATCCCTGCTATTAACTCAAAGATGGATACCTTAAAGACAACACTGATAAAATAATCACTGATCTTAACTCAAAGATAGATACTTTAAAGACAACACTGATAGAATAATCACTGATCTTAACTCAAAGATAGATACCTTAAAGACAACACTGATAAAATAATCACTGGTCTTAACTCAAAGATAGATACCTTAAAGACAACACTGATAAAATAATCCCTGCTATTAACTCAAAGATGGATACCTTAAAGACAACACTGATAAAATAATCACTGATCTTAAC